TTCATGTACATGTAACAGAAGAGAAGATCCCTGGGGGCAGAGACTATTTCACTGCTGTTTCTGTATCTCAGCACCTGCAACACAGTAAGAGCTTCTCAGATTTTACTGAGTTGAATGGACTCACCGCCTCCACACTGGTCTGGGCCTTCCATTCCCTCTTATCCATGTTGGTGTCTTATCCTTCCTATTCCAAAGATCATTCTCCTTGGAAGAGAAAAGAGAAGCAAAGTACAGGATGAACAGTCCAGCTATCATTTACACCAAGGAGCAGTCCAATCCCTTCTTTGTATCTTCTCTTGCCTCCAACATAGCTTAAACACACACACACACACACACACATGGCACAGGGTGAGTTGAATATGAAGGGTTGATATCTAAGAAATAAAATTAAGGGGTGAGAGAGGAATGTATTGGGAGAAGGAGAAAGGGAGAGGTAGAATGGGGTAAATTATCTCACATAAAAGAGGCAAGATAAAGCTTTTACAGTGGAGGGGAAGAGGGGGAAAGTGAAAGGGAATGAGTGAACCTTACTCTCATTGGAATTGACTTAAGGAGAGAATAACATACACACTCAATTGAGTATGGAAATCTATCTTACCCTACAGAAAAGTAGGGGGGAAGGGGATAAGAGAGGAAGGGGTTGATAGAAGGGAGGGTAGATTAGGGTAGGGGGCAATCAGAAGCAAATACTTTTGAGGAGGGACAGGGTGAAAAGAGAGAATAGAATAAACAGGGGGCAGGGATAGGATGGAGGGAAATATAGTCTTTCACAACATGACTATGAAAGTGTTTTGCATGACTGCACATGCATAACCTATATCAAATTGCTCGCCTTCTCAATGAGGGTGGGTGGAGAGGGAGGAAGGGAGAGAATTTGGAACTCAAAGTTTTAAAAACAAATGTTAAAAATGGTTTTTACATGTAATTAGGAAATAAGCTACACAGGCAATGGGGTATAGCAATCTATCTTACCCTACAGAAAAATAGAAGGGGAAGGGGATAAGAGAAAAAGGGGTGATAGAAGGAAGGGCAGATTGGGGAAAAAGGTGATCAGAAGCAAAACACTTTTGAGGAGGAACAGGGTGAAAGAAGAGAGAGAATAGAATAAATGGGGGGGTAGGAGGAATAGGATGGAGGGAAATACAGGTAGCAATAGTAATTGTGAAAAAAAATTTTTTTGAAGCAAGTTTCTCTGATAAAGACCTCATTTCTCTAACATATGGAAAACTGTGTCAAATTCATAAAAATAAGAGCCATTCCCCAATTGATACATGATCAAAAGATATAATCAGTTTTTAGATGAAGTAATTAAAGCCATATAAAAAATATTCTAACTCACTATTAATTGGAGAAATGCAAGTTAAAACAATTCTGAGGTACTACCTCATACCTATTAGATTAGATAACAGGACAGAAAAGGTAAATGACAAATGTTGAAGGGGATGTGGGAAAAAAGAGACATTAATGTACTGTTGTCAGAATTGTGAACTGATTCAACTATTCTATAGAGCAATTTGGAACTATGCCCAAAAGGCCATAAAACTATACATATCCTGACATAGCAATGCCACTACTAAGTCTGTATCCCAAAAGAGATTAAAAAAAAAAAAAGGAAAAGGGCCTATATGCACAAAAATATTTGAGGCAGATCTTTTCTGGGGGTAAAGAGTTAGAAATTGAGGGGATGCCCATCAACTGGGGAATGGCTGAATAAGTTTTGGTATGTAATTATGATGGAATACTATTGTATTATAAGAAACTATGGGCAGGACGCTCTCAGAAAAACCTAGAAAGATTTACATGAACTTATGTAAAGTGAAATGTACTGGGTACAGAGTAACAGCAATATTATAAGATGATCAGATGTGAATGACTTCGCATTTCTCAGTAACACAACGATCCACAATAGCTCTGAAGGGCTTAGGATGAAAATCGCCATACACTCCCAAGAAAGAACTGATGGTGTCTGAATCCAGACTGAAGCAACTTTTTTTTTTCACTTTATTTTTTCTTGAGTTTTTTTGTCTGTGTTTTCTTTCACAACATGACTATTATGGATATGTTTTGCATGACAGAATATATATAACCTATACGGAATTGCTTGCCTCCTCAGTGGGGGTGGGGAGGTGGGGAGGGAGGAAGGGCAAGAATTTGGAACTCAAAGTTTTAAAAACAAATGTTAAAAAATAAGAAGAATAATTTAAAAGACTTTAGTTGGCCTTGACCCTCTCTATTGGTGGACATCTGGTCTTGGTTTGACTCTGACTGGCTGACAAAGTCTAGCAAGAGTCAGTAATATAAGGGCAGAGGCCTTGGGCCCTGTCCCTCAAGGCTGACATATGGCCCCATGAAAATGGGCTGCCGTCCTTCTATCTCAGAGTTCATTCTTTCATCTGACATGGAGGAATTAGAGGCTATAATCTTGCAAAGGACAGAAATGAAAGCCGTGATGTCAAGGTCAGGAAAACTACCTTGTAAGTTTCGAAAGGTCAGGAGATCAGGCCATCCAGGTGTCAAGGCCATGCAGGGTTTTGCAGCCGTGCCATTCACTGATTCCTTGAAGGGCACCCTACCCAGTGGAAGCAAGGACTCATGTGGCAGTCACTCCACCTTGGATTTGAATTTGGTGGCACCAGTGCTATATAGAGACTGTGCTAAGTCTGAGCCTGCTCACCCCAGGCACCAACGTGCTATGAGGGAGACTGCCCCCAAGGCATATGGGGAAAATGTTTACACTTTGGTTATTATTATGTCTTTGAAGTAAATATTTCTTTGGGTTCTTTTTGTGGGTTTTTGAGGGTTGGTTTTTTTTTTGGCAATTGGGGTTAAGTGACTTGCCCAGGGTCACACAGCTAGTAAGTGTGTCAAGTGTTTGGTCTGAGGCTGGATTTGAACTCAGGTCCTCCTGACTTCAGGGCCGGTGCTCTATCCACTGCGCCACCTAGCTGCCCCTAAATATTTCTTTGTTAAAGAATAAAAACGTTGCAGTTTGGGGGTAGGAATATAGTCTAATATTCACCCAAATGAATGATGCTGAGAAATATCAGATATTAAGGTACTTGGGATGTCCCGTCCACACATGTGGAATTCACACACATGAGGTTTACACACGACACTCCAATGCAGTTAGATGTCCCTTCTTACCTTACATGACATAGGGCCATGAGCCTGTGTCAATGGGGGAAAGGGCTGGTGGGCCCTCAGATTTCATCCCATTTGTTGTAATAATTGAGGCTGGGTTGGAACCCCAGGCCCTCCTGCTCTTCTAAAGCCTCTTCACAGTAGAGGGTTCTGAGCCTACAAGAAAGAAGATGGCAGCTCCCCAGCATATATATCGCCCTGACTTGGTATTAGAAGAGCCAGGTTCAGAACTCAGTTTTGCGACTTCCTGTGTGATCTACAACCTTCACTGAGTCTCAGTTTCCTTTTCTGTAAAACTAAGGCTTTGGGCTAGGTCATGCTTAAGCTAAAAAATGCTGTGGTTTGATTCCTGGAGAGGATGGGATTACACAGATTATATAATAATGACAGAAGGAGTAGGGCCCTGTTCCGAATCTAGAGTTCCCAGGCCCTGCTCCTAGAAGGCAAACCTCCCTGATTCCTGACAACAGAGCTGAATGGATTAGAATGCCAACCTCCTCGCTGTCGGCCTCAGTTTTCTTCTGTACCACGAGGAGGGAAGACTGGAAGATCCAGGTCTAGCGGCCAAAGGCCCTATCCTTTGGTTAACGCCACGTGGGTAGAGGAGGACGGACCCTGGCCATACGTGGCCTGCAGTGACAGCTTCAGAGAGGGAAGAGAAGGAACAGCAGTTGCAGCGAAGCTGAGACCCCACCACTCCCCAGGCCAGAAATCACACCCAGGGTCTAAGGCAGCAGCAGAAATCAGAGATTCCACTGAGAATGACCTAACCATACAGGGGGACCAACATCCCCAGCACTGCTGGGCATCTGCAAGCAGAGGAGTCCACAGGCCATGGCCCCACAGCACCCGGGCCGCAGGATGGCAGTAACCTGAGGGAGGGGCATGAGCCACCGCAGAGCACCACGGGAGCGTCGGACAGAAGGCCACTGTCCCAGGTGCAGAAGAGGCCACCAAGCAACTGGAGCACTTCCCAGAAGAGGAATGAGAGGAGACTCACTGACTGAATCTAAACCCTCTGCCCAGGCATGAGAGCCTCTCACATCGGAGTGTGGTGATTGCATCCCCTATACCCACACCCACTAGGTCAGTGACTGGTGATTCAGGGGGGCCACGCTTAAGGGGTGGAGACTGTCACCAACACAGGCCCCCCCTCACCCCTTCTTCATCTGTCGGTCTAGGTGCAGTGTTGTGGGACTCCACCCCAGTACTAACGGAGTGCCCAGGAGAGGCTGAGCAGCTTGGTGGGGACACCCTCAGTCAGTCAGGATGACCTGGGTGTTAGTATTTGACCCCTGCTGGCCGCGAGACCTTAGGCACGTCCCTCAACATCTCAGTGGCCTCGGCGCTCTCCATCTGTACAGGTGGACCTCCGGTATACCCCTCATGGGACCTCCTTCTGCTATAAAATCCCAGGTCCCGTGGGCCAGACTCCACCACCACCACTACCATCAGTGGCTGCTGTGGAACAGGTCCAGGACTTGGGAGTCAGACATGGGTTTGCATCCCGGCTCTGCCCATACAACTCACTGGGGCCACCTCGTTGGCCCTGTGTGTCTTTGTCTGGTCCAGGTGCTCTTGGAGGTCCTTTGTGGCTCTCGATGCAACACACCACAAAGGGGGATCAAGGGAGAAAACTTGGGGAAACCTCCTGTGAGATGGGGCTCGTCTCACTTCAGACAGCTACACAAGCGTCCTAGCCAGAGCCCTCCAAAGGCAAGCTGCCGGACGCAGGCCTCATGCCCTTCGGCCCTCTCTGAAACCACACAGGGCTGTGGCCTCCTCCCCAGCAGGGCAGCCCTAACCTAGCAGCTCCCAGGAGGGGCGCTCGGGCTGGCCAAGGGAACACGTGAGGCTACTGAACTGCAAACATACTTTTATTTAGAACATCAGTCTGGCTGGTCCATAAATGCTGGTTAGTAACAACCAAGGGAAACACCTGGGGGTGGGACAGGGAAACTAAGTCAAGTCTGGGGAAGGGGCCTTGTCTTTCAGTGGGAAAAGGGGGACAGGGGATGGGAAGAGAGTGAGAAGCTAAGGGCAGCCCCGGTCCGGACAGGGCACAGACCCGGGCCGTGGGTCTTCCCTAACACAAAGAATAAACAAGTGGGTCACAAGGCTGCCACCTGAGCTGGCCCCACACCCAGACTGGGCCTCTCTGAGGCACAGAAGGCCCTCCTGAACTGCAGGCCCCGAGTCAAGCCTTGGAGGGCCCTTCCCACTCCCTCTCTCAGCACCCAGAGTCTCAATGCGCTGGGGACTTCCACCCCCTTGGCATAAGCTCCAAGGCAGCTCCGGCAGCAGCCACCACGGGGCAGGGTGGACAGGATGGAAAGGCAGGGGGAACAGCTGCTTCACCCACTTGGGGAGGGGGTTTCATAATCCCAGGCAAACTGAGGGTGCCACCTCCAGGCCAGAGTGCAAGGGGGAAGAGGGAAATCTCCCGAATCCCCGAAGCCAATTCCGAGGGGTGAGTCACACCCAAGCACTGGAGGGTGGGCTCCCTCTGGGCTGCCTAGCCAGAACGCAGGGGAAGGAAGAAAGGGGATTGTCTTCCAGAGGGAAAAACTGGCAGCCATGGTGGCAGGCTGAGGGGCGGGCATGAGGCCAATCTGAAACCCTCCAACCCACCAGTTAAAAGTTAAGCGCTTTGGGCCTTCCTTTTTTAGGGAAAGGGAGGGGACTAGAAAGAGATACAGGAGTGAAGGGGCGGAGGCCGTCCCTTCCGTTCTCACCCCCATTTATAACAGCAGAAGTGAAGGGCTGGAGGGCCTTCCCCAGCCCAGGGGCCATTCTTGCTGCAGTGCTCCGAAGGGAAGGGCAGTGGGGGAGGGTCCCAATCTAAAGGGCAGAGCACAGTGTCCCCCACCTCTCCCCACCCCAACTCAGGCCCCATAAATCTGAGAACCCCTGAGGATAGTTATAGGTAAATGGCCAACGAAGGGGGGAGAGAAGAGATGGGTCTTGTTGCCTGGCCCAGCCACCTTCATCTTCACACACACACACATACACACACACGTACACACACTCCCTCTCTACATATTTATATATATAATAAAAAGGAATAAAAACTCAGGGCCCAAGATGTACAAAAATGTGTCAGGGAAGGGGGGTCCGAGGGTCCGGGAGGACAGTGGGGCTGGTCGGCCCTGCCCTCCTCTGGCCCTCTTCTGGAGCTTATAAATTACAATCCCAGGGGATACGTGGGGGTGGAGGGGCCGAGGGGGCACGGGCACGGCGCAGGGACGGCCACTCTGCTTCATCTTTCAGACGGGGGTTGGGGGGAGACAGGAGGGGCTCAGCAGCCGCTGGCCGGCATCACGCAGGCCCCCTGGGACTTCACTTTGTGCCGCTGGCCTCCCCGGCGACGGCCCCCACTGCCGGCCTTGGGCTGCAGGAGAGAGAATGGAGGAGCATCAGCAAGGAGGGGGAGGGAGAAGGCCTCCAAGGACTCTTCTAGGGCAGGGGGCAGGCAGGGAGACAGAGACTGTGAGTCAGGAGCCCCACGGTCTAGTTCATGGCACATGCCGCTAGCTAGCAGCCCTCAGGAAGTTTTCTTCATTTCTCTGAGCCTCAGTTTCCCAATCTCTAAAATGGGAGTACTCCTCCTCACACAGGGCTCATGTAAGGAAACATGCTTCATAGATTATAAAGCTAAGGAAATTCTGACACGCAGGAAGTCACTACCCTGGGGCTCAAGAGACCAGGCGGGCAGGCCAAAGAGGACAGCGGCGAGCCAAGCGCCCAGGGACACAGAGAGCCAGACAAGCAGGTGGCGGCAGCGGCCGGGGCCAGCCTCACCAGCCGGCTCCCCAGCACACACTGAATACCTTGGTGCCCTCGCGACCAGGGGGCTCTTCATCCTGGGCAGCCTGGCAGGAAGGATGTTGAGAGAAGGGGAGAGAAGAGGTAAGCAAGAAACAGAGCGAGCGCGAGAGGGGGCCAGAGGACAGCACGCGCCAGGTAATGCGGAGGGCCCTGGGGCTGACTGACAAGCTCCCGCAGAGATCCTCAGAGTTACCCAAGGAGAGAAAGGCATCAGAAGCTGGGGTGAATGGGCAGCAGGGCGGCGGGGGAAGAGCAGAGAGGACGGCTGGCAAGGGTGCAGAAGAAGAAGCCAGGCCCGGGCCGGGCTCCCGCTGCCCATGGGGCCTCGAGCCCTCACTCGGCCACTCCACTTCACTCCCAAACAGTGAATGGGGGTGCTGCCCTGCCCTGTGTGCCTACCTGGGGCTGGAGGACGCTGGAGGGAGTAGGCTGGGTGGCCCCTGGCTGGGGAGCTTCCTCTCCAGGAGCCCCCCCTGCTGCCAGCCCGCCAGGCGGCCCCCCGTCATCCCGTTTAGTCAAGGGACCCTTTTTTGTTGACTGCATCTTGATCTGCTGGGGTTTGGCATTCATCGGGGAGTTGTTGGTGGTCTGGAGGAGCTGAGAGGCAGGGAGATTAGGAGCTGGCCGCCGTCCGAGCCGGGCAGGGCTCTCGGGGGCAACCACCCAAGGCCCAGGGGAGGCAGGAACAGGAGCAGCCCTTCCCTCCTGCACCCAGCAGCGGCCTGTGCCCTCCAGAGCTCCCCTCCTCTGCCCCTCTTCCTGGGCCCCCCACCCTCCCCACCTATAGCTGCTACAAACCCTTCCTGGGCACCCATGTTGCTTAGGGCCCTCCCTCTGCACCTCCTCCCTTCCACGCAGCCAGAAGGCACCAAGGGCCTCAATGCCTGCCCATCCTCTCCTCCCAAGAGCTGCGGGCCTGCACAGAGCCTGCATTCCTGGTCCAAGCACTAGGCCCCTGGCGAGCCCAGCTAGCATCTCTGGACAAAGAAGGATCTCCCTCCAGCACCGCCCCCCACCCCCAGGCAGCCAGGCACAGCCCCAACCTTGGTGATGGTGCCCACAGCTTTGGTGCGGCCCTCTCGGAACACCAGCCTCTGGTCTATGTGCAGATACTCGGGCGTCTTGATGAAGCGGAAGTGAACGGTGGCCTTGTCCCCGGTACGCAGACAGTCTTTGTCCATGCTCAAGATGGTGGCTGTCTGCCGGATGCTCCCACAATGCACTGCCACAGGGATGGGGAAATGGCTAAAGGGGGTGGGGGGCCCAGCTGACCTTGGGACAGACTAACATCAGTAAATGATGGGCCTGGCAATGCTTGCTGAACAAAAATCAAACAAGATAAACTATGCGCTCTGCCCTCCTGGACCTCACAGTCAAGGGAAGGAGAGGGGCCAACCTGCAGATCTGACTGAGGTCCTTGGCTAGGAGGGGGTCCTGCCAAGCGGGAAGACTGAGGAGAGGGACGAGGTCTGTGCCCTTTGGATCCGGGGCCCTCCCTTTCGTTCGCCAGCTCTGAATGCAGTAGAGGCGTGGGATGGGATGGGAGGGAGCCACAGCCGGAGGGGCTCCCCCAGAGGAGGGAGCTACAGCCGGATGGGCTCCACCAGAAGAGGGGGCACGTGGGGGGGGGAAGCTGCCCGGCCACCTACCCATCGCCTGGTATCGTGGGCTGATCGTCGTGGGGTGATGGAGGACCAGGATCTCGGCCTCGAACTCCCAGGAAGCTTGGGGATTCAGGCGCGGAGACACCATGACCATGCCTTTCCGTATGGAGGAGCGCTTAATCTAAGGGTAGGGGGGGCCAAAAGGAGCACTCTGAGACTCCCTAAGCCCTCCGCTCCGGAGCAGAGGCAACCTGCCTGCCACGTGCTCTTTCCACCTGCTGGCCTGGCTCAGCTGCCCCCTCCCCTGCTCTGGGGCTCCACAAGAGCTTCCCCAGCTAGGACCGCCTCAGATGCCCCCGAAGGGGTCTGTCCTCTCCCCAGCTCCCCAGGGGGTCCGTCTCAGTGTCTCCTGGGTGGTCAGGCTGGTGAAGCCCACAGAGCCCTGCTCAGAACCACCTCGTTAAACGTTCAAAATAACATAGATAGTATTACAAAGGCGACCATTATGTTTTTTTTTAAACAAACAAGCTCCCAGGTGCCGGGCTTAGGCTCCTACCTTCATCTAAGTCCTACACCTGAGGCCTCCACCTGCCCCTCACCCGCACCCCCTCAGCTCCATGCTCCAGCCTCACCTTCTTCAGAGCAAAGGAGGCCGTCTGGCCTCCGCGCACTTCCTTGACCGGCATCCTCTTGCGGTGGATGGACTTCACCGCGATGGACAGGAAGTTGCCCAGGGGGTCGGGGCCCAGCAGCAGAGTGTCATTCAGCTTGATCAGGCCTCTCAGCGTGGTCCCTGACACCACTGTCCCCACTCCCTGGAGGGCAGAGCAGAGGTGGCAGCGTCCCTCTTGGCCAGCTGCCGGGCACCTCCCCAGCCCTGGCCATGGCCGCAGGCCTCTTACCGGCACGGAGTACGTATCGTCGATCTGGAACTCAGCGGGCTCATCCTCCCGGTAACTGGTGCGTGGGGACAGCAGGTTCAGAAACATCTTGAGCAGGTCTAAATTCTCTCCTGTAACATTGGAGATCTGGAATATGGGGCACATCCTAAGCAGGGAGTGAAGAGAAAACGAACAGTGGCAAGCTGAAGTGGCTGGCTCCTTCCCTGGGGGCTCCCCGAGGAGGGCTCGCTGGGGGGCCCAGCTCGATGCCCTGACATGCCAAAGACAGAGGCATGGACCAAGGGAGGGAAGCGACGGCCTCTAGTACCGCTCCTCCAGGCCCGGCGACCCAGGGGCCACGACTGGCCGGTCCCAGAGGGGAGCAGCGCCAAGGGAGAGCAGCCGGGGAAGCCGGGAACCAGCCACACGCTTCATCTCTTCTGGGGGCGGAGCTGAGCTGCCTGCTCTTGTGAGAAAACCAGGCTCTCACAAACTACCAAGGACTACATCAGTGTGAGCCTGGGGGGCCTGGCCGAGGATGAGGGCAACCACGGCAAATGGCCACCTGATTCAGGAGAAGGCCAAAGCACCCACAGGCATAGGGCACCAGGTCAGAGGAGGAAGAGCTCACTTCTGGCTGGGGGGAGGAGGGAAGACTTCCTGGAAGAGGTGGCCTATGAGCAAGGCCATGGGGGAAGGGCTGCAGAAGGGGCCAACTTCAGGTCTCCTGGGACTCCTTGAAGGGGCCTGTAACCACAGGCTTCCAGCCTGGGGAGCTCCTCTCCCGCCCCACCCGAGCCCTCGCTACCTCTCTGAGCTGAAGTTGGACGCAGTCACAATCACATCATCCTTGCTCTGCACCAGGACGGGGATCTTGCGGCAGCCTGGAGACTTCAGCAGGCGCTGCAGCAGCTTCAGGGTCTCTTAAAGAGAGAAAGGGAAGAGAAGTAGGGTGCCCGGCTTCCAGTGCAGGGAATGGCGCACTCAGCGCTGATGTGAGCACGAGACAGACAGGAGGCTGGGCGGGCACATAAGAGCTAACGGCCACAACACCTAAAGTGGCATAAAGAAGGGTCCAAACTTTGTGTGGGAGCCTAGCCTGGGACACAGGAGACGAGAGATCAAGAGACCGAGAGAGGGAGAGAGACAGAGCCTGAGAAAAAAACAGAGACAGAGACAGAGAAAGTGGGAGAGACAGAGGCTGAGACCTAGAGGAGACAGAGACAGGGAGAAAAAGAGACAGAGACCGAGAGAGGGAAAGAGACAGAGCCTGAGAAAAAAACAGAGACAGAGAAAGTGGGAGAGACAGAGGCTGAGACCTAGAGGAGACAGAGACAGGGAGAAAAAGAGACAGAGACCGAGAGAGGGAGAGAAGAAACAGAGATCGAGAGAAAAACAGAGACACTGATGAGGGCCTCATTTCTAAAATATATAGAAAATGAAGTCAAATTTATAAGAATACAAGTCATTCCCCAATTGATAAATAGTCAAAGGATATGAACAGGCAGTTCTTAGACGAAGAAATTAAAGCCATCTATAGTCATATGAAAAAATGCTCTAAATCACTATTGATTAGAGAAGTGCAAATCAAAACAACTCTGAAATATCACACCTATCACACTGGCTTACATGACAAAACAGGAAAATGATAAATGCTGGAGAAGATGTGGGAAAATTGGAACACTAATGCATTGTTGGTGGAGTTGTGAGCTGATCCAATCATTTTGGAGAGCAATTTGGAACTATGCCAAAAGGGCTATTAAAATGTGCATACCCTTTGGTCCAGCAATAGCACTTCTAGGGGCTGTATCCCAAAGAGATCATACAAATGGGAAAAGGACCCACATGTACAAAAATATTTATAGCAGCACTCTGTGTGGTGGCAAAGAATGGGAAACTGAGGGGATGCCCATCAATTGGGGAATGGCTGAACAAGTTGTGGTATATGAATGGAATGGAATACTATTGTGCTATAAGAAATGATGAACAGGCTGACTTCAGAAAAACCTGGAAAGACTTGTATGGACTGATGCTGAGTGAAGTGAGCAGGACCAGAAGAACGTTGTACACAGTAACAGCCATGTGGTGTGATGACCAATATCGATAAACTTAACCTTTCCCAACAATACAAGGATCTAAGACATCTCCAAAGGCCTCATGATGGAGAATGCTATCCCCATCCAAAGAAAGAACTATGGAGTTTGAATGCAGATCGAAGCAGACTATTTGCTCTTTTTTTTTTCTTCTGTTGTGATTTGTTTCCTCTTTCTGGTGGTTCCTCCTATTGGTTCTAATTCTTACAACACCACTCATGTGAAATTACGTTTAATAGGAACATATATGTAGAGCCTATATCAGATTGTGCGCTGTCTTGGGAAGGGAAGGGGGAAGGGAGGGGAAGGAAAATTTAAAACTCAAAAGCTTATGGAAGTGATTGTTGAAAACTAAAGATAAATTAATGAAAAAAGAAAGAAAGAAAAACAGAGACAGTGAGAGACCAAGAGAATGAGGAAGACAGAGACCAAGAGGAGACAGAGAGAGAGAGACCGAGAGACCAAGAGGAGAGAAGAGGAGGGGGGAGGGGCAGGGCGCTCCCGGAGGCGCTGCTTCCTGTCCCAGGTGGTCCCCAAGCTGGGTCACTCGCCAGCTTCCTCCAGCCACATTCCCAGGACACCCGGCAGGGCGCTCCACCCTCCAGGCACACTGACAGCCTCCCGCCCTGTCCCAGCTGCAGACTGAGCACAACAGGAAGGGTCCCACAAGAGAGACAAAGAAGTCCTTCCCATGAGCTGGCAGTGCCCCACAACTAAGCAGGCCTGTTGTTCCTGCACCTGCTGGGGCACTGCGCCCCTTTGGTGATGGAGCAGCCCAGGACGACAGACCCTCAGCTCCAACTACGCTCAGGGCTTGGAGAGTAACAGAGAAGCCAGGTTCCCCTGCCAGTGCCCCACTATTTCTCTCCCTCACTAGCGCAGGAGGCTGCAAGCAGCACCTGCCTTGGGCCCGGGAACAGCTGAAAAGCCACTGACACTGCAGCCACCCTCCAGCCCCCAGGTCCCCAGAGGAGGACACCCCCGGCCCTTTCCTCAGTGAGCCGTCACCTCCCAAGGGGACGGGGTGCCACGTGTTAGCATGAGCCAGACAAGCCAGACCGGAGCCTGGAGAAAGCCCTTTCACCCTGGGAAGTGAGGGCAGGCCTTGGAGGGGCAGGGGGAGAGTGGCAGCCCGGCAGGCGGGCAGAATAAAGCTGGAAAGGCAGGCTGGTGTCAGGCCTGGCACACCCACCCCTCTTTGTGCCCTGCCCACTGCCCCTGCCCCACCGCAGGATCTGGAGGGAAAGTCACTCACTCTAAAAAGACATTTCCAGGCCGAGATCCCAACAAAGAGAAGCCTGCTGGAGGGAGCCAACCTGGGCACGCCTCCCCCTTACCTTGCAGGATGTTGGCCGGACACATGTCGATCTTGGTGACCACGACGAAGACGGGAACATTGAGTGCCAGTGCCAAGCCCAGATGCTCCTTGGTCATGCCCACAATCCCAGCATTGCTGCCCACCTGCCCCAGGCAAAGAAAGAGACCACGAGTGGCAGGGAGGCCTGGGCGGAGCCCCCTTCAGCACGGGAGTCACAGGGTGCCAGGGTCAGCCCAGGAGGAAAAGGAGCGGAAGACCAGACGCCAGCAGTGCCCAGCACAACTCTGATGCCAGGAGGAGCCGGGGGCCAGTCACATCATCCTCTGCAGAACTCTCTCCACCAAAGCAGATGGGCAAGTGAAGTGGACAGTGGTCATGGGCACTCATTAAGAGGTGAGGACGCCTGGCCAGGGCCACCCAGTCAGTGAGGGGCAGAGGCAGGGACGCTCTCTAGTAAACCACGTGGCCCACCTGCCAACAAGTGACAAAGAAGCCCGGTGAGGCCTGCTGATCACAGAGACTCCGAGGGCCCAACCGAGAGGCACAGAAGCCCCTGCCCCTCACGGCAGGCTGCTCGGGGTACAGGTGCCATGCTCCCCATTCTGCGCACGAGGAAATGGAGGCCCACAGAGGGAAAGGCCTCTAACTCATCAGTGGCTAAGACCAGACTCCAGGGCCTCGGAACATGACGGCCCGTGACACACAGGAGGGGAGGATGCCGGGGGCTCCTGCTGTCCCACTCCACCACTGCAGCTTCGCTCAGAAGACTTATGAGCTCGGCCAAAATGCGGCGACCCAGAGGGGAAAAACAAAGTGAAAGGCTGCAGCTGCCACGTGTCCCTAGTGATGACCACGGGACCAAGAAGCATGAAGAGCATCCTAAGGACACACGGGGCTGAAACAGGGATGCTACAAGAGGACAGACAGCGGGGGGCAAGCATCGGGGCCAGGCCTCCGGCTCACCGCCTGATCTTCTGGCGGTCTTGTAGGGAGACATGGACGAGAGGCCTGGATGGGCTGGTGGCGGGGGATGGTGGGGCAGCCCACCCCGACATCCCTCTCCCCCCACCTCACCCCGAGGTGGCCCTGCCTGTCACCCACATAATGAAAAACAAAGGCTCGGGGCCCTGGGGAGCGACCTTTTCTTGAAAGGTCTTGACTACATCCAAAGTTCTATCTTGGTCCCTGCCTAAAATTTGGGTCACACTCGAGTGGTCGGGAACCAGGGCTCAGTGGGAAAGGCTGCTCATTTTACTTCCAGGTTGAAAGCAGCTCAACATCTTCATTCCAGTGGGGCTCATTCTCCAGCGGTGTTCTCCCCAGCCTCCCCATTCTCTTGGCATGGAGGGGACCCTGGGCTCAGGCAAGCTTGGGTACGGTCTACCTGGGAAAAGCTTCATGGGCCAACCTGTGAGTCTATCAGCTAAAGACCAGCCCAGTCACGCATGGAGGGGCTGATGATGAGGGCTGGGGTCCCCACTCAAGAGGACTGAAATCTCACAAATGGAGGGAGAGACCACAGACCCCCAAAAGACTGAACGTCACAGAACCCTAGAACTGAAGTATGGGCGGCAGGGGGAGCTTTAATCAAAGCCCATCGGAGAGGATCATACATCACCCGATGCCACTCCTGCTCACACCTGTTAGGTAAGACTTCATCAGAGAAGGTGGCTTTGAGGCCTGCCTCGGCCCCTTACTAATCACAGGTCATGATCGATCACTTCTGTGCCCGAGGCTCTGACAGTCTGTGTTCTAGGGTCCCCGATCCTAGTCCCAATCTCTCTGGATCTTACCTTTCCCTTAGGTTTCTAAGGGTTCTCCACCTGGAATCCATCTTAAAAAATATTTTGATAACAGTCCTTCAGTAGAACTGATTCCCTCTGCCCTCACAAACACGACCCCGAGAAGGGGTTGCAGGCTTCAGCGGGCTGGCGGCCTGAGGGCTGCGCTCCCAAACAAAGTGGACGCCATGCTGAAGACAAGCAGGCCACAAGCACGGGCCAAGGTTGTGCATGGGGTCGCTCTTCCTGAGAGTCTATGCTGGTGGGAAGCGTGAGTGTGTGCTTGCTACAAACAGGTGCTCACTTAGGGGCCGGCCACACAGATAGCAGCAGGACAAGGGACTATTACTGGAAGGGCCCGCCTTCCCAAAAGAACTGTTGTAGCTTAATTCTCTATGAAAGTTATGCACAAGGCTGATAACCTAATGAATTCTCAGCCTCCATCAGTAACAAAACTTCAGACTGACCAAAAAAATTAGCTCACAGGATGCCAAGGCCCAGACCTCTGTCCCTTTTCATCTCCTTTGTATGTGGAGATCTTCTGGTAAGAGAAGCTTCCCCTCACCTGCACATCTCACCCCTGCCAACATTGCCTCCCCTGTTCCTCCCCACCTCCCCCACAGCGAAGGGCCACTGCTTCTCTTCCTTAAAAGACGAGCATGCGTTCCAGGCTCCCCAGGGACATGTCCAGGCAGCCCCATACGAAGACTAACTTTGTATCTAGAGATTCCCCAGGGTGACCCCTGCCCCGCAGACCCAATCCCTGTGCTCACTAGCCTCCTGACTTCCCTGAGCTTCCTCACCCACAGAATGGGCACAGTGCTAAGATTCGCCTGGAATAACCAGCTGGGGGCGTGGTTCCTGATGCCCAGTCCGTCCCTGTCCCCTCCAATGGAGCAGAGCGCTCCTTGGCATCTGCAGCCCCGAGAACCTTCCCCCACAAACCCTCCCAAGTGTCCCGTCTTAGACAAGGTCAGTTTACACCAGCTCTCGACGCCCCCAGACACGGCCTTGGCCAGCCGGCCTCCAACGGATGGCCTCCACACCTACCATGAGCATGCAGAAGTCGGGCAGGTGGCCGGTCATGCCGAAGACAGTCGTCTTCAGGTACTTCTCGTGGCCGGCCAAGTCTATGAAGGTGATGACCTTGGTGGACTTCTCACAGATCTTGGTCCACTCGAGGCTGCCCCCATGGCTGTCAGGCTTGTTGACCACGTTGCCCTCGCTGTCAAAGCCCAGGATGTCATTGCCCACGCTGCTGGTACGGCCCGACTCCATCTCGTGCTTGTGCCGGAAGAGCTTCTGCCGGGCGAAGCCTCGGCCGTTGTCCAGCTCCCCGTGCGTCAGGACCCCCAGCAGCGTGCTCTTCCCCGCGTCCACATTGCCCACCACGGCAACCCTGTGGGAGGGTATGAGGAGAGGTACGGGGGGTGGGCAGAAGGAAACACATAACCCCCTGCCCCCGCTGGCGTCACACAGGCCTGCCGAGGCCCTCTGCCTCCAGGAAGGAGATGCTCTGGCTCACTGCCTGTCTGGGCCACACGCCCATGGACAAGCCGGGGCACAGGCCCGGCACACACCAGAGACTCTCCCTGGCTGAGCTCAGGCTCTGCGAGAAGATGGAAGCCAGCATGGCCGCAGCCAAGGAGGAGCGGCTCAGGCTGACTGGCGGGCGCTCCCAGAGGCCTCCTTCCCCGCCTCATCTCCAAAGCCCCTGGGAAGCGCAGCCCCAACGCAAAGTTCCCCGCGCACCATTCAGCCTTTCTGGGACCTCCCCTTCCCCAGGCCTGGCCCCTGGCTCCCTGGCTGATGAGAGGATGCTGTCCAGAGCAAAATGTTCCTCCCCCAACAGCCCCGCTTGAGTACTGCCTTTCCTACCACCCCTCATCTCCCGGTTCCCCCAAACCCAAATCCTGACAGGAAAACATGGGGAAAAGAAAGGAACCCACCCTTCCTCTGGCCAGTCTATGCACGCTTGCAACAAGCACGAGAAAGTGCGTGGGCCAGAGCAGAGACATGCAAAGTCTCTGGGCGTTGTCCACTGGAGCAAGGAAGGGCCCGAGGGCTCCAGCCTCCCTGCGCTGGCACTCTACCCATTGGCTCCTCACCTGACCTCCAGGAAGTCGTTGTCTCCAACCCGCTTGCGGACCAGGTAGTCACGCACTCGGCCACCGGCCTCCTGGTGCTCCCGCAGGAGGATGACGTCCGCCTCCATCTGCTCCGCCATGCTCTTCACGGTCGCGTACGAGGCCTCCATGTCAGCCTCACTCAGCCCATACTCGGTCCCATCTGCAGAAAGGCACTTCCGTTCATTCAGAGAATTGACTGCGCCCCTCCAACTGTACCCCAGAGACCAAGGGCCTTGATCTGCACCCTTTGTGTGTCCCGAGTGGAAGTGTCCAAGTGAGAGGCACAGGGGCTTCCCAGGAAGCAGCATGTGACTGAAACCCTAACACCACAGCTGCCAGGAGGGGAGCCAGGGCACAGAAGAAATGTGGGCGAGGCCGGCGGGCAGCAGGGGCTTCAAACTGACCCCCTGTCGCGGCAGTCCAGACGCAAAGGGAAGTGCCCGGTGAGGCCTCGTGGGCCGGCTCCTTCCCCAACCTGTCTCAGGAACAGAAGGATCCAGCTGGTGACACCTGTCAGGGGCATCAGCCCTTCCTGTGTCACGGACCCTTCCTTCTGGCAGTCTGGGGGAGCCTAAAGCAAGGTGCATAAGACGGCCGAGGAAGCCAACTCCACTGAAATACTTTAAGAATCAACTCCCAGACCTCGCCTGGTCTAGGCCAGGCAGTGCTGGATCGCGGGGGAGGGAGGCCTCGAGGGCGTCCATGAGGCTGAATTAAGAGTAATGGCAGGGCAGCGTCTGGCTGTGATCTCTGCCCACAACCCCTGCAGGCACCCATCCCCACGTAGGCAAGAGAGACGTGGGGCTCGGGGAGCTCCCCAGGCTCTAGGACTTGCCAGGAGGACCCAGATTTCCTGCCTCCATGCTCATCTGGGCCCTCCTGTGGCTCAGAGCACTCCCTTCCTACTGAGCGGCCTCTAGGCCCCTCCCTCCTGACTGGAAAGCCATGCACGCCAAAGCCTCTCATGGGCTGGAGGCCCTTTGACACTCGAGGCTGGGCAGCACCAAGGCCTCCATTTGCCAGCCTCACGCTCAGAGGGATCCTCGGTCCTTGGCATTCCTCAGAGGCCTGAGTCCTGCAGCTCCACCCTCCCAGCATGGCCTCCTCCCCCCACCCCCCCCACCTGACCTGCCCTTGCCCTCGTGGGGACACTGGAGACCTCAAGCCTTCTCACTTCTCCCAGCTTTCCCCACTCTCACCTCCTGGTTTCAGTTCCTGCCCAAGCCAGGCTATTCCCCAAAGGCCACGGTAACGAAACCCTCACAAGCTCTTTAGAATGCCTTCTTCCTCGGGCCCTGTCCCACCACAGGGCTCTGCTCCTCCTGGGGTCCCCCTCTCCCATCAGCTCTGGCTGTTCCATGCCCGCCCTCCTCTCTGTGGGGGCCAACGTCCGCCCTCATGCCCCAGTCAGCATCTGCCTCTACTGTGTGGAGACCAGCCACACCTTGCAATGACCACCTCCTTTCCTCTCCCCCGGCCCCCAGCAGATTCCTCTCCTCCTTCCTGGCTCCCCCGGGGCGTTGCTCTCCTCTACAATTTACTAAGTGACTTCATCATAAAAATGGGGACAGGAAGACTGGTAGCACAAACATCATTACTCCCATTTGGCAGATGAGGAAACTGAGGCAGCTATCAAGAAGTGGAGGCTGGCTCCGCCTTCATCCCCCCCCCCACTGGCTGCTGATGGTCCTGCTTGTTGACTCTGTCCTTGCAACATATTTTGTCTCCATCCCTTCTGCCCATCACCGTCTCAGAAGCCTTCTATGGTTCCCTACAGACTAAAGGCCTAACACCCAAGCCTAGCATTTGAGGCCCTCTGTCATTGGGTTCAACCTCCTTCAAGATCATTTCATCAATTCCCATGTTCCAGGCAATCAGGCAAACCCTCCTCCTCCACTTTCCCCCATCCTTGCCTTTGTTACCATGCACTGGTGAGATGGAGAACAATCAGACCTTGCCTGCTGCATGACCATGGTCCCCTCCAGACCCCCGGCTCTGCCCCTTGCCCCTCAGGCCTGTCCGTCTGCCTGTAAAGCACTCTACAGACCTTCACGGGCCACATAAATGTCAGGTGTCACTGCTCCAAAGGTCCCATCTCCCCGTGAAGAGGTGGCTTCCGGGGATGGGGCTCCTGGCCCGCCAGGAAACAAAAGACCCCGCCAGCTGCCTTCCTGAAAAGTGGGGGGCGCCCAAAGGGCTACAAAATGTGCATACCCTTTGATCCAGCAATAGCACTTCTAGGGCTATATCCCAAAGAGATCAAACAAATGGGAAAAGGACCCACATGTACAAAAATATTCATAGCAGCTCTTTTTGTGGTGGCCAAGAATTGGAAATTGAGAGGATGCCCATCAATTGGGGAATGGCTGAGCAAGTTGTGGTATATGAATGTAAAGGAATACTATTGTGCTATAAGAAATGATGAACAGGCCGACTTCAGAAAAACCTGGGAAGACTTATATGGTCTGATGCTGAGTGAAGTGAGCAGAACCCAGAGGACTTTGTATACAATAGCAGCCACGTTATGCAATGACTAAGAATGTTAAACTGAACCCTTCTCAGCATTACGAGGATCTAAGACATCTCCAGAGGCCTCGGGATGGAAAATGCTGTCCACATCCAAAGAAAGAACTATGGAAGTCGAATCACTCTCACTTATTTTTACCTTAAGTTGAATTTTGTTTCATCTTTCTGATGGTTCCTCCTATTGGTTTTAATTTTACTTACAACTTCACTAATGTGAAAATACGTTTAATGGGTATGTAAATGTAAAGCCTATGTCAGATTGTGCGCCGTCTTGGGGAGGGTGGGGGGGGAGAAAAAGGGAGAAAAAAATTTTCAACCCAAAAGCATATGGAAAAAAAATGAAAAAAAAATAAAAAAAAGAAAAAAAAAGTAGGGGGCGCCCACAGCCCGCTGCCCTGCTGTCCAACTGCATTCCGTTTCCATCCTTCCTGGGCAGCGAGCCGCGGCCCACCCTTCCACCGGCCATACTGTGCCCCTGGCCCCAGCTCCTTAAGCTGCACCTCGAGTCAAACTCTCCCCACCCGGCCAGATACCCCTCAAGCAGCTGCAAGGAAGAATAAGAGAGAGACAGACCCCGAGTGAGGAGCCAGCCAGGGGGCCCTGATGACACAACCCAAGCCTGGCGTGCGGCTCTGCACTCAGACAAAAAGGCCTGGCGCAGGGAGATGGGGGAAAGGCGGCAGTGTGTCCTGGGGGCACTAGGAGAATCAAGCTATAATCCGAGGGGAAAGCAGGCTGGACAGAGGGCCTGGGGACAAATGCCAATGGAGGACAGGAGTGAGTTCTGTCAAGCAATCTATCCCAGCCCACCTAGAGAGAAAAATGAGAAGTTTGGGGGACAGATCCCAAGCCTGTACAGAGAGCATGGGGGCTTCAACGCTACAGTGTCAGGATGTCTCTCACTCCTTCCCTCCCTCTCCTCTGCCCCCATTTATTCTCCCTTTCCCCTCCCCCTCCCCCCTCTTTTTCTCTCTCTCCACCTGATACTTTTATCAATGGCTTGGAAAAATGAATTCAGAGGTTCCTAGAGGTAGAGCTGGGTCGTACCCAACCAGCAGATGGCCACAGCAGGAAGGCCGGCTGAGGGGGCAGAGGCAGGCCCTGACAGGCTGGAGCACTGGGCTCGATGGAGCGCAATGACATTCAATCGGGGAAATGCAGAGCCTCAGACTTGGATTCAAGAACTCCACTTCCTAAGTTCATGATGGGAGAGATATGGCAAGGGAGCTGCTTGTCCGAGAAAGATTCAGAGGGTCTAAATGGATACACGGCGCTCCTCAGGAGCATCACCCGGCTTGCAGGAAAACGAAACGAAGGAGGACACAGGGAGGACTGGACTGGGTGCCAAGTGCCCATTTCAGGAAGGCCACCGGCCAGCCAAGAGGGTCGGTGCCATGCGATGAGCGAGGAAAAGACAAGACTTGTGGAGGCCGGCTTTTGAAGAGGCAGCCAGGTAGGAGAGGAGAGGCTGCCAAGCCCGGGGGTGGCAAGGGCTGCACACACGCAGGCACACACATGCAGGCACACATGCACGCACGCGCACACACACACACACACACACACACACACACACACACACACACACACGCCAGCTCCTCCCAGGCACGTGATGGGCCAGCCGTGCTGGGGGCCTGGGCTCGTCCGGCCCACTGGCCTCGGCAGGCAGTACGAGGAGGATGCGGGGCCCTCAGGGACGCTTTCGGCTCCAGATCCGGGAGCCTGTGAATTCACTCATTCGTTCACAGACTCAGCAGGTTATGATGCTGCATGGAAAGCAGTGAAGTCTTAGCTGAGTGACTAACTGAGGCAGGAGGCAGTCGGGAGCTCTGGTGAGCAGGGAGACCGGCCCAAGGCAGAATGGCCCATTCCCCAACTGGGAAATGGCCAGAGGACACAAACAGGCAGTTTCAAAAGAGGACAGATAAAACAAAATCCTCCAAATCTCTAATTCTTAGAGAAATACAAATGAAAATGCTTCTGCGGTTCCATCTCGCCCTCCCCAGACTGGCAGAGGTGGCAGTCACTAGACCGCGCACCCGTGGCTAGGCCAAGGCCCCTTAGAGATCTGAGACAGAGGAGAAGGAGCCAGCCACACAAGTCTGTGGGAAGAGCTTTGTGTGGCTGTAAAGAACTGGGAAGGAAGGGGTGCCCCCCAGCGGGGGGCAGCAGAGTCCTGGGGCGCCATGGCCAATGACGAAAGGGACGCCTTCAGAGAAACCTGGGAAGGTTTCCTAGGAACTGATGCAGAACTGAGCAATGTCAGCAATGACAACCCTGGAATGACAAACACTTCGGAAACCCCAAAGAACCCGATCCCTGGGATGCCTCCCTGCCCCCCTGCCAGCACCCCAAGAGGCGATGAGCAAGGCACAGAGTGAGACCTGCACTGTGCTGCTGGACTATACATACTGCTGACAAGGGCCTTTTCTTTCCCGATGGGGGTGGGGCGAAGGGAGAAGAAAGAGTGGGTAGGGAAAGGGTTCCCAGACCAGAAGAAGGGGACAGAAGGAGGGCCACAAGGCATCCTAGACCAGCAGGACAGCTCTGAAAGAGATGTGAACTTATCATACACTGACGAAGAAGAGCAAGCCGGCACAGTGGAGAGCACAGCCTCCTCCTCTCCATTCCTGCAATTTTCACGGAAATGCTCATTTTGTTTGGTGTTTGCTAAGTGCAGAATAAAAAAGAGAACATTACTCGGTGTAAAATAAAACTCATTTTTTAAAAACTTCAGCATCAAAGAAGTGCAGTGTTCTGCGTGGGCTCTCCGTGGCTGGAGGGAGGCCTTCACAGAGCTCACCGCCTCCACGGCCAGCATGTGCGAGAGGGAATCTCTCAGTGCTCTAATTCTATTTACACTGGCAGCAAATGACGTCAGCCTGATTATTCTTGGCCAAGCAACAATGTCACAACTAACTGTGTGCAGAGCCTCAAAGGGCCTCCCCTTCCAAAGTCCCCAGTAGCCTCTGGGAAAAGGCCCAAATGAAGAGGAAACGCACCCCCTGCCACCGCCTGTGCCCTGGGGGACGGCCTTCCTCATCTGGAAGCCCCAGCCAGCCACTTGGCTGCCCTCCCCTCCTCAGGGATTCCTGTGCTCTCTTTGTCCCTGGTGCTGAGGCCAGAATCTGGCACTGTCATCATTACTGGCTGAGTTCATGAATGAATCCACCCTGAGGCCCCTCCCCTTTCTAACATGTTTTACAGATGCCCAGGGGAATCAGATGGCTAAACCAGGGCTCCTCATTCTGGGAATGACTAGTCTGGTCCCCTGGCACAGGCCAGCCCTTTGGATAGCTGAGATGACTCTCTTGGACATCCCAAATCTTCTCCTCACTAGGGATTTCTTCACCCACCCAGTCATCCCCAGTCTGGGCACAAGGGACTACAGTGACTCATGTGTCTGCACCGGGGTCCAGCCTAGAACAGGGCGGGGAGGGATGATGTGACTCTGAGAACCCACACCCAGCTGGGAGCCTCAGTTTCCCCATCTGTTAGATGAAGCTGCTACTCCTGGCAGGAATCTGTCCCACTGGGTGCTGACAGATAAATGAACGTTTTTCCTCCTCCCTTGCTCTGTCACAATCCACCTGCCCTCCTCATCTTCCCACTCTACTGTCCAGACACACCCCTGTCCCCACAGCTCTCCTCAGCCCCTCGGTCCTTCTTCCTTCTGGGTGGGGTGAGCACAGACGCCTGAGGGACAGAGAGTGGCTCTAATTAGAGAGGGCAGCTTGAGTCTGAAAGCCCTTCTACAAAGGGAGGCATTACATCAGGGTCGGCTCATAAGCCGTCCCTGGCCAACGTTTAAAAGACTCCCGCTTTGCAACCACCAGATCCCTGGTTCAGGGAAGCCTAAAAACATGAGCTGGCCCTTGTGAGCAGGAGCAGAAAGCACTGTCGGCCCAGGGAAGGAGGAAGCAGCTAAGCAGATGGATGAGAGGCGCCCTGGCGGGACACGGAGAGCTGGTCTGACGAGCCTCGCTGCGGCCAGGAGAGAGAGCAGCCACTGGAGGCGCTGGCCCTGCCGTCACCCTCTGACTGTCCCGGCACACAGCTACCTAGCCACAGCAACAAATTCAAACCCAGGTCCACCCTCACACTGACCGACTGCTCCAGCTGTTCAAAGCGGAACAGGGCCCTGGGGTTTGAGCCCTCCCTCCCACACCATGGCAGCCTCAGACACAGTTCTCCAACCCTGAGCAGGGGAGGGCTATGATCATACTAACTTTTCACAGATTTTAACCTGGCTGTAGGTGGGACTGGAGAAGGGAGAGATGAGGGGACTGACTTGCTGTTCTTCATGTGTGACACTCCATTTCCCACCTCCAAGCCATTACCTAGACTGTTCCCCTACCTGGACTGCCCCTCTTTCCTCACTTCCAACTCTTAGAATCCAGTTTCCTTCAAGGCTCCACTCATTCACCTCCTGGAAGAGGGCCTTTCCCCCACCCCAAATTCCCCTGTACTTACTTTATGTTCGTCTATATCATTGCCCTTATCTCCCCAGCACCCAGACCACTACCAGGCATAAGGAGACACTAACGAAATGGTTACTGGATGGCTGGGAAGTGGGTGGTGTGGCCCAAAGGCCAGGCCTCTTTGGGCCCACCTGGGGCACATGGGCTTCCTCTCGTTCTTCAGGCCCCAACGCCTTGTGCTGACCCTCTTCCTTTTTTTTTTTTTTTTGGCAACACAATCAGGGTTAAGTGACTTGCCCAGGGTAAGTATCTTGTGTCTGAGACCAGCTTTGAACTCAGGTCCTCCCGACTCTAGGACTGGTGCTCTATACACCAAGCCACCTAGCTGCACCCCCCCTTTTTATCTGCTGTTGCTGGAGAACTGCTTTGCCCAGAGGACGCTGGTCTAGCTTGAGCATGGCTCTAGTCCTGCGAGGGTGTGACGAGTCACCTTCCAGCTCCCAGGCCTGAGATGCACTGGGTCAGCTGAGGGAAGATGACCAAGTTCTAGGGGGTCTAAGGCCAGTCTTTCACTCTTCAGGCTCCATCAGTCAGCAAGCACTTATGAAGGGTTCGTGGGCCAGGGCCTGGCTAAAAACAGTGGGATACTGGTACACCCTGCAGTCTGTACGCTCGAGCTCTGTCCAGCGTAAATGGGTAGCACCCTCCCAAGGGAGGGGACAGAAGGCTTCTGCAGAAGGCGCAATGGATGACTCCGAGTGGTCCTGAGGGAAGCCAAGGAGAGGGGGGATGGACAGCCAGGAAAAGGCCCGGAGCCAGGAGAGGGGGTGTCACATGAAGAACCCCAACCCCAACAGAAGGTGAGTCACTTCTTATCAGTGGTACTAATACCACTCCTCTAGCAAGGTCCAGGGCAGACAGGAGGATGAGGACGTACCAATGAGCATTTTGCCACCATATGGCGCTACTAGAGCAAAGGGACTAATTAGCCCTATGATGCTGGATTGGAAGAGGCCATTGGGAAGCCACACAAAAGAGGGTCTACCTCAGTGGTCCTGAGGATCGAGCCTTTACTGGCCACACTGAGAGACACCATGGCACCAGAGTCCCTGAAATTGAGCGGGCCCAGACCGGAGGTAAGAAAGCAAGGACAGAGCCGAGAAACTTTCGTGATCCAACTGGCAGCAGCCAGGCAGGGGCCTTTGGAGAGCAACGAGGCCCCAATGCCAGGTATGGAGCGAAGATTCTGGGTGGGGGAGTCGTGCTGGAAAGAGTCATTGGCACCTGGCCGGGATGGAGAGAGGGAACAAGTGAGGCATTTCAGAAGGCGGGCGGCGGAGCTGAGGCCTTGGCCAAGGAGCTTCTCCCCTCTTGGCTTCCTCTGGCATTGTCTGCAGCACTTCTCACTGGAGGAATCACAGCCCCGCCACACTTCACTTACTCCATCCCAGCAGGGACCACGACTCTGACACATCTGAGGGGCGTGACCCCCCCCCACTCAAAGCAGCAGCCGCTCAAAGACTGGGTGGATAAATGTGGGACCTTGCAATGTCCTCACTTTCTGGCCTTCTCTGCAAAACTAAGGTCAGAAGCAAAGCTGCTCCTTTAACAAGGCCCCCCCCCTTTCCATCAAAGGCAGGAGAGCGGCAGATGGAAGGGCTGGGCCTGTTTATGTTCACTGGAAAGATGCCGGGCCTATCCTAGCCAGGGAAGAGAATGCTAGGATGCTGAGGGGGGGGAAGGCCTCATTTCTACTGGAGGGCAACAGAGACTCAAGCCTGTGTTGGAACCTCCGGGCCTGTGGGCTCCCAGATCCCCCAAAGCACCAGGGGCTACTTTGAAGGAAAGCCACACATTGGGGGCAGCAGGTGAAAAGAGAGTAGTCCTATCTACCCCAATGCCCACCAAACAGGCTCTAATAGAACTCTGGAAGGAGAGAGCAATGCTCGTTCATAGGCCAGCAGACAACAGGGGCCTTCCCAGGAATGTGGGATTCGGGGCCCAGGTTGGGGCTAACAAGAATCCGAGTCAGCCAGCTAGGGCTGGGAAATGGCCCGGCCCATTATTTTCCTTGTCCGGGGTCACAGGCAGAGTCAAACCCTGTTGTTCTGATGATCCAGGCTTAAAAGGGAGCCGCAGTCAGGGGCCTGGCGTCCCTCCCCCCTTGACCTCTCAGGTGGGATGCCGCCCCACAGTACTGCTGTAGCCACACTGGCAAGAGGGAAGGTGACTTCCCTCACTCACTATTTCTTTGTCTTCCTGATGGGCAGGGAAATGCAGGCAGGACTGAACACTGTGCCTTTCTCAATAACAACACCGGTGGCCCCAGGTGGGGAGGACCACAGGACCCCTACCCACCCCTCCAGGCTCCAGCCCAACTAATGCACATGACCACGGGATAGAATCAGTGAGGCTCAGGGAGCAATGTGCCTAGAGCTCTTCAGAAAGGGAAAATGAGGAGGGGCAGATGGAGTTTTTGGGTTGAAAGGAGATCACCAGGAAAATCCTACTTGGAGCTCCTGTCTGGAGTTGCTGCAACCCCAGGGGAACCCAAGCTTGTGATGCACAACCTGGCCATGGGCCATCCCAATGACTGGGGGACAGGTTTGTCCTCCAAGGGTCTGCAGAGCCTCAACACCAGGCTGGGGTTGGGGGGTGGCAGTGGGATTTTCTGCCCAAGTGACTCACAACGACAGTCTACTAAAGCAGGAAGGGGTCGCAATCTGCAGCAGCAAAGGGAGGACCCCCACCCCCCTGGCCAATGAAACCATGGATCCCAGAAGTCTTGTGACGCTGAAAGGAGAACGATGCTCACCTGATCCCTGCCCAATGACATATATGGTCTCTCCGCATCCCTCGTCCATCCTCTCCCACATCTGCCGGAGGAGGCTGTCATACTGCTCTGATGTCGGGCTTACCAGCACCAGCTAGAGGAGAAACCAGAGAGCTTAGGACTGCTGGGCACTGAGCAGCGGCCCCACCAAGGCTGACGGGACCACGACCCAGGGCCTTGCTCCTGCTTCCTCCCACACCCCTCGTCCTCTGCCCGTGGGCCAGCCTGGCTCTGCCCTTCCTCATGGGCCCAGCAGGGCTGGCCTCCCTTTCCTGCTCGCGGCCCCACAGCATAGCCCAGCACTGGCCCCTTTCTTCATTCACTCCCCGGGCAGGCCTAGCAGGGAGAGAGCTGGGCCTCCCTCCACGATGGTGTAAAAGACCTTCTCTCTCCCTACATCCTGGAGGGTTCCTCTACCCACCCACAGCCCAAGGCCACTCGCCCCAGGCAATAAAAAGCGGGAGCGGGTGAGCCCCCTCTGGGCTGTGGGGAAGCTCTGTCTCCCCACTGTAGGCTAACTTCCGAAGCGTCTCCACCGCTGGAGAAGTCTGGCCAGCTCCAGTGACTGGACCTCTGCAGCGGGTCACTGAGGGTGCCCCCAGCTGCTTTCAGAGCACGTTCTGTGCAGGGAGTCCAGTCTTCTCAGGAGGAACCTGCAGCCACCTGTCAAATGGGGCTTTGTTTGTTTACAAGTCAATCACCCAAGTTGGGCTGGGCTGTTTTCAAGAGTTTCTCAGCATAATCTCACACAAGGAGACTCTGTCAGCCCTTTGGGATCCCAAGCCCCCCCTGCCCTGAGCTGGTCTGCGTGCAGAGATGCCCGGCTGTCACTCATAAAGCCCACCCCAGATGCACTCCCTCCTCCCCCTGGCTCTGATGGCTTTCCCAGGCGCTCCGACTGCCGTCACACATGTGACAAGGCCTCCACCTTAGAGCCAACTAGGGAGCTGGGGAAGGCTGGGGCAAGACCCTCCTAGGGGAGGTGAGGGGGAAGAGGAGGAGCTAGGGACAATGGGGGCCCTTCTTATTAGGGCTGTGCCTCTGCTCTCCGTGGCCCCATGTGTTATTTTTGTGCTCACCTCCCCCCAGTCACATATACATAGGGGGGGAGGTACACACAGCACACCAAAGTCAAGCCTTGGGGGGGCCATACAGGCGGTGTGACCTGGAACCTGGACGAGGAGGTAAGAGAACTTGAGCTCTCGGCACCAGACCCTCTCCTGCCATCACGCCTTCCTGGGCAGTGGTGCTCACTAGTGCCCTCTCTCTCTCCCGGCCCCTGAAACGACTCATTGCTTTATAAATGTGCTTCAAGATTTACCCCATACGTTCTGTGTGACGTAGGCCATAGCCACATGATTGCGACTCCCACAGGGAAAGGGATTGTCCCAGGTTAGGTGGCTCCTAAACCTCAGTGCTTGGACTTGAACCCAGGTCTTCTGAAGAGAGTCTTAGAGGAGGGGTCTCGGAATGGGGGGGACACTTTCTGAATGAGAAACCAGCGGGCATTATGCAAGCATGGCTTCCTCCTGCTTGGCTTCTGGCCAAGACTCCAATGTCTCTGAGATCTGTGAACAACTGCTGAGGCAAGGGGCCCCTCCTCAGCCCCCTGACAACAACAATGCCTAGCAGAGAAAGAGGAGCTGCTGGAAAGCAGGGACTCCACCTCCTGTGCGCTGCTCTTCCTCAGTTTACCAGGCAACCCTCAGCTGTCCTGGGAGGAGGAAGAGCTGGTGCCCTGGGGGTGGAGGTGCAGCTCCTCTCTCTGGTAGCTAGATGGCGGGCTGGTGTAAGCAGCATGAGGGCTGGCTGTGGGAGCAGCAGCAGGGCCAGGGAGAAAGACCCCTGTATGAAGAATGAAGATGCTTGGCTAAGTGCCAGGCCTGGTGAAGCCCACTCCCAGCTGCCTGCCAGGGCTGTGCCAGAGCCCACAGACACAAGGTAGGCAGGGCTTCATCGCCTCAGAAGCATATGTTACAGAAGGCAGGTGTGGGTTTTCCTGCCCTCAGATCATCAAAAAGTATTTAAGGAGCCCCTATGATCCTTAAGATAACATGACTTCCAACTGCTGGGCCATGGAAATCGCTCCCCCCAGGGGCATCAGGACACCTCTGCCACCACCCCAAGTGACTTCCCCGGGACCTAGTCTCAATTGCAGAGTGACATGGGTGGGCTCGACACACAGGGGCTCCCCAGTCCTTGTCTCCAAGTGCCCTGAGGATCACTCGTCCGCCACCGCTGCCCTGACATCTACAGGGCGTCACTAACCCCCCCATCACCCACTTCAGGAGTCTGCTCCAATCCCCCTTCCCAAGGCCAGGGTCAGGTACTCCATCGGCTGTAACCAAAGCTGCAAAGCCAGGAGGTCACCCTGGGCCAGGGGCAGCAAGAGAGACCTCCCCGGATCTTAATCTGGAAGCTCCAGGTCAGCAAGGTCCCCAGGCTCTCTGAAAAGTGGGGATCACAACCCCTGTCCTGCCTGCACTACCTGCCAGACAGGGCCGGCAGGGCCCAGAGGTGGGGAGCGAGCTCAGCCACGTGAATCACCATCATTAACTGGGGGCCCGGCCCCGTGCACACAACACTCCCTCTGGGACCCCAGGGCTCGGGCAAGGCACCCCCCCCGTGGGCCTCAGCTTCTTCCTCTGTAAAATGGGGCTGGGCCAGTCCAAGGCTCCTTCCAGCTCACCTCTGGGTCACCCCCCCCAGGCCTCAGTTTCTTCCTCTGTAAAAAGAAGGGGCTGGGCCAGTGCCAGGTTCCAGCTTTCTCCTGGGTCACCCGTTCCCAGCCTCAGTTTCCTCCTCTGTAAAACAGGGGGCTGGACCCTTGGCCGCCTCAGACCCCCTTCCAGCCTGGCCCGTGAAGCCGCAGCCGGGTTTCCCACGGTCGGTGGTGGGGACGGGGGATGCCCACGTGGCGGAGGGTGGGGAAGGCGCACCAAGTGCTTATCTTTAGGGGGGAGGGGGCGGGGCAGGGGCTCTCCTCCCTCCAGATTCTCGATAAGCCAGCTGCCAGCCCGGTGTAGATCGGACTGACGCTTTGAGGGTGGGAGTCCCCGAGAGAACAGGGGGTGGGGAGGGGATGCAAAGGCTAGGGTGCTCTCCCCTCAGTTTCCCCGGGGCCTCAGTTTTCCCGCCTGCAGCGGCCGGGGGGCAGGCCGCCCCAGTAGACCCGGCGGGGGGCGGGGAGCCAGGAGGGGCGGGGCAGCGCGCCGTTGCCATGGTGTCGCCCCCTCCTCCAGCCCCTCCCGGCATGCCCCGCGCCGGGCCTAGGCCCCCGCCCGCCCCGGCCGAGCCCTGGCGATCCCCGCGCACCTTGCTGGTGAGGTCCAGCTCGGGCTCGCCGTTGAGCGCCTCCCCGTCCTCACTGCAATCCGAGTCGAAGCCCGTGTGGAGGCGGGACGCGGCGGCCGCGGCTCGGGCTGCGCCTGGGGGGCTGGGTTCCGGCGCAAACATACAGGCCGGCACCGGCGAGCCCATCGGGGAGCGGCTTCGCTCCGCCGCCATCTTCACTCGCCTCGGCTAGCTCGCCTGCCCCGCCGCCGCCGCCACTGCCGCCGCTGCTGCCGCCGGTCCCCCGGCCCGCCCCGCGCGCGCTGCATTTGACTAATTTATGCGCGTTCCCGCCCCCGGCGCTTCTGCGCAGCCGCCGATGCCGAACCAGGGTTTCTGCGCAGCTGCGACCGTCGGGGAGGGGGAGAGGATGGAGCCTGGGGAGGGGTCAACTCATGAATAATCAAGCAGCATCCCGAGCCTCCAATGGCCGCCTCCGAGGCGTCGCGGACTGCGGGGTGCCCTGACCCCCCCCCCACAACCAGTAATGATGGAAACGTCACAAGCCTTTCTCTCGGCCTCTGGGAACTGTCTTCCCTCCCCCTAAAACTACTATTTTGGCCAATAGGAGGAGGATAGGATGGATGCCGCCCCTGTCCTATGCGGAGAGGGGGGTGGGTGTTTGGCTCTTGGCCGGGCTTCTCAGCGCAGTAAAGCTTGGAAAAGTTGCAACAAAATAACCTGTGGGAAGGCCGCGGGCCAATGCTGGAAGCCGACGCTGGGCTGCGCGCCCGGGGCGGGCTCTCGTTTAAAGAGAAGCTTACTAGCACTGGCGACCGATAGCAAGTGCTCGCTCAGGAGTTTCTGGCCCGATGCCAGAGCTGCCAGAACCTGCGTCTGGCACAGGCCAGACCAGGGCCTGGCACATCGTGGGCGCCTGTTAAATGCTTCTTGCCTGGCTGTACGGAAAGCATTGCAATAATTGCTCCAACTCTGAGAAGAGCATGACTTCTGCCTGCTCTAGAGTCAGCTGGGGTTCAAATCCCACCTCAGCTACTAAGTATCCAGTGTGACCTCGGGCAAGCCAAGATCCCTGGCTGACCGGTCTTCACCGGCCAACCACAGATGAAGCACCTGCTGTGTGCCAGGCATTTCGGGGCGCTGAAGATACAAAGACACCAAGATAACTCATTTAATCCTCACCACCGCCCTGTGGGGTCGATGCGCCTAATTCTCCCCATTTTACAAATGAGGAAACTGAGTCTGAGAGAACGTGATTTGACAGCTAGTGTCTGAGTCGGAATTCAAACTCGGGTCTTCCTGACTCTATGAACCACCTGTCCACCCCTGCCTTCAATGGAGGAGAGACCTTTGAGAGGCATCGTGCCCCCTCATGGACGCAGCATTGGACTTGCAGCCATGAGGATCTGGATTCACGTCGCTGAGAGTTATGTGAACCTGCATAAATTACTTAAATCACTTTATGCCTCAGTTTCTTTATCTGCAGAAAGGGAGTAGGCTCAGTTGGTTCTAAGGGCCTCCCCAGATCAAATGATCTGTGTATCATATATGCAATATATATTGCTTCTATATAATATATGCAAAATAAATGCAATGTTTGTGGGGGTTTTATGAGGGAGGGGGAACAGGTTACCCTAATGTCAAGGAGCTAGGAGTGAGGATTCCCAGAAGGAAGAATTAAGTCATTTAACTTATCCTGCCCTGGTCCTCTGCTCCCCAACACTAAACAGCTCAATACCTTCACTAGACTAAGTTCTCCTGGGCATCCACCATCTTAACCACCTTCCCAACCTGGAGCTGATCCAGATGTGTTCTGGCCCCACACTGTCTAAAGTGACTTGCAGCCCAGAATCTCCAGCCCTGGCCTCTGTGCCTGAACCTCCCCTCACCATATGTGATGACAGGAACCCAAGCTCCTCTTAGGAATGATATAATTATGACCTGTAAGGTTTCCTGCTTCCTTCTTTCCTCACTCCCCAAAGCCCTAAACAATAATAATGACTAGAAGGTTTGCAAAGTATCTTACAATATTATCTCATTTGATCTCAGAAAAATCCTGGAAGGTAGGTGCTGCTATTGCACCCATTTTACAGATGAGGAAGCTGAAACAGAGAGAGGGGGTAACTGGCTTGTCCAGAGTCTCACACTCAGGTCTTCCTGGCTCCATGTCCAGCCTTCCATCCTGGCCCTACCTAAATAGGAATTCTGTCACCTGGGCTAATAAAGTTGGAGGTAGGAGCATCTAAGTGAAGGACGAGGGTGGGGGAATGCCCAGCTTCAGTACTAGGAGAAGGGGCAGCCTCCCTCTAAGAAGGTCTAGCCCCTGCCTCTGCACCACTGAAGTTATTTGTCCTTCATTCTTGAAGAGGGCTGCCACATCAAGAAGGTGATGCTATGACTTGCAAGTGAATTGGATTTAAGTGAGGCAGGAGATATAGATCAGGAGTACTGGAGATGGCCTCCAGCCACTGAAGTGGGGTGCTATGGAAGGTAGGTCCTGGGTAAACAATAGCCAGGCAAGGTCATCTTGAAGACGAGGCCATCATAGGACCGCGAGGCACAGGAAGGCTGATGGTCCACTCCCTAAACCATGGGCCAGGGCGGCATTTCAGATTCAGATTTGGCCAGAAAGCTGACCCTGAATAAAACTGAATCATAGCATGGAAAAGATACTCCAAAAGTATGTGGCACCTGAACCATTTCAAGTTGACTCTACCAGATGTCTAAATACATCTGGTGAGCAGGACGCATCCGGTGTGGTGACTCAGAGGGATCAGCAAAGCCATCATCTAAAGGGCACTGAGTCCTCCCAAGCTGACCTTTGATCCCACAAGATCCCGGGAAGCCTTGTCAGTGCCCTCCGGGCCAGCTAGCCTCCAGAGAAGATACTGTGCCTACCCTGACCTGGATGTGGGCTCCCTAGGACAAAGCCACCATCACCCTACTCCAGTTCTGGCTCCAACAGCAACCCTATCAGGCAGATTTTCCTAAGGCACAGGCTTCATCATGTCACTGCCATGCTCCAGAGCCACAGTGGCTCAAACGTGGAATAGTGTGGGATTCAAGGCCTTTCAAAATCTGACTCCAACCTGCCTTGCTATGTCAGTCCATCCACAAGCATTTGTTAAAGGCCTGCTGTGGTGGGGTGTCCTACTTAGCTCCTGGTCTTATCCCCTTGAACACTCTACAAATTGAGTCAGTCACGGTTCCCCAGTCATCCATATCCTACCTCTTCTCACCTGTGGGGGACTCATCCCCCCAAGCTATAATGGTCTTTCCCTCCTCCCTACCGCCAACCTGCCTTTCCATCAAGGCAACTCCTTCCATAAGTCACCTTACTTTCCTTTAACATTTAACAATTTTTCTTGTGTACTTATAATTTGTATTATTTACCTTATTTCCCCCAAAAGACCATAAATCCCCTGAGGGTAGGGACTGTAATATGTTTCCTCTTAAGCCCTCAAGTGCTTAGGACAAAAGAGCAGGCATAGGGGCAGCTAGGGGGCACAGTGGATAGAGCACCAGCCCTGAAGTCAGGAGGACCTGAGTTCAAATGTGGCCTCAGACCAAATTTAACCTGGGCAAGTCATTTAACCCCAACTGCCTAAAAGAAAAAGAACAGGCATTTCCTAGAGCTTTTTTGAATTAAAGCCAATTTTCCCAGATTGCTGTTTTGTAAGAAGTATCCTTTCTGCCTTTTTCTTTTTGGAGGCAATGAGGGTTAAGTGACTTGCTTGGTGCTCAGCTAGTGTCTGAGGTCACATTTGAACTCAGGTCCTCCTGACTCAAGGGCCAGTGTTCTATCTACCACACCATCTAGCTGCCCCCTTTCTGACTTTTTCTGAAGAAATTATCAACATGAGCTAGACTGAGGATGGTCCTGCTGTTTTCCAACAGTTGAGCACATAAGGCTTTATCAGAAAGGAAACAAACAGCTTTGTATCAAACCACTCTATCCTGGAGCAGGGGTTCTGAAACTCTGTCTTCTGGTAGCAGAGTCACATTTGTAAATGCATAAAATACAACAGATTGCAATGGAAACCAATTTTATTAAAATATAGTTATCAAAATATCAATAAAAGGAGGGTCATGGAACGCAGGTTTAAAACCTCTGCCCTAGAAAGTTTCCTTCTCCAAAAATGATGAGATGTTATTAAGCATCTTACAGAATCATTTATTCTGAAGAGAAGTGAAACTTGGAATGGGCTATCATGCCTCTAATCTTCCCCCATTACAAATTCTCCTTTTAATAAACAGATGTTAAGAAGGATATTCATGGACAAAGCACTGGCCCTGGAGTCAGAATGACCTAAGTTCAAATCTGGTCTCAGGCACTTACTAGCTATGTGACCCTGAGCAAGTCACTTAACCCCAATTGCTTCAAAAAAAAAGGAAGAAAGGAAGAAGAAAAAAAGAAGGAAGCAAGGAAGGAAAAAGAAAGATATTCAGTGCTGGGTTTTAGGTCAACATTTTGGAAAGGAAATTCCCTTTGTGTCTTATATCTGCCTCCACCTTCTGTTATGGCCCCTGATAAGTGGGTCCTGGATGCAGGCATTAGAAACTTCAAGACAATCCCCAGGGCCGAAGGCATTCAGCCAGCACAGGGCTTTATACAAAGTAGATACTCTTGACATTTCATAGGATCAAGGAACTGTAGAACTGGAAAAGACTAATCCATGAATCCTCTTTAGGAGTCCTGGCAAGTGGGCATCCAGCCATGATAACTAGGAATGCATTATCCCTCCTTCATCCTGGTAATTTCTCCCCCCTCCTTTTTTTGGACAGGTGTAACTGTTAGAAAATTTTTGCTTACAATGACCCTAACCACCACCTTGTACATGAAGCCTTTCCTTAGGCACCCAGCTGCTAGTACATTCCCTCCCCAAACTACCTTTTACTCATTTCTTATATATTATACATATACTTACAATGTACATGTTATCTTCTCTGTTAGAATGTAAGGTGAATATATCTTGTGAGGTTTCAGCAGTCAAAATTTATATTCTTTTGGGCAGAGCACCATTTTGGTCAGAAACCCTGAGGGTCTTCCCCTCTGAGATTGATTTTTTTTTTTTTGGACTAGGTAAAGAGGTCACTTTCCACCTCATTTCTTACCTAGCCTTAATCACCAAATGGGTGTTGCCTCAGACAAACTGAGATCTGTTAAAGACCTTAGTTTAAAAAGGCCAAGGTCCTCCACTGCATCTTGGGCCATCTCCAGTCATCCTGATCTATAACTTGCCATGGGACCCAGACAGTTATAGAGGAGAAAGTGAGGCCGGTGACTCGCATAGGACTCCCTCACTTAAATCCAATTTACTTGCATGTCATGGCATCACCTTCCTGATGTCATGGTCCTCTTACAAAGGACAAACAAGAAGACTGTAAGGTACTTGAGGGAAGGCACTTAGCAAAGTGCCTGGCACACAGCAGGCACTTAAGAAATGTTGATTGTCTTGTCTACCAATTGGTTTTCATTGCTACTAATTCAGAGTGTGGCAATAAGTGGCCTTGAGGGGCAGCTAGGTTGTGGAGTGGATAGAGCTCTGGCCTTGGAGTCAGGAGGACCTGAGCTCAAATCTGGCCTCAGACATTTGAGACTTATTAGCTGTGTGACCCTGGGCAAGTCACTTAACCCCAATTGCCTCTCCAAAAAGCAAAATGAAACAAACAAAAAAAACAGCCTTGAAGGGAAATTTAATATATATTTTTTCTAATTTCAAGTACTATGAACAAGAATGGAGCCTCAGAGAATAGCCAAACTGAGGAATACACTCTGCCGAGTTTCATGAGACTACAGGCTTTGAATATCTTGCCTTTCACAGTCACACGCCAGTGGGTTCAACTTTTTTTTTTTTAGGAAATTATGGTATATGTTCTAGAGCTACTCTCCCAACCCCAGCTTGGACAGTTGGGCTAGAATCTAGCTGCTAGATCCCCAGGGAAAGCTTCTTTCTCCCTGCATGTTCTAGGGGTAACCCAGAGGGGTTGGGAAGTGTCTTCCTAGAACTACAGTTTGAGCCCCTACCAGTGTGATTCCCCCTCCCCCCATCATGACTACTGGTTGAAGTAAATTAGTCAATCAGCCAGACCTAATCAGCTTTTAGAAACGAGTCAAATGAAAAAGCATGTCTTGTGTTAAGCAGTAAGGATTTAAAAATAGGCCAAAAAAAAAAGTTCCTGCTTGCAAGGAATTCACGATCTAATGAGGGAGGCAACAGGCAAATAATTCTGTACAAACAAGATAGAGCTATAGATATACATCTGGATAGAGCGCTGAGCCTGGAGTAGAGAAGACTCATTTTCCTGAGTTCAAATCTGTCCTCAGACACTTCCTAGCTGTGCGTAGACCCTAGGCAAGTCACTTCATCCTGTTTGCCTCAGTTTCCTCCTCTGTAAAATGAGCTGGAGAAGAAATGGCAAACCACTCCAGTATCTTTGCTAAGAAAAATCACTGAATAAAAAATTAGCTCTATCTACATCTATATATAAAGACAGATAGTATCTCTATCTTATTTGTACAGAATTGTTTGCATGTGTGTGTGTGTATACATATATACATACATGCATATGATGAATTGGTGATAATTGCAAAGGAAAGGCACTGCCATTAAAGGGACTTAATGGTAAGGGAAAGACTTCTTGCATAAAGTGGAATTTAAGCTGAAACTTAAAACAAGCCCAGAGGCAGAGGGGAGGAGAGAGAGAATTTCAGGCACATAGGGCAGCCCGTGAAAATGCACAGAATCAGGAGATGGAGTTTCCTGTGCAAGGAAGCAAGGAACCCAATGTCACTGCATTGTAGATTCTGTGGAAGGGAGTAAGGTAGGAAGGGGCCAGGGTGTGAAAAGGTTAAAAGCCAAAGACTGGATTTTCTATTTCATTCTGGAGGTAATAGGGAACCACTGGGACTCAATGAATGGCGGGAGGGAAAAGGGCATTTGAACGGCCAAGGAGAGGGTGGAATGGAGTGAGGAGAGGTTTGTGGCTGGGAGACAGGAGGCACCCTGGTGAATTATTTTGTGTAAGGAGTCTTTCCTTGTCTTCCTTAATATACTGCTTTCCTTTGGTTGATTATCTCCAATTTAACCCTGTCGAGCTTTTTTTGCAAAGAGAAGAGGTCGTATTCACCCCTGGTTTGATGAACTAATTCATTCCTGATGCAGGTATTGAAGCTAAGGGAGGGAGTGTCTACAGCTCATTAGACAATGAAAAAATGCAGCTGACCCAGTAATGAGTTAACCATTATGTGCCCGGATCGTTGCTGGGTTATTGCTTTTTCCTACTACTGCTTTGCCAGGTCAGCTGGGGGCACAACATCCTCCCTCTATGTACTTTTTACGTATAAAACTTAACTCAAGGACATGTGACTTCAATGACGGGGACAGCTGTTCCACTACCGCAGAATGGAACCGCTTCGGGACTTTAGAAGAGGTACTCTTGGTTTCTTGAGGTTCGTTCATTTTATGCAGCTCATTCATTATAAGAATCATACTTGAAAAATCAGGGGATTTAAATCAAAGGTTTAAATCTCATCACTGATCTTACTACCTGTGTGACCTGGGACAAATCATTTAATCTCCCTGGGCCTCAGTTTCCATATCTGTAAAATGAAGGGGTTGGGCTAGAAGGCCTAGGAGGTTGCTTCCAGCCATAGATTCAGCATCCTATGTGTGACCTTGAGCAAGTAACTGCCACTTTCTGGGCCTTGGTTTCCTTCCCTATAAAATGAGGTGGTCGGACGAGGTGGCCTTTGAAGTCCCTTCCAAGATCCTTTTCAGCAGGGCAGAACCCGCCAGTTCACATTCCTCTGGCATGGCCTTTAAAAACCAAAGGTCATCCACAGCACGAGGTGGTTCTAAGGATCATGAGAAGCAATTCTATGTGGAAAGTTCGAGGGGAGCCAGGATCTCATCTGCAGGGAGACACTCATCTTGTGCCAGGTGGCTCTTGTCCATCTGGTTCCATCAATCCTCTGCGAGGCTGGAGCCTCGAGCCTCTTCTTTGACTCTCTCATCTGGGGATAACGGCAACACCTCCTCTCTTCTTCCTCCCCTTCACTTCATGAACCACCTATTTGCTTGTGTCTTTTGTCCCACTTCAAGCGTACCAAGTCGTCATCGGTGACATTTGGGGCAGCCTGCTCATACCCGCCATTGCTGTTGTTTGAGTCACCTCTCACTACGATTCCCTTGAGATGGGAGTGTCATGTGACTCACGGCCCTAGACCATCCCCAGAAGACTGGCATGACCTGGAACACATGAACCCTACATCCATGCTATTTTTCCCACATGAAAAAATGTTCACTACTCAAAAATGCCGAATAAGGTGCTTGGAGATCAGAGGGTGAACCCAGACAAACACGAGATGGCAAATAGGGTGATAACAAGAAGTCAGATCCTGAAAAACAATATCTCAAGAGGGAGAAGTGGAAGAGGTGGAAGATATGAAGTGCCCCACCCTTCTCCCCAGCTTAATCTTAACTAACCATGGGGTCTTAACAACCACTGAATCATGGGAACATCCAGAAAACAGAGGAGGGAGGGTTGGGGTGACAGTGCAGAAGGAGAGAAATTGGCATCCCAGGATCGGAGGTGTTGAGGCCTTCAGAAGCCCCCCAGTCCAGCCCCTCACAGAAGGGTCAACCCCTTGACAACACACCAGACAAGGTCTCATCAAGCTGGTGACTAAAGCTCTCAGGGAACTCATTACCTCCCACTCCACTCTGGAGGACAGCTCTGTGCATTAGCCTCTAAATCAGTATTCCACTTTGCCTATTCATAGGGTCTCACAGACCTAGGGCTGAAGGGAAATCTTATGACCATTTAGGCCACCCTCATCCCCATCTTCCAGATGAAGACACTGAGGCTTGGTGGGGCTGACTTGCCCCAGGCCACCTGGCTAGTGAGCAGCTGAGCTAGGAATGGACCCCAGGCCTTCTGACTCCTCCTCCAGGGCTCTTTCCGCCAAACTATACTGCCTCCATGAAGAAATAAAGTCTACCATCTCCTTTGTTGATCTGAGGGACGCCTGGACTTCCCCTCTCCGTCTGATGACAACTTCTGCCCAAGGCTCCTTATCGTACCCTCTAGGGCCAAGCAGAACTCCCCCTTTGAACTTTTTAGACAGTAGCCTTCTCACCCCAAGGATGCCTCCAACCCATGGACCTCTCTTCTGACTGGTGAGTAGCTATTTCCTGGGGTGCCCAGGCCAGGCTCCCTTCAATACGGGATCCACCCCTCATTCTCAGGATTTTCTCATTTTTTCCTCAGGTGTGGGGACCCTTCCTTCCCTGCTTCCTTCTCTAGTTCCTTTTTTAAACTGTGTAGGAACTGTCTTTTTTGCGTTCCTTTGTTGTATCTTAGCATAATAGGGAGGGGGTGAGAGAAAGAGAAGAGGTAGGGGAAGAGAGGAGAGGAGAAGAGGTAGGAAAGGGGGAGGGAGGAGGAAGAAGGGGATGGGAGGAAGAGGTATGGAGGACCCAGCAGGGGGGAGGAAGAAGAAGGACGGAGAGGAGGTGGGGGGGAGGAGGAGATAAGAGGAGGAAGGAGGAGGGAGAGGAGGGGGGGGAGGGAGAGGTATGGAGGACACAGCAGGTGAGTAGAAGGAAGAAAGGAGAGGAGGTGAAGGAGGAGGGGATAAGAGAGAAGGGGGACGTGGACAGCAGAGAAGGCGGAGGAAGGGAAGGAGGAGAACAGGAGCTGCCGCCTCGGAGCTTCTTCCCTACTCCCCGCCCCCACCACGCTCACGCTGGCGTCTGACGCGCGCGCCCGCTGCTGCCGCCGCCGTCGCTGCGGGACGTGCCGTGCTGCGTCGATGCGACGGACTGTGACGCGCAGCGCAGGCCGGGGAGGGCGGGTCGAAGGGGCGGAGTTCGAGGCCGACGAGCGAAGAGAGAGGGCGTTTCCGGAGCACGCGCCCGCCGGGCGGGGGCCGGTGACGTCGAGCACGGGAACGAGCGCGCGCCCCCAGGGCTCGCTCCCTGCTCCCGCTCCTCCTCCTCCTCGCCACCCCCCCTCCCCGCCCGTGCCGAGGTCTGGGCCGGGTCCGGCGGCGGAGGTGAGTGTGGGGGCCGCGGGCCGGAGTAGGAGGAGAGCCCCCTCCAGGCTTCTGCGCCTCCAAAACCGAGCTAGAGGGGACGAGAGGCCTTGGAGAGGAAGGGGCTGAGTGCTGGGTCCCTCCTTATAAGGCTCTTGGGGGGCTGAGGCTCGGGGGAGATCCCCCTCTGCGGTCTCCTGGGGGGTTCAGGACGAGGGGATCCCCCCTGAGCGCTCACGGGGTCTGAGGATTGAGGGGATACTCTTGAGGGCTCATGGGGGGGCTCAAGAGGAGGGGATCCCCCTCTGAGGGCTGGGGGGCCAGGGAAGGAGGGGATCCCCTTTAGAGGGCTCATGGGGGACAGAGGAACGAGGGGATCCCCTTTTGAGGGCTGAGGACAGTGAAATCTCCCCTTACAGGGCTCATGGTGGGGCTGAGGATGAGGGAATCCCCCCTTTGAGGGGTTGAGGACAAGGGATCCCCCAGAGTGCTCTCCCCAGCTTCCCTTGGAGAGGGGTTCATATACCTTGTGGGACCCTGAAAGAAAAGGATTGCTTCCCCCTTCCAGACCGTGCACCCCCTTAGAGTTGCTGAGTTATTTAGGGCATCCTAAAGAGAAGGAGATCCCTGCCTTCCGGGCTGGCCCCCTCCAGCTCCCCTTGGGCAGCTTTATGCTATTTGGGGGGGCCCTGATGAGGAGTCACACGCACCCACCCCCTTAGGTTGTCTCCCACCCCTGTTCCCTTGGGGGGCAGAGCTGTTGGGGCTCTGAAACTAAAATGCTTCCTTCCCTGGGTCTCCTTCTCTTGGCAGGGGTCCCGAAGCTGGGGATGAGAATGATTCCTTCACCCTCCGCCTGGCCCCCATCCCCCGTCCATTTGGAGGGTCTTATCCCTCCTTTAGGTGGGGGTGTCTCCCCAACGAACAAAACCTTGCCCTGGGGGCAGGGATTGGGTTTGTCCAGGCAGTCCAGTTCTCCCCACTCTCCCACTTCCTGGCTGGGCTCCCTCCCCCACCCCATCCCCCTTTCCCTCCTCGACCCGGGCGTCTGGCCCTGCTTGCTGGCTTCTGGTCATTTGCAGGCAACTTGTTGTTGGCCGGGGATGCTGATTGGAGTTCCTCCCTCTTCCGCAGGGCCCTAGGAGGAGCCCCGAGCAGGGCATCGGCCGCCTCTGCAGCGCTGCCCTCTTCCACCTTGGCATGTGTTGGGCAGCATCTTGCAGCTCCCAAAGGGATGGAGCCCTGCCCCCAAAGGCAGGGGTGTGGTCCCTGAGGCCTTGGGCTGCCACCTGCTAGCCTGACCTTCCTCCCTTTCTGATTCATCCTCTGCCTGAGGAGATGGAAGAAAAAGAGAGATGTGGTCCAGCCCCCTCGACACTCTTCAGTTAAAGTTCACTTGTTCTCCCAAGCGAGGAAGAAGGGGACGATGGTCCTGGGTCTTGGACATTTTTTGGGTATCCAGCACTTTAGCAGTAGAGATAATGGCAAAATAAACTGAGGCATAAAGAGTTGTTTTTCTACTGAAAACAGGATTTTTTGGAGGTTTTTGTTACTGCTGTTTCCAGGCTCTACTCTGAGGTAAATCATGGCCCCTAGAGACTGAGGTGAGCCCCACCTATCGCAGAAAGACCCAGGAGGCTACATTCTTCCTCGGAGGGGAGGGGTGGGGAGCTTTGGAGGCCACCTCTTTCTGGAAAATAAAAACATGAGTTGCATGCCATGGAGAGGTGACAAGACCAAATCAGAGTCATTGGAATTGCCCCAGCCAGCGCCCCCCCAGATCTACCATGAGAAGCAGCGTCGGGAGCTGTGCGCCCTCCACGCACTCAACAATGTCTTCCAAGACAGCAATGCTTTCACCCGGGAAACACTGCAGGAGATTTTCCAGAGGTAGGAGAATTACTTTTCCACCTGCGGTTCTCATCTCCTGGATGGTTGGGATTTCTCGTTTTCTTGAGGGAGGGAAGGGAATGAAGCATGTCCCAAATTTCCTTACGCGCACACACGCCCCTAGAAGTGACCCTCCCTGTCAGAAGACCGAAAGCAGGCCTGCCTGGGGACAGGAGTTGCCCCTTTTGAGTTCTCGTTTTTGGTGTGTTTTCAGAGGTTGCGAGGATTATTTCTGCAGTTTCTGGATGGACCCCAAGCAATCCTGGCTGTGAGCCTGTCAGACCTTTCCAACTAGAAAGAGCTGGGCCTGCTTGGGACTGAGCCGAGAGGAAACTTAGGGATCCTCTGGTCGAGGCGGCCCCACCCAGAATGGGGATGCTGGGGGACCTCTTTGGGAGTTAGAAATGCTGCCTCGTGGGGCTGGACTCCAGCTAGGAAGAAGCACCTTCTTGCAGACCTTGGATGGAGCTTTGAGAGCACAATCACTTTTCTCTTCAAAGGCTCTTCATCTCAGTGCGCTAAGTTTTAATGAGAATAATTACTTTCTAATGGCAATGATAACTTTATTTGTGGTGATGTGTGGGCAGGGACCTCACTGGCCCTGCATCATGGCATTCATCGAGTGGTGAGCAGAAACCCCTCCATTTGGGAATTGAGGCCTAGGAGGTGAAATAACTCACCCCCAATCTCGTCATCCCATTACGTGGAGGAGCACTTCCTGCTCCAAGTCTTTCTTGTCAGTAGTTACCCCAGGTGTAGACAAGAAAGAGATCAGCTGCCTTTCACTGGGCACCAGGGAAGGGCTGAATGACTGGTCTTACAGACATGCTGCTGCCTCTTCACCTCCAGCTGTTAAAGAGCTGACACATGCCTCTGAGGCGGGAGGAAGGCTGGACCGAGTGTGTATGAGGAGCCATCAGCCCACTTGCTATGACTGGAAGAACAGAATGCCTCCCATGCACTTGGCAGGACAGCGTGAGGGCTCTAGGAATAAGACCCACTCCCTGGACTAGACTATGAACGAGGCAGGGTACTTTGGGCCTCTTGGCCAGTTGAATGGAGTCTGCTTAAGTTGGGCAGGATTCTCCTTAGGGGAGGGGAGGTCAGAAGTGTTAGAGGGACAGAAAGTGGAGGGTTCAGTGCACGAAGTGGGAACAGGGTAAAATGAGACTACAGAGGTCAGAGCCGGATTGAGGAGGCCTTTGAGACGATGGGCTAAAGGAGTTTGGACAGTGGGAGTCATGAAGGGCCACAGAGCAGGGGAGGGACCGCATCAGAACTGGTGGTTAGAAAGACCTCGACAGAGTAGACTAGAGAAGAGCTGTGCTCACTCAGTTCCTTTGAAATAAACTGCCAGATTTCTGTTTTCTTAGCAGTTGAACATGTGGTAACTGTCATCCTAGAAGAAAGGTGTGCTGTGAGGCTGTAAGGTGCTAGACTTGGAGGCAGGCAGACCTGAACTGTATCCCGCCTCAGACACTTAGAAGCTCAGTGGCTCTGGGTTGGTCACTTTACCCGTGCCTGCCTCAGTTTCCTTACCTTTAAAATGGGGGTGATAACAATAGCACCTCCTTTCCAGGGTGGTTGTGAAGATCTGGTAAGATAGTAAATGGGAGGTGTTGTGGAAACGGTAGCCGTTCTCATCTTTGCTTATTATTATAAACCGAGAAGAAGGAGTTGTATGGAAGTAGGGCTTACACAGAAGGAACCGTAAAATTCAGCCAACCCAAAACTTTGAGGGGAGGAAGATGGACAGAACGTCAGCTGAGATGGTCTAGAAGGTGCTTGGACTTGATTGAAATGAGTTGGGAGAGTGTTGGTGACAGCACTGGGAATGTAAAGGGCTTTTTAACTAGGCTTGTGTGTGAAGGCCAGAGGGAGGAAGCGTTTAGGAGGCCATCGGTGAGGCACTCGGAGGCCCTGACAGCTGTTAGAGCTCACTGGTCCTTGCTGCCCGCCCTGGAACGGTCGCCGGCGTTGACTGGCAGCGTCCAGCGTCAAGGCCTGGGTCCTGCAGGCAGCTCTGCCCCTCAGCAGTCACTGAGCCTACCTGGTCGGTGGGGGGCGGGGCCGGCAGGTTCAGCCATCCCTTCCAAGGCCAGCACGGAGCGGCGAGTCTGTGCCGATGTCAGTGAGAAGGTACCGCCAAGGGCTAGGGTCATCGTCCTTGGCTTCTGGGAGTATCTTCGTGCCCAGGGAGGCAGAAGCGGAGGTCAGAGCTCCAGAGGCAGAAGGGACCAACCCTAGACACTGTGGAGTGCAATACAAATGGAGAAAACCAAGGCTTTGGGGGGAAGGAGCTTGGAAGGGAATAGATACTTCTGGAGCTGGAGGGGGAGCCTGGAGACTGGTTCGACCATTTTAAAGAGGACACTGAGAATGAGAGAGGTGCGTGACAGGCCAAGGGTCCTCGGATGGAGGCCATTGGGTCCAGCCCCCTCATGGTTCAGCTGCAGGATGGGCCCAGGGAGGTGACCTCAGTCTTCCAAGGCTACCCTTGCTTGGGGTCTCTTTAATTATAGGCCAGAGAGAGCGAGGTGTGGGTACAAGCCTCCTTGGTGGGGCCCTTGAGGAGGATTTGGTGACAAGCTTCCCAGTCTCTGAGTAGACAGGTGGATTCTTACACGAGGCCAAGCAGGACAGACGGAATGACCCAGCAGAGCCTCAGACATGTCAGCCCTGAGGGGAAGGAAAAGGCTCTTGGGCTGTCCTACAGAGGAACCGCTGCTGCACCTCACACGTGGTGGTTGCCAGGGCGCTTAATGCTCTGATACTCTGGAGAATTTGATCCTGCGCAGGAGGAGGAGAAGGAAGTCCGCCTTATCCAGGGGTGGGGAACCTGCAGCCCTCTAGGTCCTCACGTGCGGTCCTTTAACTGAATCCAAACTTACTTGTTCTGTGAAGTTTGCATTCAGTCAGAGGGCCACACTGAGGGCCAGATGTGGCCTCAAGGCCGCAGGTTCCCCACCCCTGCCCTCATCCCCAGGCCTTGGGTTTGTGTGCATCCATACCGGCCTGGGTCGTGCTGAGCCCAGCTGAGGCGGCTGGGATGCCGAGCACAGCTCAGTGCAGCAGGCCGGTTTTGTCCCTGGGACCACTGGCCTTTCCCGGAATGAGATTGAAGGTGCTTCCAGCTCAGCCTTGATTAATCACAAAGTGCTCCCTTTGTGGCCAGAGGGACAACCACAGAAGACAGTCCCTGCCCTTCAGGAGCTTTTAATTAGTTGAAGATGAAACTTACCTGTAGGAAACGTGCAAGACAGGGTATAATTAAGTGTCAGATTGTGTGATAGCATCTGTGAATGCAGTAGGAATTCAGGAAAGGGAGAGATCTTTGCGCTAATCAGAGAAAGCTTTTTGGATGGGATGAAACTTGAGGTGAACCTGGGAGGGAGATGAGGGTTGGGACTGTTGAGGAGGCCTATTTCAGGAAAGGGGCAGGGACCCCAAGGGATGAGGGCAGGAGTAAGCATGGGGTTTATGGGTGGGAATAAGGAGGCTGTGAGGGTCTGGGAGGTCAGGGTGGATATGAATGCCAGGTTGAGGGGTTGTTGTGGGAGCATGCATGACATCTGCCTAAACCTCCAGCCCCCTAATTGGACTGCCCACTGAGAGGCAGGCAGGTAGTGGTCAGGAAGGCCTCCGGCCTGCTCAGCTGCAAGACATTGACCTTTCTCAGCCCCATCCTTCTCCAGGCTGCTCAGAGAATTGTCCTAAGGGACTTTACTGCCGAGCCACACCCCTGCTTAAAGCCTAGAGGATAAATAGAAGGTCCTTGGATCCAGCCTGCCTCCCCACTAGCTCCTCATTCCCACTGGCTTCTCATCAGCTTTATCTTCCTTAAGGAAGCTCAGTCAATCATAAGCCTTCCTTGATTCTCCAGGGGGTGGTGTCAGCTCGGTTCCTTCCTGAATTACCTTATATTTACTTATTTGGAGACATGTGGTATTCCCTAGCAGGGCAGGGACCTTCTCACATTTGTCTCTGAACCCCAAACCCCTACTCCTACTGCCTTGCACATAGTAGGTACTTAACTTATGTTGAGCTCAATTAAGTTGTTTTGGGAAGATTAATCTGGAAGTCGTATGTATAGGGTGGCCTTAGGAAGGTGTTTTGGGGACCCACATGTGGAGGAAGAGCCCACACCAGGGCCAGAGCCATGGCAGTGGAAAAGAGGGGACAGTCAACAGCATTAATAGGGAATAATAAGAAGAAAAACTCAGAGATGATGAGGTTTTTTTTTAATCTGTGGGATGCTGAGAACAGAGACACGCAACAGGCAGGCAGACTTCTTTATGGGCAAAATGTTCTAAACTAACACCCGTCAGGAAGATTAGAGGACTTGGTGTGACCCACGGGAGTTTGAGAAGGAGAGGGACAGGGTCAGAGGGGAGTGGGGAGAGATGGGAAGCAGGGAGACCAGACTTTGGCATGGTGCAGTCCCTAGATGAGAAGGGGAAGACATCAAGGGCCCACTGCTATCGGGTGGTTTATGGAAAGGCCACGTGCAGAAGAGAGCTGAGCCCGGAGGGCCGTGAGCATCCAGAATCCGGAGAGGCAGAAGAGGGTGGGAGGCAGGCAGGCATCCTCCGTGATGCGTGTGCAGAGGAGTAGGGCGCTATCAGGAAAGGAGGAGGGAAGGGAGGCCAGGCTGACAGCAGAGCCTCCTGGCGGAGGGCGAGTGCCAGGCCAGAGAGGTCAGGCTGCATCACCCTCCCCGTCATGGCAGCTCTGCCAAGGGAAGGGGCTTTTGGCAGGCAGGTCCTAGTCTACCAGCTCTGAATGAGACAAGCCCCTGTTGCTGGCAGTGATGAGAGCTCTGGGGACTTTGGAATAAGGGTAACTTTTACATGGTAAAAAAAAGTATCTGTCTGGTTTGAAGAAACAGGGCAAGGATGATTGAGCCTGGTACATTGATTAATTTTGATTGTCACGTGAATGCATATATACTTGAGGACCCCATGATTTCACTAGTGTAGGTATAAGGCAGACCACACGCATACCTGAGCAAATACTTAATGGCCTTCTGTGCCCAAAAGAATTCATCCGATAGTGACCAGCTTTTCTGGTAAGGAGCCTTTCTAACCCAAGCTAAGCCAGTCGTGTGTCGGGCCCACACCTCAACCCTCTTCAGCCTACCTGACCTCATCCTTCTCTGGCACGGCCTTCCAAAATCCAGGATCCACAGCACTGAAGTATAAGAAAGCTGCTTGCCTCAGAAGTGGAGCCAGATGTCACAAGGAAACCCAAATGATTAAAATATATGGAACCTTAAGAGCAATGATGAAAACACCCACTCTAAGGGGTTCCTCTGACCTCAGCAATGAGGCTCGGCCCTTGTAAGGCGTGGGCTGTGGGAGTGGTGTCTAACAGCCTGGTCGAGAATTCCATAAACGTGGGTCCTCCAGTGAAAATGCCCCATCTCCTGTAAGTAGCATTCCCTGACTATGGCACATAAAAAGGGGGGTCATCTCGAGGACACCTACCCCGAGACAAGTGAACACTTTCTGGGATTTAGTTAAACTGCACTCTGAGGTGGACAGGTACAATTATAAAAAGTAATGGTCAGGAAACAACTGTAGGGGGAGTAAGACGGAGCACCCGCTCAACGTCCAGGGTGGCACTGGGCAAGAGGCCACATAGTGTGGCAAGGTCGCTAGACTGGCCGTCAGGTAGGCATAAGTTTGAGTCCAGGCTTTGCCACTTCCCAGCTCTGCCCTTCAGTTTGGTTATCTGCGAAACAGGAACACCCACTCTACCAGTGGGTCACAGAGTGGCTGGGAGCAAAGCACTCCGTCAAGCTTCAGCACCGGACGAGGTAAGGACCCCCTGGGCACACCTGGGATAGGCACAGAAGCCCTTCCAGATCCCAAGAGCGAGCCCATCTCCTTCCACGTTTGCAGGCTGTCTCCCAACACCATGGTGACGCCCCACAAAAAGAGCATGCTGGGAAATGGGAACTACGACGTGAATGTCATCATGGCGGCCCTTCAGACCAAAGGCTATGAAGCGGTTTGGTGGGACAAGCGAAGGTAACGGAAACCAGATCTGGCAGGCTGGAGGCTGACCCTGTATACTGTGGTGGAAGCCAGAGCTTCCAGCAAGGTCACTCCTCAGCCTTACAGTTGATGGCATGAATGGGAGGCAGATGCTGTGGCCTCGGGGAGCTGCCTGTTTCACAATTTCTCTTTCCTCAGGGACGTCAGTGTCATTGCCCTCTCTAACGTCATGGGCTTCATCATGAATCTGCCCTCCAGCCTCTGCTGGGGCCCGCTGAAGCTTCCGCTCAAAAGGCAGCACTGGATCTGTGTCCGAGAGGTGGGGGGCACCTACTACAACCTTGACTCCAAGCTCAAGGTGCCTGAGTGGATTGGAGGCGAGAGTGAGCTCAGGTGGGCCTTCTGCTTTGGGGGCGTGACCCAGGAAGGACTGGGGGGAAGTCCTTCTCAGCTCCATTTCCCCCTCGACTTTCCGTAAGGCTGTAGAAATAACTTTAGAGACTTGCATGGCTCGCAGTCTCCCCCTATCGAAAGTGGCAGTGTCACTACTGGTTGTGATGCATTAACGTTGGGCAGGAATTTCCCTGTGACCAATTGGACCCTTGCTGTGGCAGACGAGCATGAGGCTAGCCAGATGCCGGCCTCCCCAAGGGCATTTAGGGCTCCCCCAGTTTTAGGGAATGGACTGCCCCAAGGCTGACGTTGGCCGTCTGCGGCCTCTCTCTTCTGTCTCATTAGTTTGCCTTCTTCCCACAGGAAATTTCTGAAACATGAGCTGCGAGGAAAGAACTGTGAGCTACTGCTTGTCGTCCCAGAAGAGGTGGAGGCCCACCAGAGCTGGAGGGCAGATGTCTAATCCAGCTCGGCCCTTTTCTCCCTCTCCTCCTCCCCGCCTCCCCCTCTTCCTGTCTTGTGGCCTGTCACCATAGGTCTCTCCCTCTCCTGCCCCCATATCTTGTTGAGTTTGTCCTTCCCAGACTTGGCGATGCAGTAGGTCAGCTGGGAGGATAACCACTCGTTCCTGGAGAAGGAAAGAAGGGAGGATATGGTCCACGTTCCCCAGGGTTCGCTCTCAGAGCAGAGGAGGAGAAAGGATGGTCTTAGCAGTGACTTTCTCCTTCCTTAGAGAGGTCACACGTTGGACTTCGACACAACCCTTGCTGGAGTTAACCGCCCGCTGCCCCTGATTTGGAGATGCTGCCTCCACTTTCCCTTTCCTGTCAGACTTTTGGGTCTGAAGAGACTCATGAAGCCCAGATGACTGGCTTGGAGGGCCACAAGCATAGGGGGTCTCTCAGGAAATCATCTTCATAACCTTACTTAGCAATGGTACAGCAAGCCGAATGACTCCAACCCTCAGCCCCACCTCAACTGCGAGTATATCTCCAAAGAAAGGGGCCATCCTGAGCATTTTTCAAAAGGAAAATTTCTTTAAATTGGGCATTAGTTGAATTCTGCCATGTTTAGGAGGGGCAAGGGTAGGGTAGCTGCACACACACTAAATGAGGGTGTGACCTGGCCTTGGGTGGCTTGTTTTATGAAGTCTCCACCATTTCACTACATTGGGTGGAAGTAGGGGGAGGACGCTGTAGTAGGAAGGGAAGTGGACGTCTTCAGCCGCACCCCCAAGCGTCTCAAGAGAATGAGCTGAAAACACTCTTTTATACAGGGATTCTAATAGTTGAGGACTGAACAACATGGAAGGCGTTGGGAGCCAGCAGAAGGACTGGGAATGGAGGCCGCTGCAAGAGCCAGAACCCTCCAATTGGGTGGCAGGAGCTTTGTGGGACGTGGCCGTTGACAGGTTAGCTCAGGAATGACCTTTCTCTGTCAGCCAACAGCCACTTTTCTCTTCTAACTCTGGAATGTGAAAGGGGCAGAGGGCAGAAGGCAGAGAGGATGGGGATTCGGCTCTCCTGACCCTGGTCATCTGAGCACAGTTGTGGCCACCTTAGAAACAAAGGCACAGAAGTGGCCTGTTTGCCTGTCATTGATGACGGTGCTGACGGCTGAGCACCATGCTGGGCAGACTTCTCTCCAGCAGCAGAACAGGACCATAGGACAAGCCTGAGCAGGCCTCGCTGGCCTGAGCCATCAGTAGCTTTCTCCCACCTGTGACTGGAGCGCATGTTTACACCAGCACTCTTCTGCACACTTACCTACAATCCAACAAGGCCATTTTTTATGCTGAATGATGGCGGCCAGAAAGCAGTTCCTGCATCATACCCTCCCAACACCTGGTCACGATGTCTTCTGCACCGTTTTCCACACTAGACTTGCTGCTTGGCCCCTTGAGGAGCTCTTTACCCCTGCAAGATGACATTCCATTCACCACCACCAGCCAGAAGATCCAGCCAACTTTGGTGGGCCTATAGGAGGAGCTCTGTCCATGACAGCAAGCCATTTCCTGGGAAGGAACCTGCTTAGATCCATGCAAATGGCACAAGAGGCCTCACGCCAATGGAATATGCAAAGACGCTTTACAAACATTTCAGGGCTGGTTTCTCTGTTCATATCCAACTCTGGTGCTCAGGAACAGGGACCCATGCTGATGTCCGAGGGCATGGAGACCCCTATCCCTACAAGGAAGGGGGTCCCCTGGCCCTATTGCCCATCAGTGGGCAACCCTAGGCTGTTTATTTTTCTTGCTTCCCTTCCTCCCTTTTGTTGGCCTTGTGCTGGGTTTGTTTACAGAGGATGTATTTTGTTTAACCAAATATTAAAAAAAAAAAAGGAAAACTCTCCACATATAAATCCCATTACTCGTCTGTCTGCCTGAGTTCTGTAATTAAGTATGTAAAAGGAAACAAAAAAAAATAAACCCTTTTCTTTACTGTGTTGTTGATTTCCTATAAAGGGGTTTACTTCTCAAGGGTAGCACAGATTTTCCTTACTGCCCACTTTGGGTCAAGTTAGCTTACTTGTAGCCAGGGAGCCCAAGGCCGTACCATACTTTTATAGGCTTGGGCCCAAATCTGGCTCTTTTCCTTGTCTCTTGTGTCAGTTTCCTTATCTGTAAAATAAAGGGAGACTACATGACTCCTGTGATCCTTTCCAGGCTTAAATCCTATGGTCCCAATTCACACAAATTTACTAAGAGATTGAATCCCCATCATATATATTGGAAATGCAAACAGGTTTTTCAGAAACAAATCTATTGTGACATAGGCCTTGGTAATAGTGAATATCCCCAAGGATGTAAGTCTTGGTAGGGCAGGAATCAGACCTCCCACACCATCTTAGAGGCTGTCTGTGAATCTGATTTCTTGGGAGTGAATCTTGTCTCTCTCCGTTTTGCCACCCCAAGCCATGGAGGCCTTTCAGGTTGCTAGGGCTAAGAAAAAAGACTAAGTAGCCAAAGTCCTGGAGACCAGCCTCTCCATCCTTCACTGGACCAATCCTTGGAAGGCAGACACATTATTTGAAGCTTTTTAGGTCCTGCCAGAGCTGGCCTCCATCCTTGGCCTAACCCCCCACCCCAGTTCACATACAAAATAAAACCAATATTTGATCAACTTAATTGGTTACTCACCCTCTGCAAATGGCTTTTTTATAAGGCTGTGGCAAGCTCTGGAACCTTTTCCATTTATTGTTCTCCAGCAGTCCCTGGAGAGCTGTAGATGGGCCTCTGGCTAGCCCCCACCCAATGCAAGGTGAATACAGGCCACTGTCTGGGTGAGATTATTGGCTAATGAAGGAAAACATGGAACAGACGGCGTAGCCTGACACTGCCTTGCTTGGGAGAACTGGGTGGTCATGCTACTGGCAGCTTATGTAAAATCTAATCCACAGGAGCCAGTGGGGAGAGTCACTACCCCAAAGGAGATGAATAAGCCATATGGCCAAGACCTGGAGTTGGAATCATTTTTATTATTTAATATAAAACAGCACTGATTTTCTCATACACACATTGCTTTACAGGGCAAACAAAAACAGCCAGCACACCAGGAGGGAGCTATGATTCCTTCATCCTGAACTCTGCCCCCTGGCCTTGAGAACACGCAGATTCACAGTGACTCTTGTCAACCCCACACTTGATGCACTGGGTCTGATTCGAGTTTCTCCCCCAACAGTTCTCAATGAGTGGTCAGGAACACACTCCTGCTGCCTTCAGTTCCCCCAGGAAAAGGCAAGGGATCTCTTATTGAAAGCAGCTTAGCAATGGGGATGAGAGGCCAGAGCTGGGGTCACTGCATCCTTGCACTCACTTGTATCAGAGGAGGAGCACTGAAGAAAAAACCTCATGCCAGTGTGGAGGGCAGAACTGAAACACACACCTCTAGAGAGGGGGTGGGGAAGATTCTGCCCATAGTGTTCAGATGGTTCAACATGCCCCAAAAAACCCAGAAAAAATAAAAATGTTTCAAATAATCAACAGTTTGCAAACAGTTGAATTTGAAACTTCTCCCCTCAAGCACAGTCAGATGCAGCTGATTTCCCCTAAATCTTTCCGGGAAGTGGAGGTAAGGCCCCTGGCATCCCTCCAGACAGCCCCGTATTAGGACCAAGGAGTATCTGTAAGAGAAAGGAAGGCGTCATAAGAAAAAAGAGCCATTCACATCCACAGGAGTGACCAACCAGCAAAGGACCTGAGATCACCTAATCCAGCCCCCTTCACCTGACAGACACTGAGGCTCGTCCAACATGGACTCTGTCGTGGGATTCACTGTCTAGGCATTCCTGCTTCAATGAGGCCCCTGCTAGCTCTCAGACTCACATCTGTCCACACACTTACATACTCAGGTGTGTGAATCAAGGTTCATTCAAGTGAAGAAGGGCCCAATTCAGCCTTGAGTGTGACCCAGAGGCTGTCTGAGCTAAATCCGCCCCACCCCCTAGCCCCTCACCTGCCGCTGCTGTAGCTGCTGCTGCTGCTCCATCTGTAGCTTCTCCGTTTCAAAGACAACCGGAAGAACAAGGATCATGAATGAGGTGGTCCCGATCCACAACGCTGCCCTGGAGAACCTGCCCCAAACCACAGGAAGACAGGGTGAGCCTGGCACATGGGATCCTAGCAGAGTATATCCTTCAGGCTTCCTCAGAAGCTCTGAAGGAAACCCACTGGTATAATGGGGAGTGTTCTCACTTTCCCTTTCTGTAAAGTACAGAAACTCCCTACTTCACAGGGGTGCTAGGAGGGAAAGCACCTGGTATGGATTATCTTTACTTTTAAATGTGGGAGCATGACGAAGGAGTCAGGAGGCCTCGATTCAAATCTTGGCCCTGAAATGTATGAGTTGCCTAAAAATGGCGAATCCCTTCACTTCTCAGTGGCACCAGACGGAAAGGGATTTGCTTCGGGCAGCAGCTCACCTGTACATTTTCTGGGCCACTGTGAGGGAGAGGTCAAAGGTGGCTCCAGCGGCGGACCGGACACTTTCAGGGAACATCTCCGTCAGGCCCCAGAGTCTCTCGGCCAAGGTCTCATCAAGCTGCAGAATTGAAGAAGGAGGTGAAAACCACAGCAGGGCTCTGGTCTCCAGCGACAAGCTGGAGTCAGAGGGACCGAGTGAAACCGCAGCTGTGTTCTATCTTGGTCACCTCTGTGTTCTATCTTGGTCACCTCTGTCAATTGCTATTCTGTGCCTCAGTTTCCTCCTCTGTAAAAGTAAGGGCTTGGATCAGACAATCACTGACGTCCCTTTCGGCTCTAGATCTCTGCTGTGATGACTTGGCTGTCCTCCTTCCCCTTCGGCTTCTCATCCCCTTCCCAGCAAGCCCTGGTAGACCACAGATCACAGGTTTAGAGCTGGAAGGGGCCCTAGCCCTCATCTGACAGTAATAAAAGTGAGCATTTATACAGCAGCTACCATGTGCACCAGCACTTTGCAATTATCTTACTGGATTCTTGCAACAACCCTGGGAGGGAGGCGCTGTATTATCCCCATGTTACAGAAGAGGAAACTGAGGCAAGTAGAAGTTAAGTGATTGGTTGATTCGAACTCGGGTCTTCCTGACTCCAGGCTCACTGCTCTGGTCCAGCCCCCTCATTAGAGAGCTTCTACTACTTCATCAGCCTCCTCCTAGAGAGGAGAGGCTGCAGACACAACAGAAGGCCCATCTGTAATTCACAAGCAGTTACTGGTCTCTGGGGATACCAAGGCAAAAACAGGCTTCCTGCCCTGGGGGAGCCCACCTTGGGGGGTGGGGCAAGATGACAACGGGGCCACACAAGGCAAACCCAGGGGAGCAGCCTGGCCCTGAAAGGGAGCTGGGTTCCAGTCCTGCCTCCCAGGATTCCTATGAGTCTCTCAAATCTACACTACCAAGGGGTCAGTGCGAGTACTCTGAGTCCACAGCCTCGTCAGAAGCCCTGGATTCAAGTTCTGACACCACTGTGACCTTGGGCCACTCTCTCCCCTTCTGGGCCTCAGGGAGAGGCCCTACCCGACCTTGAGCACCTCCTGGCCCTTGGTCCTGGGTTCAAATCCCAGCTCTGCCCCTAGCTCACTGGGTCACCCAGAGGCACTGACTAAGCCACTCTCCTCCACTGGGCCTCAGTTTCCTTATCTGTCACATGTCAGCTTCGGCCTATCATCACCCTCCTCTGCCCCCTGCCCCCTTATACAGTGGGCGCCTAATAAGTGCTCGCTGCATGCAAAAGGCGAAGTGTTCGGAGTCAGAGGGCCTAGCTCCCCGGACCCGCTCTGGAGGCCTCAGTTTCCTAGTCTGTAAAGTGGGCAGGGTCACCTCAGTGCGCCCTCTGCGGGCGCTTCGGCCCCGCCCCCGGCCCCGCCCCCCGGGGCCACGCGCTGCCGCTTCCCCGGCCCCCCCCTCCCCCAGCTCGGGGGCGCCCTGCCTGGCCCCGGCCGCACCTCGTCGTCGTCGTCGTCCTCCAGCTCCTCCTCGACCTCCTCGGCGTTGCTCTTCTGCAGCAAATCCTCCGCCGACCCCGCCGACCCCGAGGGCGACACGGCAGAAGTGGCGACAGAGGCGGCGGACGAGGCGGCGGCCATGGCTCTAGGGGACACCGGAAGCGGAAAGGAGGAGGCGAGGCTCCAGGGCGGGCAGAGCGTCCGGGGAGGGGCGGGGAAGGGGGAGAGCGTGAGAGCGCGAGCGCCCCCGCGCGGCCCGGAGGGAGGACGGACTTCTCGGAGGCCTTTAGATTCAAGGTGCGTCAATTCCGCCCTAGTGCTGTGGGTGGCGGCCTCGAGGCCACCCGTGGCCCTCTAGGTCCTCAAGGCGGCCCTTTGACGGAACCCAAACTTCACAGAACAAATCCTGAACACCTGGAGGGCCACGGGTGGCCTCGAGGCCGCAGGTTCCGCACTCCTGGAAGGCTTTGATAAACAGCTGAGCTGCTGCAGGGCCTGCCCACTCATTGAGGAGACCTCTGACAGTGATTTCCCGGGGGCAGGCGCTGTCCTTGGTGCCTCGGCCCACGGGCGCACTGTGGGGCCTGACCTGTAGCGACTTTGGCCAAAGTGCTTCCTCGTACTGGGATGGGACAGGGAGTCATAAATGCAGATTGTGGGCAAGGGAACGGAGCCTCCACCAGGGTGCCTGCCCGCAGGGAGCTTACGGTCTGCTCGGCCAGGGCAGAGTGAAGCAAGCAGATGGAAAACCACAGGTCATGTCAAAAGGCAAAGAAAAGGCCGGTGGTTTAACAGTAATAACTTCATACCTCTAAGTAAGCCAAAGAGCGACCCATCCAAGGGGTAGGTCCCCTCCCTAGGAAGGAAGGAAGGAATAAAGTGTTCACTGTGCTAAGCGCCATCCCTTGGAGAAGCCAGACAACCCCTGCCCTCGGGGAGCTCACCTTCTAATGAGAGCCACAGCACACGGGGGAGGTTTCAGTTGCAAGTCCAGCGGAAAGGCCCCATGGTCCTGAGGGCGCCACAACAAAGCAGATGGTGGGGCCTTGTCTTCAATGTCATTTCCACTGATATATTTCTTTTTCTAAATTTTTATTTATTTAATTTTTGAATTGTGGAATAAAACAAGCATTTCTATAACAGTGTAATAAAAGATGATTGCACATGAAACTGCATTAGGTACAACTTGCTATTCCTTTTAAATATATAGTAGTTATCATGTAAATTTCTTTTTTTCCTCTCCTCCCCCACCCTAGAGATGGCTACTTACTATTAGACACAAATATGTGTGTGTATATGCATGTATATAGAGCAGTGTGTGTATATATATATAAGTATATATATAGTACATATATACATAGGTGTATATACATATACACATTTACATATGCAAAATCATTCTATACATACATCTACTTATCAATTCTTTCTCTGGATGCAGATACGGCCTTCCCTCATATGTCCTTTGTAGTTAATTTGGGCATTTATAAAAGTCAAAATGACTTATTTGCTCAGTTTTTCTTTTTTTAAGGCAAGGACTGTCTTTTTTTTTTTAAACCTTTTCTTGTATTCCTGGTTTTTATTTTTATTTCTTGGGCAATGGGGGTTAAGTGACTTGCCCAGGGCCACACAGCTAGAGAAAGTGTCTGAGGCCAGGTTTGAACTCAGGTCCTCCTGACTGCAGGGGTGGTGCTCTATCCACTGTGCCACCTAGCTGCCCCCTGCTCAGTTCTTAAAACAATATTGCTGTTACTGTATATGGCATTCTGTTGATTCTGTTCATTTTGCTCTTCGTTATGTTTTGCAAGTATGAGAAATCCTCTCTTGTATTTAATAATTATTGTATTAGGACCAAGGCTTTTCCCCTTTTCTACTTCCTCATCCAGAAATCAACCAGTGTGGGAAATCTCAGGCAGAGATTTATCCAGGCCAAGATCTAATCAGTCAGTGAAAGAGATTCTAAGTTTGGGCTACTGGGTGCATTCCTGCTCATTGTGTTTGCTCAGACAGGTCTGGGGAAGTGTGAATCCTCCCTTTTGTTAGACAGGTGACATGGAAATTGATGTCTCTTTGACCAAGATTTGGGTGACCCAAGTCACGTACCCTAAGACCCTCATTGTAATATTCATCTTCCATTAACTGTTAACCAATCAGTGTTGATTGCCACCCTTAGGAACACCTGTTCTTCCATGGGCATATAAATTGTGAGCCCACTGCCATGAGGGGTCTTTGATCTGACACAAACATGCCGGCCTTATTAATATAATGATTAAATTACCCAGAAATTACATCCCTCGCATCTGTATTTAAATGTCACACAAGTCTATTCATGTTTTCCTAAGATCATTGAGCTCATCATTTCTTCTAGCACAGTACTATTTCATCACATTCATATACCGTAACTTATTCAGCCATTCCCTAATTGATCGGCATCCCTGCAATTTCTAGTTCTTTGCCCCCACAAAGAGAGTTACTATAACTATTTCCACTGATATATTTCTGATGGTGAACCATTGGCTACAGCCAAGGACTTCGGTGATAAGAACTTTCCTTTCTGTGGCCTTCTGCAGCTGTGGCTGCAGCCCCTGCAGGAAGGAGCCATGCCCAGGCTGCATCTTCCCAGGATGGTGGTGGAGGGCACTGAGCTGGTAGCACAGCTATTCCCAAGGCTCTTGGGCTCAGGCTCCTGGTCTGTCTCCATCAGGGTCTGAGGGGACACAGTCAGGGTGATGGTAGCCTGACTTGCCTGACTCTCCCCCAGGGTGCCCTGCTGCTTCAGTGAGGCCAGCTCGCCTGCCCTGAGAATGGAGTCAGTGAGGAGTGGAGGTGTATCGGCAGATGACCGCTGGTTAGCCTGGGCTGGGGCTGCTGCCACTCCTGCATCTATCCTCCTGCTGGTGAGAATTGGTCAGCAGCGTTCCTGGCTCTCATTTCCCTTCCCCTGAGCCGACAGGAAAGCCTGAAGCCCTAGCAGGAATGACGGCATCTCATCTTTATGTTGTCCTCCAAGTCTGCAAGGCATGTCCTCGGCTTTGATCCACAGCCTCTCCCCCAGCGTTGGCCCTTGTGAGACGTCATGCCCTGACCTCATCAGAAGCACCTCTGAGCACCCAGTGTGTGGCCTCCCTTGTTCTCTGTCCCACCTGCCATCGAGGCACAGAGATGGCCAGTCTCCACTAGGCCGCAGGGGCAGAAGCACGTGAGACACAACAGGACTGATTTCATCGTCTTTAATGAAAACAGAAACAGCAAAAACTAGAAAAACTGCACAGCCGTGGCAGCCGCCAGAAGAGGTGGTGGCTGGAAGAGCCACTGCAGCCACCAAGCTACTAATCTGGGAGAGGGACAGACCAGGCCAGAGGCCAGCACCGGACCTCAGGCCACGACGCGCCTTGGCGGGGGAGGGGGCGGCTCTGCCCTCCATCGGGTTAGCTCTGGCTGGGGCTGCTTCGCCACATCACCCCAAGATCTCCGGGCTCTGGATCGAGTCCCCATCTTCTCCTGGAGCAGAGGCACGGCTCCAGCCCATCCTGCATGGCGCTGTCCTCTGCCACCTGGACGTGTCCACCAGGGCCAGCCCCTCCCTCTTCCCTGACCCTTGGACACCGACCCCCGGGGCCTGGCACCTCTGACATCACTTCCTCCTCCGGCTAATGCTCTTCAGCTCATCCAGCTCCTTCTCCATGAGGTGGGACTCGGCTGTGGTCTCAGAGAGCTGGAAGGAACGTGGGAGATAATCAGCTGATGATTCTGGGGCCTCGGCAGGGCTGGCCCTCCTGTCCAGAGACAGGGGAAGACGTTGGAAGGAGTCACTCATCTGAGGGGTCCGGAAGCCAAGGGATGGGCTCCCAACAGGGGAACACTTGTTCAGCCCAAAGATGCAGCTGCCTCTATGGGGAGATTTTCCGACCACCTGAGGCCCACGTCAGGAACAAAACCAGAAATGGGGAACATCTAAGGGGCCCCAGAAAGTAACAATGACAGGGTGGGGGGATTCTTATGGGGCCAACGGACAGGCACCAGCCTGGCTCAGATATTGGCAGAGGCCGGGGGCCTGTCTCCTCCACAGCAACCCCCATCACGGCAGGCCCACCCCCTCGCCACATCTGGCCCCTTGCTGAGTCTGGTGGGATGCCCTGGCCCAGCCCCTCTCCATGTCCAGCAGGACCCCCATCCCGGTCCCTCACCACGTCCAGCGGGATGCCCCGGCCCGGCCCCTTGCTGCGTCTGGCCCTTCACTATATCCAGCAGGACACCCTGGTCCAGCCCCTCACCATGTCCAGCAGGATGTCCACTTTGAGCCGTAGGAGGTTATTTTCTTCTTCCAGCTGCTGGTTCCTCTTCCGCAGTCGCTGGGCCTCCCTGCGGTCTCCGCCTCCACAGGCCCCTGACTCTAAGGGAGAAGAGCAGCGGAAGCCATGAGGACCCCCCTCCCCAGGCAGGGGCCCCAGCGTGCAGCCTGCGCGTCTCACCCGCTATCCACTGGCCGTTTTCAAACTTGAGGCTCTGCCCAGCCAGGTTCATGGTCGGCGTCCCATAGTCCAATCCCAGCTCGACCTCCCGAGTGGATCTGTCCAGCTGTGGGGAACAAACAGAGCAGACCCTAGCTCAGTGCCGAGCCTGAACTTGGTGCACCAGGAGCACTTCATCAAGACTGCCACGGGAGAGTAGGTGGCCTAACAGATGGCTTCAGTGGCCTCCAAGAGGGAGCCCAGTACTTTGTGAGCCTGTGCCTCAGTTTCCTCACTTAAAAATGGGGCTAATGATCTCCGCCTGTCTCAGAGCTGTTCTGATGACCCAACGAAATCACGTGTGCGAGAGTGCTGTGTAACTGTGAAGTACCCCACAGATGGGATGGGGCTCCCGTCGTCTTTGGAAGGCTGTGGCCGGCCTCCTGCACGCTAGGCCCAGAAAACAGCGACCAGCTGTCACCTCTGCCACCATCCCTTCATGCACAAGACCCAGTTTTGTCCTCACAATATGGAGATGTAAGCAGGCCAAGAATCGTCGCCCCTGTTCTCAGGGGATGATACGGAGGCTCAGAGACAGTTAACGACGTCCCCAGAGTTACAAGGTTAGTGATCAAAGGAACAGCTCTTCTTTCAACTATGCCAACCATGGATAAAGAATTTCCCTCATCACAGCTTTACTTTCCTCATTTCCAGTTGGGCAATACAGTTCCTCTTCTTTCTCCCTCCCTCTGCCACAGAGGGTACCATACCCGTACCTGCAGGTACTCTGCCTGCAGGAATCCAGATTTTGATTGCTGAAACCTCCCGAGATACACTGGCATTTACAGTTCGATTTCCTCCTAAAGGACCATGTCTTAAACCCGTACCCTTGGGCTCTCATAGACTGGCCAACGAAGGTCCCAGACCAAGCCCCACCTGGTCACTGTTTGGGCTTAGATGGCTCAGAGTGAGTGTAAATAGCAATTGTTTCTGTTTTGGCCAAAAACCCTTGGGTCATTTCTTACCCAGCCTTAATCACCGAATGGCTGTAGCCTCAGACAAACTGAGCCCTGTTAAGACCTTAGCCTAAAAAGGCCAAGATCCCCCAGTGCATCTGGGGCCACCTCCAGGTATCCTGATTTCCATCTTGTGGTGGGGCTGGTGACCTTGCACAGCCCTCCCTCGCTTCAATCCAATTCACCTGCAAGTCACAGCATCATCTCCCTAAAGTCATGGTCCTCTTTAACAACAACTTTCCTCATTAGGAAAAGGGCTGGGACAAGCAGATTTCCCATTACTCTCTGCACTGGCTGGCCCAGGGGCCCACAGTGGGGTGTGTGTGCTCTGGGATGGGGAGGGGAATTCCAGGCCCGAGAAGGGGCGCCATCTACCTTTGCCAAGCACCGACTGTCTACCTATGAGCAGTGAATGGAAACGATGAGGTAGATTTTGGGGAACTCCTTGCGCTGGAACAACAGAATGGACTGCCTTGGAAGGTAGTGAGTTAGTAATAGTTAGGCTTCATGAGGTGTGTTAAGGTTTGCAGAAAGCTTTACCATAGTCAGTAATCCTTACAATAACACTGGGAAGTAGGTGCTAGTAATATGCCCATTTCACAGATGAAGAAACTTTGGTAGAAAGAGGTTTGGGCCCTTGCCCAGGGTCCCACAGCTAGTAAGTGGCTGAAGCCAGATTTGAACTCAGGTCCTCCTGACTCCAGGCCCGGCACTCTGGCACCACCAGCTGCCTCTTAGTTTCCTGTGGCCCAGATGGCTATTTCCTAGTGATATTATAGAGGGAATTTCAGTGTGAGAATATGTTGAACCGAATGACCTCAGAGGTCTTTCCCAGTGATAAGATTCTACAATTTTATTCACGTGATGTTGGAAGAGTGACTGCCCTTCTCCGGAGGCTGCCAGACACTGGACAGAAAGGCCGACAGGATGCTGGTCAGGGTCTGGAGTCACTGGCTCTGCCATGGATAAGAAGCATGACTTGGGGGCAAAGGAGGAGTTTGCTCTGCTGGCCTGCCCTGTGACCTTCACTGACTGGCATGACCTTTGTCCTCAGAGCATTTCCTCGTCCTCATGGTCCTTTTTCCTTCTCCAAACTTAAAACAGGTGAGAACTGATTTTAGACCCAGGAACTCTGAGGAATACAGGGAGCAGGGAAGAAGCCAGCTGCTCCACTCCTGACCCAGCAGGGACAGACCCCAGATGTTCCTGCCTGGACAAGGCCAGTGAAAGATCTGGCTCGGCTTGACCAGGTGTGTTTGTGACAAGGACTTTCTTTCTTTTTCTTTCTTTTCCCTTGGAGGGAAAGAAAATAAATGCTTATTAATTGAAAAAATTCATTAAAAAAAAAACTCAACCCGTTTTTTCACAGAATCTTAAGAGTTCAAAGGGACCTTAGTGAAGATTGGGAGCATTTCTGCCAGTCAGGACTATGGCTACATGACTGCGCAGCGTGGGGTGGTGCACGGGGAACCGGCCTCAAAGCCAGCAAGACCGAGGCTCAACTTCTGCTTCTGACACATGTGGGCTGAGTGACCTTGGGTGACCTGGTGACCTCTCCATGCCCTAGGCAACTCTGACACCGCAGCCACCCACACCTCCATGAGGGAAATCCCTGGCTCCAGCCGCTATTCCTGCTATCCAAATGCATGTTGTCCCCTGGGGGCTGGGAGAGGGCTCCTCTACTTGTCCCAGTGAAGATGCCACAGCTCAGATCATCTTTGAAATACATCAAGGTCCTGGTTCATGCTATTCTGGAGATCTGTCATGACAGTGAATCCTGATCCTTTCCCCAAAGTGAGTCAGGTTTTTTGAAACTGTCAAAGACATTTGGTACCAAGTCTGGGGAGGAAAGGAAGTGATAAAGCTGGGTAACAAATGTTGGGGTCTTTTTTCCCCATTAACCAACTGTGACAATGCAGCAATGAGGCCAATCTTCTGATGTGACAAATGGGCTCTAAAGACAGTGCCCTTCGAAGGAAGCCCCCAGACCTCTGAGCAAGGATCCCCTCATTGAACAAGGCCTCCTCAGCCCTCCTGGGCCTGCCCGGCAGGACGCGTCTGCCCCGTATCTTTGTGGTGACTCCTCCTCGTTTGGCCAGGGAAGTCCCGTCCATCCCCCCGGCCCTGGCCCCACACACACACTCACAGAGTGCAGATTGGAAAGAGAGGCAGACTTCCGAGGGGGCGTCTTCTTGGGGCTGAACGTATTCCCAAAGAGGGGCATCTCTGGTGGGCTCCCAGTACAGGTCTGCCTTCTCCTAGAGCCGAGGGAAGAAAGCAGGGAGATGTTAGGTGACTTCTATGGGTGGCCTCTGTCACCGGGCCCAGGTCACAAGGATGTGCTACTCAGAACCCCGAGATGCTTTTTACTTTGTTTAAGTCCCATCCAGGAATGCAAATGGCATGCGGCCAAATGCCATTCTCTCATTAATTATCTCCATATCCCAACAGCAGGCACTCAGAAAGGGTGAGCCAACCCTGGGGATAGGAATAGCCATCACTGGACTTACTGAGTTACGTGGCGGAGAAAATGAAAAGAGCCCATACTGAGACAGAAGAACACAGCTTAAGTCACTCCCCTTGTCTGTGCCTCAGTTTCCTCATCTACAAAGATAGTGATTAAAAGGCTTTGATGGTTGACCCCACGGGATCATTTGAGGCAGCCCTGGACAGTGAAAAGACCAGGAGGACTGAGAGCCAGAAGGGACTTTAGTTTACAAATGAGGAAACGAAAGCCCAGAAAGGTTGCCTTGCCTTAGGTCATACGGGTAGTGAGCAGCATGCCTGGAATTTGAGCCCAGGCCCGTGAGCTCTACGTCTTGTGTTATAGCTGTTTCCTCGAGGCCATGAGATGGAATATTTCCCCAACACTCAGCAGCCCCATATACGTAAAGCAGCCCCCAACCCTGCCCTCACCAGGCAGCCGGGCTTGCTTTACAAAGCATCCTCCTCTCCCAGCTCATCCATTGCCTCCATTTTGATTACTGGTAATAATAATGACTCTACCATGTATCCCGCCATCGAAGAATGCTACCAGGGACATTTAAATATAAGTGGGCATGAGAGAGGAATCTTCACCCAAATCCTCCCTGGACTCACTTAACCTTCACCTTCTCAGTGTGCCTCAAAGAGCTGACGGCCTTGACAAAGCACCAAAGCTCCTCCATCAAGGTTCAGAGGTGACAGTTCAGGGCGGGGACGGGGTCCTCCCAGAAGAGATCTACCTCATTTACCACTGGCTTGTCCTGAGGGTCCAAAGGCTGGTATCTAAAGCCACAACGGCAGGGTGCCGTGTAAACATCAGCGACGGCATCACTGCTGTGGGCTACACACACTCAGCACGTGCCTCCCACAGGCAAGGAGGGCACTGGACAAAAAGGCAGTGCGGACCCCAGCGGGGGGGATGGGCAGAAGGACTGCCTGGAGAAGGGTCAGGGAGATCCATCTGGACACGGGATCAGGAGAACCGCGGCTCTGGAGCTGGAGGGTCCAAACTGCCAGCGCCCAGCTGCAGATGAGGAAACTGAGGTAAAGTGACTCTGCCCAGGGTCAGCCAGCCAGGAAGGGGCTGGGGCAGGATTCAAACTCCAGGCCTTCCTGACTGACGTCTGGCATTCCTGACGGCCTCTCAGCTCGGGCTGTGTGGCCCCGGGCGAATCACTTCCCCTCTCTGAAGTTGCATCAACAGCCCCAATACCTGTGCTCTCAACCCCACGGAAGAAAGAAGACAGAGCCCCTTGTCAACTCCAAGGCGCTAATATGGCTGAGCCGTTATTAAACAGCCCTGAGCTAAACCAGGAGCTTGGGAGACAGGGGTAAACATCGACACAGGCCCTGCCTTCAAGAAGTTCCTCTTCTCTGCAGCAGACGCACACAACAATATACAGAGCCCGCTATGTGCCAAGGGCATTTGATCCTCACAACAACTCTGGGGGGTAGGTGACACTATTATGCCCATATGACAGATGGGGAAAGCGAGGCAGACGGAGGTGAAGTGACTTGCCCAGGGTTACACAGCTAGGAAGTGTCCGAGGCTGGATCTGAACTCAGATCTTCCTGACTCTGGGCCAAGTGCTCTATCCCCTGCACATATACAAACCTGCCGGTCATTTAAAATATGAATATTAAGCACCTGCTGTGGGCCTTGGTCTCTCTGCGGGGTACTGGGGATGGCCCAGACACGGACGAGCCTGCCCAAAAGACCTGATTCCCTACTGGGGGAGCCCGCGCGCAAGTGTTAGGTGCCTACTGTGTGCCTGGCCCGGGCTGGAGCGCTGAGAACGTCCTGACGAGGAGACCCTGCCTTCTGGAAGCTTACATTCTCTCGAGACAACACATACGGAAACGAGTTCGTGAAAACCCACGACTCCCCGTGCGCAGATTACGCGCCTGCGGTTTGCCTGGCCCAAGTCGGGTGCTGCCTGTCTCCTGGAGGGGACCACTCATACACAAACAGAAAGGGACCCAGGCCCAGATAGAAGAACGCACGTACCTGCAGATCTCCGCCTGCGCCCGGCCCGAAAGTCGCGCAAACCAACGGCTAGGTAGCGCATGCGCAGCACCGCCTCGGGCTCTACCACTGCCTGGCAGCGGGGGTGGAGGGCAGATTGCGGGGGAGGCTGGAGTTTGTCAGAAAGAGGACGCATCCGCTCCAACTGCCGTCGGATTCGTCTGACCTTCTTGGAGGGAAACCACGAGGGTCAGCTCGGATATGCTCCCCGATATAAACCGAGAAACGGAAAATGTCACGTTCTCCCCTGTGCCTCCTACGACCATTGCGCTCGTCTCCATGCCAACAATAGCGGCTCCCGAGGGACGACCCTGAGGTCGCCATAGTAACGGCGTCGCGCCGTTCCGAGACGGGCTTGAGCGCGTGCGCACACACATACACATAGGAATGAGGCTCTCCTTGGGGAGGACGGAGGCCGCGAAGGGCCAACAGCGGGGTCGCTATGGGAACGTCGGAACGCACAGTGGGCCAGAGCCACGATGGACATTGGTCCCGACGGCCCCACCCCAGTAGGGCCCCCATGTCTTGGCTCCGGGGCGTCCTACAGGGAGTCCACCCGGTCCTCGAGGGATCCTTGGCGGGACCGGCCTCGGAGCAGGTAGCGCCCCAGCTCAGGTAATGGCCAACGCCCCCGCCTTTCACGACAGCGCCGCGCTTTACGGCTCCTCTCCCCCGCCCCATACACGTCTTTGCCTCCATTTTACGCCTTTGCCCCCATTTTACGGCGCGCGAACCTGAGGCCCAGAGGAGTCTAGTGGTTTGGGCGAGGTCGGGTGACTTTTAAAGCCCGTCTCCGCTGGCCGCCAGGGGCGCCGCCCTACATTGTTCCATCTCCCGCCTCCGCGCCTTTGCCCCCATGTGAGACCGCCTAGTAGTACCCCCTCCGAGGGAGATACTGTGTACATGTGTTACATCCGTCCGCTGGGTGGTGCAGTGGGGCCAGGAAGACCCGAATTCAAATCCTGCCTCACTCATTAGCTGCATAGCCCCAGGCAAGTCATTCATCCTCTGTGGCCCTTGTTGGGAGGGTCTAAGGAGAGGTTTGTAAAGGTGCCCACCACACAGTAGGCGCTCAATACATGCTTATTCCCGCCCTCCCCGAGGGAGCGCACAGTAGGCCCTTTGTAAGGGCTCCTTGAACGAGTGGACTGCCGCCTCGGCATACAGTAGGTGCTTACTAAATGTTCGTGCTGCACAGCCTTGTGTTCCGGAGGTAGGGTGAGAATCGGTGCCCAAGGCCGCAGGACTGATCCGTTTGGCTTGGGGCGCATTGATTGGTTGGTTAATAGGAAGTGACAGAGAGTGAACCGGAGTCTGCGTGTGAGGGAATAGGCAGTTATTAAGCGCCTGCTGTGTGCCCGCATGCTGCGCTAGAGGCTCTGCGAACATCCCGTTGGGATCTGTGGACGCCCAGCCCGGGAGCCCCTTCCTGCCCCGGCCCCTCCTTGGCCTAGTTCGCACCCCGTGGAAGATGACAGCTGCCATTTCCACCCTCCGTGGGTTAGGGCAGGAAGGTCTGGTCTCTGTGTCCCCAGAGCCGTGGAAGCCCAGAAGAAACACATGCTGTTGACCGAAGGCGCAGACCCCTTCCTTTTGCGTCTGTATTCCCAGGGCTAGCCTGCCTCGGCTCGCAGTGGGCCCGGCGGTGGAGTGAAGGAGGGAGGGAGGGAGTGGGCCAACGAATGGACAGATAGCCCGTGAGTGACCACAGAGGGTGAGAATGCTACCGAGTCAGCTGAGCCTCCCGGGAGAAGCTTCTGCGCTCCTGACAAGTCAGCCCCCCCCCGCAGTCTGCAGGAAAGACGCGTCCGGAGTGACTGTGATGAGAGGAGGGGAGACGTGAGCGAAGGGCCGGCCAGGAAGAGGCCAGGGGACGCAGACGGGCCCGGTCACGCCTCGGGGGAGCTTGGGGACGTCCTTTCTCAGGGCCTCGGTCTTCCCAGCCTCAGGAATCCTCCGTGAGGAGGCTTGTGACTGTGTCGTGGCCTCCCCCGACTCCGTGGGGGGCTCTCAAAGGCTGGGCCACTGGAGGGGAAGCTGGCCCAGCATCTTCTACCACGTCTGTGAGGACAGCTTCCAGGGCAGGCCCAGGGTGGACTGGGCCACGGAAGGGCCTGTCTAGACTCCTCACGAGGTGATTGACCACCAGGGGTCCAACCTCAGAATCACAGAATTTGGGGCGGGTGCCCATCTGCAGAAGGAGCCCCCCACTGTGCTGTATGTGACAGGGATTGGCAGCCTCAGCCGGCAGACCGGCAGGGAAGGGGAGCCCAGCCCCTCTGTCCGCTGAGGGGCAGCTCTTGTGGAGGGAAGGGCTTCTTCTTGGCCGTGTCCCCCCGTGGCCCCTGCGTCTGTTCTCTGGGGGGAACGAGTCTGGTCCCTTCTCCAGTGACAGCCCTTCAGAGCCTCAAAGGCAGCTCTCGTGACCCCCAGTCTTCTCTTCCCCAGCTCCTTCAGCCCATCTTTACAGAGTGTAGACTTGAGGCTCTTCCCATCCTGACTGCCTGCCTTGGGGCACAGACTGCCTCCTGAGGTGCACTTGGGGGCCTCCGTGCAGATGGAAGCAGGGGTCCTTGACGTGTTAGCCTTACCTCGACAGAAGAGGCATGGCCAAGGTGTGCTGGGCGGTGGTTGGTTTCTGTGGGATGATGGACTCTGGTTAGGAGGGCCTTTAGAAGGGGGCATGGGTAGAGTGGGGAGTTGGGAGACGGGGGCTGGCCTTGCTGTTGCCTTCAGCTAACCCTGGGGACTCTAGGGTGAGTCCCCACCACGCGCTTGACCTCAGTTTCCTCATATCAAATGAGAGGATTGCTCTCTATGGGCCCTCCATTTAATACACACACACACACATACACACTCACACACACACATGCACACACAATACACACACACACTCACACATGCACATGTACATACACACATGCACACACACACACATATACACACGCGCACACACTTTTTTTACTCAGAACTTAAACACCAAGTAAAATAGGCATTTTTCTCTCTACAGAGTAGAACATACAAGGAGGATCGTACCTGAAGCTGGGGACTTCTCGCTTTTCCATTAATTTCATAGCTGGGGTGGTGATCAGACATAACAGCACAAGTTACAAATCCATCCAGATGCACAGAAAGTCAGCGCCTTGTTATGTACAAATGACAATGAGCAAAGCCCAGTGATTTCTGCCACAATTCTCCAATAAATCCCACATGTTCCCAGCAAAGCCGGCCTGTTTGGCTCAGGTTATTTCTGACCTTCTCTGCTATGCATTTAAAGTAAATAAAAAATAATACTTCAGCAGCCCTCTGGTTCTCTGTCCTGTCTCTGTCTGTCTGTCTCTCTCTCTCTGTCCCCCTCCCTCTCTCTCTCCCCCTCCCTCTCTCTCCCTCCCTCTCTGTCTCTCTTCCTCTCTCTGTCTCTCTCTCTCTGTCTCTCTCTGTCTCTCTGTGTCTCCCTTTCTCTCTCTATCTCTGTGTGTGTGTCTCTCTGTGTCTCCCTTTCTCTCTCTATCTCTGTGTGTGTGTCTCTCTGTGTCTCCCTCTGTCTCTGTCTCTCTCCATCTCTGTCTCTCTCTCTCTCCCTCTCTCTGTCTCTCTCTCTGTCTCTCTCTGTCTCTCTCTCTCTGCCTCTCTCTGTCTCCTTCTCTCTGTCTCTCTCCCTATCTCTGTGTCTCTCTCCCTCTTTGTCTGTCTCTGTCTGTCTGTGTCTCCCTTTCTCTGTGTGTGTGTGTGTCTCTGTGTCTCCTTCTCTCTGTCTGTCTCTTTCTGTCTCCCTCCCTCCTCTCTCTCTCTCTCTCTCTCTCTCTCTCTCTCTCTCTCTCTCTCTCTCTCTGTGTCTCTCCTTTTTGCCCAGCCCCTTCCCTCCAGGCCCTGCAGTAGAAAAAACAAAAACAAAGTCCTTGTAACAAGTGCGTGGTCAGAGTGGATTCCCATGTTGACCCTGCCCAACGTTTGACTCTCATCGTGCACACCGAAGGCCCTTCCAATTCTGTATGCGCTGCTCCTGGGAGAGTGATTTCACATGTGTTTGGCTTTTCCATTTGTGCTGCCGTGTTTCATGGCCAGCCCTACCTCCTCATTCTTGTCTCACTGCCTAAGAGAAAGGTCAGGGGGCAACTAGGGGGCACAGTGGATGGAGCACTGGCCCTGAAGTCAGGAGACCTGAGTTCAAATGTGGCCTCAGACCAAGCACTTGACACTTACTAGCTGTGTGACCCTGGGCAGGTCACTTAACCCCAAGTGCCTGAAAAAAAAGAGGTGAGAAGGTGTGGAGAGGTACTGTGTTTTGGGCAGTGCATTTCTGTAGGTAGTGAGTGGCCTCCATGAGGGGCCCACAGATGGCTTGTAGACAGACGGCGCCGCCCCCCACCCCCCACCGGCAACCTGAGAATGAAGAGCAGCAGGACGGAGCTGGACCAGGGTGCTTAACCTCTTAGCATATGCGTGAACTTGGATGGGAGAACAGTCGCACCCTGAGTTTCACTAACTTTGGCTTTCTTTTCTAATCCTGTACATTAAGAGCATGATTCTGATTCTGAGGAGGAGTGCACAGGTCCCTTCAGATAGACTGGCCCCAGAAAAGGTTAAAAGCCTTGGTGTGCAGTCTAACTGCTCCATTTTACAGATGGGGAAACTAAGGCTCTATAAGCTGGAGTGATTTGCCTAGTGTCCCACCATGATGCATAGACTAGCAGGGAATTCCAATCCACTTCTGACTCCAAATCCAGTTCTTTTCTGCAAACTAAGCCGTGCTGCCTTAGAGCCAAGGGTGGGGGAGAAGAGACAGGCCATAATGTTGATGTCTCACTGCCTCCTTTCACCTTTTTGTCCTTTTTCAGATTTTCTGAACTTGAAGGAATCTTAGAGATCTCCTGGCCTAATATCCCCATCATACAGAGTAGGAAATGGAGGCCCGGAGCAAGGAAGGGGCTTGTCTGGGATCACCGAGCCAGCTGAGCCGGCTCTGGGATCCAAGCTTGTGTCTCCCGGCTCTTTTCCCAGTCAGAGGACGGAGCACCTCATGCCGGGCTCTCCAAAGTGAGTCTCTGTGGGATGCTGTCAGCCGTCCCCCGCACCTGGAGCCAGAGTGCCTGAGCACCGTGGAACTGCCCCAGAGCCCGCGAGAGAAGACGCGCGACACCAGGTTGGTCCCATGTGAAGCCAGGCCCGCTGTGGCCCGGTCTGGGTCTCAGGCCTCTGGCCCTGAAAACTCCAGTATTGGTCATGGCGTCTCCTAGGGCTTAGCTCAGAGCCTGGCACGTAGCAGGCGCTGTCTAAATGCTGGCTCAGATGATTAGTGATGACTATTACTTCTGCAGGGCTTTCCAGCCAGTTTACAAAGCCAAGCTTATCTCCGCTGTGCAGATGAGGAAGCACATAGCCTGTAAGAGGCCTTGAACCCAGACCCCACCAGGCTGGCCGAGCAGGGACATTGTCAGTCTTGAAAGACTGATGCTGAGGGGCTCCCACCGAAGTGGCCTTGCTCATCTAACATCGGCTGGGTCCTTTGAGGAATCTGCCTTGTTCCTCCTGAGCACATGGGTCTTGGTTGGTCTTTCCCACCCTCTGGTTTTCCCAGATGGTCTCGAGTTATTTGTGACTCCTGTCAGCTGGTGGATCAGAGAACACAGTGCGGGGGGGAGGCAGGCTTTTTGTTTGTTTGTTTGATCTTCACAGAAACTTTCTGTCCGCGTGCAGGAGCAGAGATGCCGCTCAGCATGGGAATGCTGGAGCTCATCAACTTCAGTGCCATCCCCATGGTCCCCCTTGACGATGACCTGGCGACTTCGTCCAAGGAGAAGCGCATACAGCATGAAGAGCTGAAGATGCGAGTGAAACAGAGCCCTCCCTGTATCTTCTGGTGATGTCACCTGCCTTGGGCCGCAAAGCCAGACCCCGGACGAGGGAAGGGGCCCCGAGGACAGCAGGCGCTTGGCTTTCCCTGCCTCCCCTCCCTCCCCTCCCTCCTCTCCCTTCTGGGCTCCACAGAATGAGAAGGGACCCACGGGGGTCATCGGCTCAGTCGGTGGGAAGATGCCCTGGTGTTGGGAGGCCGCGGGCCTGGCCTCTAGGGTTGCACTGTGTGGTAATTCTCCTCATGGGGGAACTGAGGGAGCCCTTCCCGCTTTGCCACATCTGAGGAGGCCCACCGGCTTAGCCCTGCCACCTCCTGAGGGCTGCTCCCCAGCTGGGTCTCTGGGCTCTCTCCTCTCCAGCTGCCACCTCCTTAGACAGGGTGACCAGCCCAGTGTTAGCCTCTTAGACCTTTTCTGTGGAGCCCTGTCAGACGGGGGGTGCAGGTGTGGGAGCTCATGTGTCAATGGCCCTTCAGGCTCCCGGGGTGCTTTGCCCACGGCCCCTCCTCCCTCCCAGCTCAGGTAGAGCTCATCTCACTTGTGAAGCTTGTTATCTCCACTCTGCAGGTGAGCAAACCGAGTCTGGGGAGGCCAGGAGCCAGCCTCTGGTCATACCACCCCCTGGCACAGGGTCCCAGCTCTCTGGTGACTCCTCAGGGCACTGTGCACACGGCCGCCCTTCCTGCCAGCCCCTCCCCTCTCAGCCAGTGGTGCCAGACTCGTCCCCTCCATCTGATTCCTCACCGATGGACCGGACCCTGCTTCTCTTTTCCCTTTTCATTCTCACTAGTCTGTCAAACCCACGAAGGTGGTGAAGGACAAGAAGGCCCGTATTTTCAAAGGCCAGATAACAAACTGTTGGAGGAAGATGGGGCTTCTCCCAGGATAGGCCAAGGGGCTAGGGCTGAGTATGGACTCTCAGGAGATAGGGCCTAGCTGTGTGACAGGTCCCTTTCCTTCTCTGGGCCTCAGTCTCCTGGATTCAGGACATAGGACCTGTCACATGCTGCCTAGCTGTGTGGCCTTGGATAGGTCCCTTTTCCTCTCTAGACTTGAGTCTCCTGGATTCAGGACATAGGGCCTGTCATGTGCTCCCTAGCTGTGTGGCCTTGGGCAGCTCCCTTTCCCTCTCTGGGCCTCAGTCTCCTCATCTGCAGAATAAGGGGGTTGGATTAGGCTGGGTCTTAGGGAAGCTCCTTCCAGCTCTGAATCCCATGGAAGGGGGCCCGGCTCTCTCCAGTGCCAAGAGGCTCTTTAACAGATGCATCTCCCAGTGTGCCTCATGGGCTCCATGGACCAGCTGAATAGAAAGATCTCCCAGATAGACCTGAAGACCAGACTGTACAAGACCAGCATTTACAACACCATCCTGGTGAGGGCGGGGCTGGGAGGGGCCTGCGGGAGGGAGGGAGACCTGCTGTGGCTGGGGAGAGGGGCCTCTTTAAGCACCCCTGTGGGCATCGCCTCCACTGGTACCACCTCTGTCCCCTTTGTCTTAGAAGCAGCGTGGCATCATTGCGCATCAGAAGGCCCGGGTTGGATCCTACGTCTGACATGTATGGGCTGGGCAACCCTGGGCGAGTTCCTGAACGTCTGAGTGCTCTGGGCCAGGGTTTCTTGAACTTTTCCGCTCTTGACCTCTTTTCACCTTTGGCAGCACTGGTTGGGCGTTGTGTGGCTGGAGGGCATGTACAGTGCCAAGTGTGCCTGTTGTGTGTTCAGAGCCAAGGCTGCAGTGAAGCTGCCCAGACAAATGCTGTCAGAAACCCCTCGCATTCATCACGCGTTTGATTTTGGATTCATTTTTGGTCATTGCATACTCAGAAACCATTTGCCATTGCCCACGGTTTAAGAAGCAACTAGGTGCCAACCTGTACTGGTGGAGGAACTCTCCTCCCCTTAGAGTTCCCTATGACCAGTGAGGCCAGAGATTTTTGTCCCTGGCCCTTCCCTTACCCCTGAGTAGAATGGCTTCCTCAGTCCCTGTGTCTGGAACCATGTGCCAGGCTCCTGGGGATGAGCCCTTCTTCCTTTAGCTAGGCCGGACCTCAAAGGACAGACACAGGCCATCAGCAGGCCTGTTCTGGGCTGGCCAGAGCTGGCAGCCCAAGGGTCATCTCCATGCCTGTCTGGCTCTCCGTGCAAGGAAGCAGAGGAGGGAAGATTTCAGTGAGGGATGGGGCACTTCAATCAGTAGCCATCCATTGACTCCCTCCTGGGAAAGGGGTCTTGGGACCAGCCTACGTCACACGCAAAAACTCGGCATTGGCCAAGACCATTGGCATTGTGGGCACTCGGATTTCTGGTACTCATTTGTGTTGGGCTGTCAACTTTCCTCTTCCCTTGTAATTAAATCTTTGCTAACCGCAGCTGTGACTCAGCCGAAAGAGAATAAAGGGACCTGTATTGGACCGAGGAGGTGTCAGACACGGCAGCCCCAAGCCGGTGCTCCAGTGAGAACCAGAGCAGGGGGTAAGAGGGGCAGTCAGGCTGTTGGAGCTGCCGAGAGGAGAAGCCAAGGGGTCGTCCCAAGAAGGGAGGCGGGCCCTCACCAGTATGCCAAATCGCTGCCATGCTGCTGCTTTCTCCAGTGACCCCAGGCGGGCTTCTCACGTCTTTGGGCCTCCCTCTCCTCATCTGTAAAACAAGGGTGGTACCAGATGGCCTTTGAGGACACCTCCAGCTCCAAATTGTCTGAACCGGCATCTCAGGCCACTATGGATGTTGGGCCGAGTGGTGATACCAACACTCTTCAGGGCACGGGTTTGGAACCTCACACCCTGCACACCTTTGTAGACAGTTTCATGAGTCGCTGTGGACAGAATGTGTCCCTCCTGGATGGGGAGGCTTCTAGTGAGCCTCCCCCAAGCTGGCCCAGCTGGTCCTTGCTTGACAGTGACAGTCCATGAGCATAGCCATTAGGCTCTCAGGGCAGGTCTGTGCCTGGAAGAGGCATTGAAGGAGGGCAGAAATCAGGAAGGAGACAGGAGCTGCAGCCACACAGCCACGGAAAATAACAGCCATGTGAACTGGCCCTTGTGTCCGGGCTGTCTTCAAGGTCTGGGTTCCCCTTCCTCTTCTCTGGTGGTCCAGCTTTCATGACAGTGTGGGCTCATGAGAAAGCGTGCTGGACTGCCAGACAGAAGAGCTCCACTGAGTCGCCAGCTCAGGGACGCTTGGGCCCCTTACATGATGTCACTTCCCCCGCCTCCCAGGGCAGTTGTGAGGTGAAATGAGAGAATATTTGTAAAGTGCTTGGTGCAGCGCCTGGCACGTGGTACGTGCTTCCTTCCTTCCTTCCTTCCTTCCTTCCTTCCTTCCTTCCTTCCTTCCTTCCTTCCTTCCTTCCTTCCTTCCTTCCTTCCTTCCCTCCCTCCTCTCCTGCCTGATCAATACATGGAGTTGTCTTTTTTTTTTTTTTTGGTGAGGCAGTGGGTTAAGTGACTTGCCCAGAGTCACACAGCTCGTTGAGTCTTCTGTGTCTGAGGCCCGATCTGAGCTCAGGTCCTCCTGACTCCAGGGCCAGTGCTCTATCCACTGCACCACCTAGCTGCCCCTCAATACATTGAAAAAGTCCGGAAATGTGCGATGTGAAATACCTGTGGCCCTCCAGGAGGGGGTGTCTTCTCAGACCTCTTCATTGAGTCCCACTTGATCTGTATAATTTTGTTACATTTACCTTTGATTTTTTTGGTGTGTCATTCTTTCCAATTACATTGTTGTAGTTACTGCATGTGTTGTTATCTTGGCTAAATTACCACAATTTTTAGCCAGTCCTCTGTTGATAGGCATCTACTTTGTGATTTCAGATTCTTAGTTGTCACAAAAAGTGCTGCTCATTTAAATTTGGAGGAATATGGGGACTTTTTTCCTGTTGATGACTTCCTTAGGGTGTAAGCCCAGCAATGGGGTCTGGTTCAAAGGGTGTGGACATTGTAGTCACTTTATTTGTGTAATTCCAAATTGCTTTCCAAAGTGGATGTCCCACTTCCCAGCTCCACCAGCAGTGGGTCACTGAGCTCATCTTCCCACGATCCCTCCAACATTGACTTGTCATGCTTGCCACTTTGCAGGAGGTGAGGTAAAATCTCTGGGTTATTTTGATTTGCATTTCTTTTATTACTAGTGATTTGGAGCATTTTTTCATGTGGTTGTGAATAATTTTTAATTCTTTTGAGAACTGTTCATATTCTTTAACCATTTATCTAAGGGGAATGGCTGTTAGTTTCACATGTGTTTATTAATTGTTTATATATCTTGGATCCCACTCTCTTATCAGAGAAATTTGATACAGATTTTTTTTCCCATTTGACCTCTCTATGCAGAAGCTTTTTAGTTTCGAGTAATCAAAGTTATCTATTTTATCTTTTAACATTGCTTCTATCTCTTGTTTGATTAAGACTACATCTCTTACTCATAGCTGTGAGAAGTAGATGATCTATTTCGCTTCCACTTTTTTTATAGTAAGGTCATGTATTCATTGTTATTTTGGAGTGTGGTAAAAGATGTTGGTCTAAGCCTAATTTCTGCCAGGTTGCTTTTCAGTTTTCCCAAAAGGTCCTTTTTTGTTTTTTTAATCAAAGGGAGTTTTCTTTAGGTAATTGATAGTTTCCACTTTATCAAACACTGGATTATTGAGTTGTATTGTCTCTGAATGTCCCTTATCTAGACTGTTCCATTAATGTACCTTTATTTTTTAACCAATGCCAGATAGTTTTGATAACTGCTGCTTTATAATATGTTTGAGGTCTGGAAATGCTATTGCCCCATTCTTCTTACTCCTTTTCATCATTCCCCTGGATATTCTAAATCTTTTTTTTTTTAATGAACTTTGTTATTTTATCAAATTTTATAAAATCCCTTTGGCAATTTGATTGGTATAGCATTGGGTGTAAATTAATTTTAGTAGCATTGTCGTTTTTATTATATTGGCACAGCCTAGCTATAAGCAAGGAATATTCTTCCTGCTCTTTTCAGGGGTGGGGAACCTGGGGCCTCAATGCCTTCTAGGTCCTTTTGACTGAGTCCACATTTTACAGAACAAATCCTCTTTAGACTGTTCTTCGTTTCCTTAAGCAGCACTTTGTTATTGGGTCTGCACAAGTCTTTTGTGGGCTTTGGGCAGTTGGTGCATTTTGTAGTTATTTGGAATGGGATTTCCCTTTCTGTTATTGCTTCTTGTATCTTGTTTTTATTATATGGAAATTCTATGTTGAGGGTTTATTTTGTAGCCTGCAGCTTTGCTGAAGCTATTAATTGCTCATTTAGTATCTTTGCTGATTCCCTGGGACTTTCCAAGCAGACTGTCACGTCCTCAGCAAACAAGGATGGTTTTGTCTCTTCTGTGCCTGTGTCTTTATTCCTTTAATTCCACGTGTCTTCTTACTATTGCCAGCATTTCTAGAACTCCATGAAATGATAGTGGAGAGATTGGGCTTTCTTGCTTCACTCCCATGTTTATTGGAAAAGGTTTTAGTGGATTTCCATTGCATGTATTGCTTTCCTTTAGTTTTAGACTGATGCTTTTTATTTATCTATCTATCTATCTATCTATCTATCTGTCTATCTATCTATCTATATCTATAGATATAGATATAGATATAGATATTTTTTTAAAGGTCCTTCTATGCCCTACGTTGTAGGGCTTTCGGCATAAAAGGGTGTTGTACTTTGTCAAAGGCTTTTTCTACATCTATTGAGATGACTGTGGGATTTTCGTATGTTTAATCTTCTAATATGATTAGTTATGTTGATTGTTTTCCTAATATTGAATCATTCTTGCAGTCCTGGTATAAATCTCACTTGGTCATAATGAATTATTTCTTGGTCTGTTTAATAGGATTTTAGTTTAAAAATTTTCCAGTCAATGTTCATTCATTCTATTGGCCTGTGGTTTTCTTTCTGTGTTTCATCTTTTCCTGGTTTAAGTATTAAGACTATTATTTGTCTAATAAAAGGAATCTAGTGGAGTGATTTCTTTCTTAATTTTTGAGAACCGTCTGTAAAAGCATGAGTCTATTTGTTCTTTAGAAGTTTTGTGCAGTTCTTACGAATCCACCAGGATCAGGAGTTGCGGTTTTTTGTTTGCTTTGTTTTAATTTGGTAGTTCCTTTACAGCTCGATCTATTTCCTTTGCTGAGGATGGGTTATTTAACCTCTATGTGTGATCTTCTCATAGTTTGGGTAGTTTATGTTTTTGAAGGTTTTCCTCTTTCATTCATGTTCTTGGTCTTGTTGGCATATAGCTGTGCATGATATGTTCTAACTATTCTTTTTATTTCTTCTGGTTTTGCTGTGATTTAACCCTGCTCATTTGGTATTTCATTGATTTGATTTTTCTGCTCTCCTCTTTTTAATCAGATTAGCTAAGAGTTTATCAATTTTCTTAGTCTTTTCAAAGAACCAGCTTTTAGTTTTATCACTCATTTCTGTGGCTTTTTGTTTTCAATTTATCTATTTCCTCTCTGATTTTTAATATCACCTCTTTTGTGCTTTTTTTAGGTTTATTTTCTCATTTTAAATGCACATTCAATTCATTAATCTTATTTTTTCTATTTTGCTGACATGCAGTTTTAAGGATATGATTTTTTCTCTCCCTAAGGACGGCTTTAGCTGTGTCACTAAAAGATAACAGTGGCTTAGCTTTCTAGAGGCTCCAAGGTTTGCACACCCTTCCCTGGGCCATGCAAGAACAGGGTAATCGCCCCCACTTTATAGATGAGCACGCCGAGGGATCCCTTTGCACTGAGTGTCAGAGCTGGGAAGCACACGCCGTTTTCCTGACTCTCTGTCCTGCTTGCCTCTGCTTCCCCTGCTGTTGCCCAGGGCAGTAGACAGAGGCTTCACCCCTGGCTGCCACCAGAAGGAAGATGGGCTCTTTTGGCCCACCATCCTCCACTAGGTGGGCAAGATGTGGGGTTGCTTCCTCTAGAGGCCCTGGCCCCAGAAAAGCAGTGCAGGACTCTGGGGTGGGCCAGGCTGGTTGGGGGTGAACCTGCCAGAGGGACTGACTATGGCCCCCCGCTGTGTTTTGTGTTTGTGCCCAAAGGTCATCGAGAAACTGGAGGCAGAGAAGAAACTGAGAGAGCAGCAGCGCATCTTGGGAGAAAAAGGCAAAGCCCCTTTTAACAACCTAGTGCTGGGGTAGTGAGTGAGGCGAGGCCCCCTGCGGGCTGGGCGCCAGGGAGTCACCTAAGCTCCCTAAGCCTTGTTTTCCCCATCTGTAGAAACGAGCAGGGGAGGGGTGTTGAACCAAAGGGACGCTGGTGCATCTCCGGCTGCTCAAAGCCTCTCAAGTCACTTCCCCACTTGGAACCTCAGTTTCCTCATCTGTACCAAAAAGGGAGGGGAAAGGTTCGTTGCTCAGGTCCATTCCGGCTCTCAATCCTGTGGCCCAGCTCACTCTACCCAGGACACATAAAGAGCTCTCAGGCTGCCTCCTGGGAAGCCCAGGGCGGCCCTCCCTCCACTCTTCACCTCCTTCAAAGCTCCCCTGGTAGAGTAGAGACTTCTAGAACTAAAGCAGACACATGGGGAAACTGAGGCCCAGAAAGGCCAAGCGATTTGCCCAAGGTCCTGCAGCTTGTATGGGGGTGGAAATCAGGACTCCAGCATAGGTGATCTGACTCCAAGGTCATTGACCAAATGCCCCCATCTCTGTGAGCTCTCCCTGTGATTGTGCCAGCCTGTAGTGCCACCCCCTCTGCTCATCTGCCGGACCTCATGGGCGTGGCATTCGTACCCCATGGGGACATTCAGCCTGCAATGCTGCGAAAGGCTACTAGACTGTTAGCCCCGTGTGGGCAGGGCTCTTCTCTGAACTTTTCATCCTCCCCAAATCTTAGCTGTCCTCGGTACACAGTACAGAATTAATAAATTCTGAGTGAAGATTCAAATGAGTTAGACTTGGCTAGACAAGCCAGAAAGAACCTTGTAACCCAGGGGATGAGGGCCATTAATTTCTGCTAAAGGATCCTGGACAAGAAAGGTGGATAACACAGCCATGTGCTCATTCTCCTCGCCCCCCTCTCTCCTCTCTCTCTCTCTCTCTCTCTCTCCCCCCTCCCCCTCCTCTCTCCCTTCTCTCCTTTCTCTCTCTCTCTTTCCTCTCTCTCCCTCTTCTGTCTCTCTCTCCCTTCTTCTCTCTCTCTCTCCTCTGTCTCTCTCCTCCCTCTCTTTTCCCCTCTTCTCTCTCTGCACATGTACATATTATAAACGTATGTAGATACACACATGCAAAATTTTAATTAACTTTTTCTTTGTGTAATCCACTCCCTCCTCTTCTCCCCCCACCCTCGCAAACATAAAACTGCTTGAAGTTGGGGGCTGTTTCATCTTTGTATCTCTTGTACCTGGCATACAGTAGGTACCTAATAAATGCTGAATGAATGAATAAAAGCCACACAGTGTTAGCAGAAGGTATGCAAAGGACAACTCTATAGATGCCCCTTGTACTCTGGGGTGTATTTTGGGGGACATCGTAGTAAAAATGTAATTTTATGGCTAGGGATTTAGGGAAACCACCCTCCGGGGTGGCTCCTGTCGGTGAAAAGACCACTTCCCTCTGTCGCTTGCAGACAGGGCTAACAAAACCAAGAAGAAGTCGCCTGAGTTTTTCCCGCTGACTCCGTCGACTTCAGCTGTTCCCTATGCTGGGTCGAAAAAGGTAAGCAGCCTGAGCTGGGGGTGACTGCTCCCCTGTCTCTACTGGGGATGAATCTGATTCCATTTCTGAAGGCCATGCGTATACTGGGGCCTTGGCCCCCAGGGCTGGAGGAACCCCTAATGAAGCAGTGTGCTCATAATGAGATAGAGGCGATGGTTTCCTGTGTCCTACAATGCCCATGGTCTGGGTTTTGGACGCTGAAAGTTCACGTGTGATGCTTGTTAGGCCCACGGGCAGCCTTGTGCTCCCGGTTGCAGCCTAATGGGATGAAGAGTTAGTCTACGGCCCTAGCCCTCTGCTGCGCTGGTCTTCTGCTTTCTGTACCTGGAGATTCAGCAGGGCAGGCCTTGGAGACAGAAAGCCCTGGGTTCAGGTCCTGGTGACACGGGTGATGTGGGATGAGTCTCTTCACCTCTCAGGGCTCTCAGCCGCTTTCTAAGACTCTTAGGTTGCAAAGTAGATGGAGGGAATTTTTTTCTTGGGACTCCCCTGCAGTAGTCTGGTGAAGAACAAAGCCGTACCTGTGCCACCCTCTCATGCTGCAGTCAGGTGTCCCCAGGTGGGTCTATGGTCAGGAGAAGGCCTGAGCATGGGGAAGCGCCTTTAAGGGTCAGCCTCTGCACTGTGTGGTCTGCTCCCCTTCTCAGGGCCTTTTCCCTGAGGTCCCCTTCATGCTGTGGCCCCGCGTGGGAGGAGGGCATTGCCCCAGGTTGGGGAAGGCTGGAGCTCAGAGAGGCCTCGGGGGTGCCGCGAGCCTCCCCTCGCTTTACAGAGCCCCTTTGTGACACAGGCACCATCTCTCCCCCCTCAGCTAACAGGGTTGTGCTCCAAAGGTTTGTTTGCAAGTCAGAATGTATTTCCCCATAGAAACAGTGTTATAAATAGCAGTCTGATTCTGACACCAGCCCACAAAGGCTTGTTGAACTGCTAATCTTGCTGAACCATGGAACCAATAATAGCATTGCATTCTGCAGCAGCCCAGGCACAGACAGAGGTGGTAGGAACATAGGGAGGGTTGGAGCCAGGTAGGCAGTGGGAAATTTGGGCGGCTGAGAGCTGGATGGGCAGAGGTAGGAGCTAGGGAAGGGGTCTGACGTTGGCCACGCCCATCCCACGCCTGTGTACCTGCAGGCCCATGCTTTCCCTCCCAAGCAATCTCCCTTTGGAAAGGGCCTGACCCTGGGCGTAGTAGGGCGGCCACCTTCCCATCAGAGCTGAGCTCCCAGGAGCTCCCTTTTCTCAACCCTCTAAAAAAAGAGAAATGAAGGGGAATAACATGAAATAAATCTGCAAAGGTCGGTGGGTAGGAGCTGGATCATGGACCATTTAAATGGTAGTCTGAGAAGTGTGCGTTTTAAAGAACCCAGAATCCTGGGAAGTCTGTTGAGCTGGGCAGGGATGTGGTCAGACCCATGTCCTAGGAAGATCAGAGGCAGCTGTTTGGAGGACAAATTGGGGAGGGGCCAGACTGGAAGCAGGGGGATCAGTGGGGAGGTTCCTACAGTAGCCCAGGTGGGAAGGGGTGAAGATCTGAAGTCAGTGTCGGTCGAGGGTGTGGTTGCAAGTGTCCTGTGACCCGAAGGATGGTGATAGATGCAAGCAACAGGCAGCTGTGTGACAGCGGTCCTCTCGAGACCTCTGTATTTTCGTGAGTGAAATGCCTGAGGGACCTATCTCCTGGGGTAGGGGATCCTCAGATGAGAGGATGGCTGTAAAGCGCTCTGAAACGCTAGTGCTATGTCAGTGTCCCTTCTTATTTTTAGGCTGGGTAAGACTTGACGAGGATGCGGAGCCTGAGCTTGTGAACCTCAGTGACGGCAGGTGCCCTTGGCATGCATAGGGCAGTGAGGAGCAGGGCAGGTGTAGGGGTGAGACGTGAGAGGGACAAGACGGTGGACGCCTAAGTTCGTGTGAAGCAGTGGTCAGAGAGGCAGGAACGGCAGCGGGGAAAGAAGTGTTTCAGAAGCCACAGGAGGAAGAGAGATGCTCCTGATGGAGGAGGCGGTTGGCAGCGTCGAAAGCTGCAGAGGTCTGGGAAGAGGCTTCTTGTTGGAGTGCTTGAGAGAGCATCGGCACCTGCCGAGGGACAGAGACAGGCCGAGGGCACGTGCATTCACAGCCTCTTGGTGTGGATTTCTTCTCTGAAAGCTGCATGTTCAGGGCAGCTGGGTGGCACAGCAGATAGAGCACGAGCCCTGGAGTCAGAGGACCTCAGTGCAAATATGTTCTCACACCTAGTGGCTGTATGACCCTGGGCAAGTCACTTAACCCCGACTGCCTCCCCTCTCCCTCCCACGAATAAAGAAAACTGCCTGTTCACATGCTTTGACCATTTATCTATTAGAGAATGACTTTTATTCTTACAAATTTAAATCAGTTCCCTATGTATGTTAAAAATGAGATCCTTAGGAGAAAAACTTGCTGCAAAGAACTTCCCCCCGTTTGCCTGCTTGCCTTCTCGTTTCGGCTTCTGTGGTCTTGTTAGTGATTTTCTGTGGTCAGAATTGCCCGTTTTACCTCCTGTGATTCGCACTCTCTCTCGTTTGGTCATGAGCTCTTCCCCATCCATGGACCCCAGGTAATTTCCTCCTTCCTCCATTAATTTGCTCATGATGTCTCCCTTTTTGTCTAAGTCACGTGCCCCTTTGGGGCTTATCTTGGGGTACGGGGTGAGAAGTTGTTCTTTGCCTAGTTTTTGCCAGACTGCTTTCCGGTTCTCCCAACAGTTTTTGTCAGAGTGCGTTTTTACCCCTCTAGCTGGGGCACCCCGATACTATGCTCATTTGCTTCTGTGTGTTGTGCTCCTTGGGCAGGTAGGTGGCGCTGCAGTGGATAGAGTGCTGGCCTGAGTCAGGAAGGCTTGTCTTCATGAGTTCAAATCTGGCCTCAGACAGTGACTATCTGTGGGATCCTGGGCAAGTCACTAACCCTATTTGCCTCTTTTTTTCCCATCTGTGAAATGAGCTGGAGAAGAAAATGGCGAATCACTCCAGTATCTTTGCCGAGGAAACCCCAGGCGGGGTCACAGAGAGTCAGACGTGACTGAAATAACTGAACATCGTATAGCCAATTCTTCTACTGATCGAACCCTCTGTATCTTACCTGGCCCACGCTGTTTGGATGAGTACAGCTCTGTAGTAGAGTTTGAGATCTGGTGCTGCTGGGCCCCCTTACCTCCCACGTTTTTCCCATTGATTTCCTCTTGTTCCTCCAGATGAATTTTGTCATTATTTGTCTGACTCTATAAAATAATCCTTTTGTAGTTTGATCGGTCTTAGCTCAACCTACCCATGAGCTACTAATATTTTTCTCGTTATTTAGATTTGTTTAAAGAGCATTTTAAAATTGTGTTTATATAGTTGCTGTGTGTGTTTTGGCAGATAAAACCTTAAGTTCTTTTTTACTGCCCATAGTTATTTTAAATGGAACTTTTCTTTCTATTTGCCTGCTGGATTTTGTTGGTAACAAAGAAAAATGCTCAGGATTTACATGGCCTTATTTTATGCCCGTCAACTTTGCTGAAGCTGTTGATTGTTTCGGTTAGTTTTTTAGTTGACTTCTCCCAAGTAAACCATTGTATCATCTGCAGAAAGCGATAGCGTCATTTCCCTTTTGCTGGTGTTCATTCCCTCAATGGCTTTTCCTTGTGTCGCTGCTGTAGCATCCGTTTCTGGCGTGATGTTGAGGAGTGAGGGTGATAATGGTTCTCCTTGCTTTACCCCTGGTCTTACTGGAGTGGCCTTGTTCATCTCCATTACAGAGAAGGCTGGCTCTTGATTTTAGATCCGTTTATCCTTATGCTTTCTTGTGTGTGGTTTTTTTTTTTTAAACAGGAACGAGTTGTATTTTGTCAAAAGCTTTTTCTACATTTATTGACATAGCCACACGCTTTTTGTTGTTTTTGATATTAATGTGGTCAGTTATGTTTATGATTTTCCTGATATTGAACCAGCCCTGCATTGCTGGCATGAATCTGGCCTGGCCATATTGTGATATAGTGCTGAGGTCTCCTTGCTGACGCAGAATCCGAAGGGCTGTGGTGCCATCGATGAGGAATTGCACTTGTTTGAGTGGGGCCTGAAGGGCAGGAGTAGAAGCTGTGGGTAGAAGCTGCGGAAGGGCAGGTTTCAGCCCCTGAGTGGAGCTGCGGGAGCCAGAGGCTTCTCCTTCACTTGAGGCCTCCAAGAGAAGGCCGGAGAACTGTTTGTTGGGGAGGCCATTGAGGACGGGGAGGGAAGACTTGCCAGGATGAAGGATCAGTGGCTTCCGACCACAGGCCGCCAGACTGACCCTGTACTGACCCAGTGACTCCTTCCTTTTTGATGCTCTGCAGAAAACTCAGGACGGGCTAGCCGAGTTGTACCAGGCCCCGGAGCACAACGCGGAGCTGCCCAGTGAGCTGCCAAACGGGGTGAACTACTGTGACATGGTGGGCAACGTCATCCGGGCACAGGGAAACCCCATCAGTGGCAAGGTAATTAGAGGAGGTGAGGACGAGGCCCGTGGGGCCCCGAGACATCAGGAGGACGTCAGTCAGCTGCCCAGAACGCTGCTGTCCATTGTCTCCTCTGGTCTTCTCAGCTCAGGGGGGCAGCTAGGATGGGCTTTGAGATGCCTGCTTCCATGGATCGAGGACCTCCTGAGAGGGCTACTCCCTCCACCAGTGCAGATCACAGCCCCACCACACCTTCTTGTGACCACACACACACACACCCCAATTCTCCAGTGAGGTACCCATGAGCTCATCCAGTTGCATTATGGCCTGTGCTCTCTTATAAGGAAGCTACTCAAAGACCTTCCTCAAGGCTTCTTAGGATTACATGAATATCAGGCCAGTGCCCCAGCGTCTGCCTTTCGCCCCTCCCTCTTGGTATGTGACCAGCCCACAGCCTCCCCTGCCATGGCTGTATACTGCCCCTTGTACCATCAGGGGATGGTGTTGGGGGCAGACCCTGTTTGGGCACAGGTGGGACCGCTTGGCACCAGCGGAGCCTCCAGCTCTGAGAACTAGTGATTCTTTGGGAAAATATTCACACCCTTTTTAAGGAAATAACTGCTGCTGTGTCTACCTTTGTGTCTGCGCTGTGGGGAGGGTGGGGGAATGGCCACATCCCTGTCCCTCCCCTCCACCCTCCCGCAGGGGCTAGCTGGCACCCAGATCGGGGGGCGAGGCCCCCGATTCAGTAGGGAGGGCTGCCTGCCTTAGGAGAGCAGGCCCCTGGGGAAGGGATCAGACCAGCCAGGGGAAGGTTCAGGGGGCGTTGTGTACTTGGGATTCAGGAAGGGCCAGGGAGCAGGAAGAAGAGTTTCAGAGTCAGAATTGGCCCCAGTGCGAGGTGAGCTGCCTGATTCCCTGTGTGTCCGGGCTCAAGTTCTTCTCCTGCATAGGTCTTAGTCTACACAGCGGTAAAAGGAGCCCAAAAAGCTTGTGAACCTTCCCCCTCTCCAGCCCCGAAGTGCTGGAGCCCAGCTGTTCTACCCAGAACCTCCATGCCTGCTCAGGCCAGGAGCCTGGGCCTTGGGGGGGGGGGCTCTCTCACCCCCACCCCAGATTTTCATCCTCTGATATCTGAGCTGGGTCTGCGGAGTCCCTCCTGACCAAGACAGGTCAGGAGTCCATGGGCCTTGTACTTTGTATTCAGGCCCCCTCCCCAGAGGCCAGGGGAAAGGTTAAGCTGGAGCCAGCTGAGGGAGGCTGGCGTTGGGATGGGGAAGGTCCCAGGGTGGTGCCGCAGTGTTGGGAGTCCTTGAGTCCTTCCTGCAGGGTGACCCTAGACAAGTCCCTTCATCTGGCCAGGCCTCGCTTTCCTCTGATGTGCAGTGATGGGATTGGACCAGATCATCTCAGGCCTTTTCACCTCCAGGTCCTGTGGTCCCCAGACTTCTCAGCGCTGTGAAGGGCTGTCATCCAGGAGAGGGATCAGGCTTGTTTGCGTTGGCCTCAGAGGGCAGAAGGAAGAGCTCAGGAGCAGGGGTGGGAGGAAGCTGCAGAGGGAGGCTGTTAGCTGTTCCAGAGTGGAAGGGGGGCTGCCTTGGTGGGAGTGAGTCCACTGTCACTGGAGGTCTTCATGAAAAGGCTGGAAGCCCAGTGGTTGGGAATATTGGCAGAGAGATTTGTTTTCTGCTACGGTTGGACTCGGTCTCTGAGGTCCTGGGACTCTGTGGGATCCTTTCTGGGCTCAAGGGGAAAGGGAAGGAATGAGGGTAGATTGCAGACTCGGCCTCCAAAAGTCAGCAGGGGACAGTCTGGGAAAGAGAGAAAGGGGGAAAGGCTCCCAGTCCTATGAGTCAATGTGGCAGCTGTCCGTGAGAGCCGCCTTGGCTCCCAGGCACCAGGATGCTCTGGTAGGATGCACCACTGACCCGACTGACCCTCCTGGGCATAAGCACATTCTCACAGCCTCATGTGCTCTCTGGCCACGAGGGAGATCTGGCTCTGTGTTGTGGCTGGGAGGCCACAGACCCAGCTTCCCGGTCTGATACACACTGTCTCAGTGACCTGGGTAACACCTCCTGCTGCTCCAGACCACTGGGACCATCAGCGTGGGAGAACAAGCGTCCCCAGCCCGATACTAACAAGGAAATTTTTCCTTTGCTGACCTCGCCCTTTGTCCCCTGTCAAGGGTGACAGAACGGGAGAGCATCTCGTCCAACCCCCTCATTTTCTAACTTAGGAAATCAAAGCCGAGAAGGGGGTGATTTAGAATCATAGGGTTTAGAGACATGGGAAGGACACAAGGAATAATCTCATTTTGCCCGATCATTTTGGGTATTTGTTCAAGTAAGTTTTATTGTTGTCTTTAGTTTTTACATCGTGATAATTTCTAGAAATATCCTTCTCCTCCACCTCCAAATTGGATGCTAACTTGCAACCAGGAAAAATAACTGAGCAAAGCCCCTTGTGGTGCAGTGGATAGATAGAGCACCAGGCCTGAAGTCAGGAGGACCTGAGTTCAAATTTGGCCTCAGACACACACACACATAACACTCACTAGCTGCGTGACCCTGGGGCAAGTCATTTAACCCCGATTGCCTCACCAAAAAAAAAAAAAGCCCCTTGTATCTGACAACATCTTCCCTTTCTGCCTTCCTCATGCCTTCCCTCTCCAGAGAAGACTGGGGTGTTCCTCGTGACCTGCTCTGCAGGGTCATTGTGAGTTTTCAGGGGCGTAGAAGCTGGCTTCCCCTGAGGAGCTTCTGTCTTCATTGGCACAGTCGTCGTGTGTGCAGGGCCAGACAAATGGTAGCTGTCCTCCTCACTGTTGTTGTTTTTGTCTTCTCAATCTGTACAGACTCTCCCCGGCTTCTCAGAATTCCTCATACTCATAATTTCCTAATTATGCACAGAAATATTTCCTTACCTTCAGACACCAGTTTGTTTAGGCAGTCCCAGGGCATTATGTGCCCACTCTGTTTCCAGTTCTTTGCTTGCACAAAAAAAGCTGCCACACGTATTTTGGTGTGGATTGGACCTTTGTTTCAGTCAGTGACCCTCTTGGCATTCATGCCCAGGACAGGGATCGCTGGTTCAGTGGGGATGGACAGTTGAGTGACTTCTTGTACGTCATCCCAGACTGATGTCCAGAGCTGTCCGAGCATTCACCGCTCCCCCACGGTCCCTTAGTGTTTCTGTCTTCCTGTACTTCCATCAGCATTGCCTTTTCTCATCGTTTGTCGTCTTTTCCAGTTTGCAGACTCTGACGACTCTGGGGGCCTCTGCATTTTATAGATGATGGCACTGAGGCTCAGAGAGCTTGTGGGAAACTGCCAGAGTAGCACAGCCAAGCGGTGACGGGCAGGACAGGCTCCTGCCTCCTGGGCAAGGACGTCGGAAGCGCCCTTGTCTCTCTCCCCTTCCTCCAGCTGCCCAAACGCCACCTTTACTCCCAGAACACCCTTCCCACAGGGCAGGCCACCAAACAGTGACCTCTTGTCTGACTGGGCGCCTTTGGTCCACTTCAGTGTTGTGGGCAGAATAATAACAACACCGATGTTATGGGCATTATATAGCGATGAGGAGGAGGAGGAGGACGTTGTGGACAGTATGACAGCAATAATCATGTTATGGGCCATATGTAATCATAACAGTAGTAATGTTATAGGCAGTAAATAACAACAACAATAATAGTGTCACGGGCCTAAGTAGCGATGCTGGTGACGGTGATGCCGTGGGCCACGTGTAATAATAACACCGCCGATGTTATGGGCAGCATATAACAGTAACCACTCTGGATTGTATTTCCTCAGGCCTTCTGTGCACCAGAAGAAATGAACAAATTCTTTGCATCTCCATTTTCCAAGGCTATCGTGCTAGACTGTTTCTGGTGGATCTTTCATGAAAGATATGATGTAAGGAAGGAAGGCAGAGCAGCTGAAGTCTGGCTAGAGGAGACAGCAGGGAAGTGATGAAAACCCATTCCTGGTGCCTCTGGGCTCAGGGCTGCAGCCATGACCGTCCTTGAGACTTCCCAGCAGTTTGGCAGACAGACTCGGGGGGTTGGGCTTATCCTCCCATGACCTCTCGTCTTAGGTGACTTGGGATCCCCTTGGAGGGCGGTCTCTAATGCACATACCCCAACAACTTCTGCTCTGTCCCATCTCCCATTTTTATCGGTGACAAAGGAAGGCCTAGCCACGAAGGCTTTTCAGATTTGCACAGATCAGGAAGCTGGGAGGGATGGCTAACTGGTTGGATGGCAGTGCTAGGGTCCAAAAAGACCACTGGGCTCGGCCTAATAAGATGAAATTTAACAGAGATTTTGAAAAAGCCCTACATTTAGGTTTCAAAACAAAACAAAACACAACTTCACACATACAAGATAGAGCAGGCATTGCTACCAGGAGTTGATCTGACAAAGATCTGGAATTTAGGAGAAGCTCAATTGTTGGTGTGAGAAACATGGAGGCCCCAAAAGCCAGTGTCACCTGCACCAAGAGCATCAGGGTGGTCATGTTCCCACTGTCCTCCACCCTGGGGCTCAGTTCTGGGCACCACATTGACAAGCTTCTGAAGGTCCAGAGGCCTACAGGCCAGGCCAAGGAATGGTCAAGAGAAGGACATTTGGCCTGGAGTCGAGAAGATCTGAGGAGGCCATAGTAGTTGTCTTCAGCTGCTTCCTGGGCGTTCCCAGGGAGGAAAGTTGATACTTACCTGCTTGATGGCCGAAGGTAGACGTGGAGCAAGGACACGAGGTTGAGGGAGGCTGGTAGAAAGCTCTCACTGTCAGCTGTCTCCCACAGGAAACAGAGTCTAAGGGGCCATTTGGGGGCGAGGCAGTGGGGATTCTTGCCCAGGGCTGGGTTAGACTAAATGGCCTTGGAGATCTCGTCTAGACCTGAGGTCCCGAGAAGCAAATTTACTTAAAATGGAGAATACTCGTATAAAACATCCAGCCTCTTGGCTGGATCAGTCACAGACAGTTCAATAGTCCTTTTCCCATCTCTGTTTCTGGCAGCCAAACAAGGAGATCCAGAGAAAGCTATTTGACCGAGTGTCAAAGAACTATGCTTATCTCCTGATGGACATCCCCAGGTCATTGTACGAAGAATTCATTCTACAAGTGAGTACCCAGAGCATGGGGGGAGGATTACGGTGGCTCCTCTGTGCTGGGAGGGAGCCCTAGATGAGACAACTGAGGCCCAAAGACAGGTCGTGACTGGTTCAGGACCCCATGGGGAGTGAGCAGAGCAGCAGGCCTTGGGGTTGGCTTGAAGGTCTCCTGCCTCACATATCCCAGCTCCTCTGGGCTGCTCCCTGGGTTTAGGAGGGCCCCGTCATCATCAGAGCTGGGAGTCTTGGCCCCCCGGCCTGGTAGAAACATGAGAGCATGTCTGTCCCCATCCTGGTACCCGGCCACACAGTGAATCAGTGTCAGAGCAACGATTTCAATCCAGGTCTTCCGGCCCCAAGCCCAGCCTGCTTTTCACTATACCTCATTACGTGGCCATGAAAACCTGCACAGGAAAGTCAGCTCGTGTCTGCACAAACCTGAGGCCTTTAGCTGGGAGGCTGCTGATAGCTGGTTCAGGAATTGACTGGAAAGTTTGTTAGGGATGATGACTGTGATGCCCCTTTGAATCGGTCAAGGCTTTAGCAATTTTCAAAGCATTTGGGGGTCAGGAGCTATGATTTAATTGGTGAGGGAGCTTTCAGTGAATAGAGCCTCTGCACCCATGTAGTGGGCACCTACATGAGGCTTGGAGTATTGGGGAGTTTGGTAGGGCATATTATGTGTTGTGACAGTGGTCCTGGGGTAGTGAGTAGGCAGCGATTCTGAGTGTGCCAGGCATAGGGAATACCAAGAAAGGCCAAAATATGATCCCTGCTCTTAGTCAACAGACCTATGTTCCCTTGGGTGGACACGTGGTAGACATCCCACAAATAACCGGTCCAGCATCAGTGGGAGAGGATCCTGGAGGGGCTGATGCGAGTTGTGGGAGGGCCTGAGCTGAGTCGTGAAGGCAGCAGGAAAGCCAGGAGTCCGGGGTGGGGTGCCGTGAGTCCAGAGGTGAGGAACGGAATCAAGGTAGCTGGCTCCTAGAGGCATGGTAGGGAGTAGATCAGAAGAGTGTTGGAGAGGGCTGAAGGGGCGTAAATGTCATCCAGTGGGTTCCATAGCTGATCCAGGTGATCGAGAGCAGTTGAAGGTAAGGGAGGAAGGTGTCCCAGTCAGACCTGCGTTTCCAGAAAATCCCTTTGGTAGCTGAGGAAGGGGAGGCTTGAGGAAGGCTAACCAATCAGGAGGCCCCTACCACAGTGGTCCATGTGAGAGGGGACAAGACCTGAGGAGGGACTGGATGAGAGGGAGGCCAGGAAGGGAGGACGATGAGGCGTGACAGCTGGGTGGCTCTGGGGGGGTGAGTGTGAGGGAGGAGCTGAGGACACGCTGAGATTTGAGCCGGGGCGACTGGGAGGATCATTGGACAGCCGTGGGAGGAGAAGGTTTGGGGGGAAATGATTGAGTTGGGTTGAGCATCTGTTGAGGTGGAACTGGAGGCCTGTGTGGTCTCCCATTGGAGACGTCCAGGAGGCAGGTAGAGGTGTGAGTCTGAGCCCCGGGAGAGAAATGAGGACCATCCACACAGATGCCAGAGTCAGACCCCCGAGGACCAAAGCAGGCAGGGAGGAGATCATGGGATGATAACCTGGCAGCCTTAGAGCCGGGTAATGGCCTCTACACTCTCCCACGTTTTACAGAAGAGGACTCTGAGACAGAAAGGGGAAGGGGTTGTCTGCAGTCACACAGTAGTTACTGAGTGTCTGAGTCATTTTCAAACCCAGGTCTCCTGCCTCCCGTCTAGGGGCTCTGCTGCCAAGACACAGATGAGGTCACTGGCTGTGGTCATGGAGCTAGTAAGTGGCTCAGATAGCTGGAAGCCCCATTCTTCACCTCCCTTATTCCCCCACTGTGTTTCAGTGGGTGTGCCTTGTAGAATCACCCCCAGCATTCCTTAGGACGTGGTCACAGGCCCCCTGGGAAAAAGTCAATGCTAAAAACATGTTTCCCTTTAAATATCATAGATCATCCTCCATTTAGAGTTGGAAGAGCCCTTAGACACCATCTTGTCCAAATCCTGCCCCCCCATTTTAGAGAGGAGAAAAACTGAGTCCCAAAGAAGGTGAGAGACTAGGCCAAGGCCACCCCAGCTGACAAACAGCAGAGCCACGATTGGGTTCTGGGCTTGGTGAATCCCGAGCTGGCGCTCTGACCGGCCCGCCAGTATTCTGGATAATAGCCGAGAGCTGGGGGAGAGTTTTGAGACTATCTAACCAGACTCCCTCATTCGAGAGGTCGCGTGTGACATTTTTTTCTATTTGAAAAGAGACTTAATTTCTTTGATTGCAAAATTTCTCCCACATTACTCTACTCTATCCTGGGCTTGCTATTTCCTTTAGAGTTCCCTAGACCAACATTATGGGGTCTACCCATGTATTTCTTTGTTTTAATTTAAGTATTCAAGTGGGGAGGGGTCTTTTTTCTTGTCGTTCTCAGGTAGCTGGCAATCATGTGCATCAGGGCACCTTCAGCAGGGTTCAGTTGGAAGTCCAGCTGCTCTTGTTTATAAAGAGAAAAACTTTACTTCTGATGTCACCTGTCTGCAAATTCTTCCCTTCACTTTGGCCTCAGAGGCTTTGGAAGTGCTGATTGGCCGAGGGCAGAGATCACTGTGTTAGTGGACAATTTTCTGGATTCATGATTGGTCTTCTGGGCAGCTCAGTCTTGGCACCAGTTGGATACCTCCAGGTAGCTCTGACCTGGGAGGCCTGTGCTGAATCATAATTAGCCACAGGAAGAAGCGTATTCCTTAACCTTGGAAGTATCTGTTATCTCAGAGACTTCTGCTGCAGACCTAATGATTACGGTGGGGATAGCCTTGGAAGAAGATGCTGTTGTCTTTGATATGGGGGGGGTTATGCATGTGTTTGCTGGGAGGTTCCAGGCCCTGAGGCAGGCTGTGACCAGATGAATTTGCAGACGCACTATCCTGGCCCCTCCTGAGGCTGTTGGGAGAGCAGCTGCGAGTTAACTAGGACAAGGCAGGTTGTTAGAGATGCTCAAATCAGATTCTCTGTTCTAAGAAGAAGGAAAAAAAAATTGCCCCGCCTGGTTTTCAGATGAACAAAGCTTTCGCTGGGTGCTGGGGCTAGGCCTGAGGGGTGTGGGGTTTTTATGGATTTCTCTCTGTCTCTTTCTGATTCTCAGAGTTTTCCATCCCTCCTGAGTCAAGCCCTGTATACCAGCTTCTGCACCTGCTTCCCACAGTCATGGTTCGACAATCACGAATTCAAATCTTCCATCTGTAACACAATGAATCAGTGGATTGGAGGTGAGAAATTCCATTTCTCTCCACTTGCGGGGAGGAGGGGAATGAATCTTCCTAGTGATTCTGTCCAATTCTCTGTGTTTTGGCTTGGCTACAGCAAGGCTTCTTGCCTGTCCTCCCTTGAAGAGTCTATTTGGACCCGTCACGAGAAGGATGCTCTTTCCTGATCCTTCCTAATAGGTTCTGAGTGTATCCCTCTCACATCCTTTCACATCCTGAGAATTCTGTTCTAGAAGTTGGGCTTCTCTCTAGCTTCTATTCTGTATCATAAAATCATATATATATATACATATATACATATATATATATATATATAGAGAGAGAGAGAGAGAGAGAGAGTGTGTGTGTGTGTGTGTGTGTGTGTATCATATACAGATATATCATATATATAGATTCTGTATCTGTGTCTATAGCTGTCTTCTGTTCTGTATCACAGGGCTCCTGGCCTTGGCTGCGGGCTGCCTGGGCCTGTTCTTCATGGTTCCCACTCACTAAGGTTTAGGGTAGCATAGGTTAATGACAGAGCAGACGTTCTTTGAGCACTTTTCACAGAGGGCGTGCTGGGCGTCCTCGGGTGTCAGGAGCATTGTGAAGTATGCCATGAGATTTTGGAGGTTATGTGATTGCGCATAAAAGGAAATTTCTAAGTCATTTTAATTAGTGTAGAATGCCCTTGTCAAGTAGGGTTGGTACGGTGAGTGTAGCAGTCATAAACCCAGCCAAACGGCCCTGTTTGTGTGCACATACCGAGCTGAAAACACGGCAGGCCTTGCCCTCGCCCAGAGCTCCACACAATGACTGCTGCCGTCCTTAGGAAGCTGTCCCGCGGTGCGACTCCTTACTTTGCCGCTGTTCTGCCAACTCAGACGTGCACAAGTCCTCACAGCGGAGGCTGCTGTGGGGGAGCTGGAAGAAGTCAGGGCTCCCTGGGGGCCACGACTTCATTCCCACAAACGGCCCAGCTGCAGAGACGGAGAAGGGGCTATTATCCCATTTTACAGGAGTGAAAACTAAGGCTCAGAGTAGACTGGCTTAGCGAGGCAGGTGGCATCAGGCCGGGCCTCTCCTCGTCCACAGAGGACAGACAGCACCAGACATAAGCGTGTTCTCACACAGAGTAGACAGAAGACCAGAGAAAGGGATGGGGCATAAAAGGAATGCCCTCCCTTCTGTCTTAACTGTTTTGTTGCTCCTTTGTTTCTCTTTTTATTATCTCTCACTGCCTGGCCACTCCCCCAACCACGCTGACCTCCCTGCCCCCACCCTCCAAACGAAAAGGAATTCTCCCATTGGCGACGCCAGAAAACGGGTCTCTGTTCTGTACCGGGACCGCTTCCACCCTGCCAAGAGGTGGGAAGCCTGCTCCTTGTCTGTCTCCTGGGGCTGTGGCTGGTGACGTTGCCTTGGTCTCTTCTGACTTGTAATCTAGAGTGTACCCCACTGTACCCCTCACACTGTGACTGCTCCTGAGCTAAGGAATTACTGGCAGTATTGTCCCTATTTGGCAGATAGGGAAACTGAGGCTCCCTAAAGGAAAATGCTTTTTCCAGGGTCTCCCAGATGGTCTGCATCAGAGCCAGGGCCTGGCCCTAGGTGGTCTGGGTCTCCAACGCCCATACACCCCCTGTCCCAATCTGGCCTCCTCCGATGCTTACTGAAGAAAGATCTTGTGGTCCTTTGCTTTCTCCCTCTCACCTGCCTTCTGTCCCCCTCAGGCACGTTCCCAAGCCCAAGGAGCTACGTACATTGGAACTACTTTGAGCTGGAGCCGGTGCGATGCCGCAGAGAAGAGCTGATGAGAGGCAAAGAGAAGCTTGATGGTGAGAGGACTACCTAGCATGGGCCCCTCAGTGCTTTGAGGCTTCTCCTGTCCCTTCCCTCTGCCCCTAAGCCTCCCAAAGAGCTTTGTGCTCTTGGGGTTACCCAGCCCCCCAACCCTGAGTCAGCAGAAGTGAACAGAGTAAGATGAGATTGAGTTTAAGACTGTGTGAGGAAGAAGCTTCTGGACTAGTTGGTAAGGTAAGTGGGGGGCAGGAGGGCATGAGGGCCAGTGATGGAGACATCAGTGTGGCTGGGTTGGAGTCCCGGGGGGACTCAGGAGGCAGGTTCTGGGCCAAGGCTTGGGGACAGTGAGTGGTTAGGGAGCAAAATCCTTGGAGACACGGGGCAGAAGAGGGGGCAGAAAAGGGGGTCTAGGACAACTTTGGGTTATCCTGTGTGGTGGCAGGTTTTTCCTCTTATACTATTTCACTAGGTCTTGTCTTCCCAACTGAGTTGTAAGCTCCTTGAGGGCAGCTCCTGTACATGTTTTGAATCTCCAAAGCATTTAGTACAGCACTGGACACATAGGAGATGCCTCGTAAATTTGTGATCTGTGTGATGGATGGATGGACACACAGATGAATTGGCCTTTGTCAAGCTTCAGGGGAGCCTCCCTGGCGGAGGTCTGCTGGGACTTGGTGACTCTGCCCAGGGCCCCTTCAAACAAATCCACCCTCTAGCCAGTGCTCTCTTTGGAGACGGAAGGCTGCTCCTTCTCTGTGCACACCCCCTGCACTCCTTCCTTCCTTCCTTCCTTCCATCCCATGGCCGCTCTTTGTCAGGCCTCCTCTGGTTTCTATCCTGTTTGTCTTTCTTTCTTTTTTAAGTTAATATATTTTGATTTATCAACAATCACTTCCATAAGCTTTTGAGTTTTAAATTTTTCTCCTCCTCCCTTCCCAAGACAGCACACAATCTGATATAGGCTATACAGATACATTCCTATTAAACATATTTTCACATTAGTGATGTTGTAAGAATTAGAATCAATAGGAGGAACCACCAGAAAGAGGAAACAAAACACAACAGCAGAAAAAAATAGCAAATAGCATGCTTCGATCTGCATTCAAACTCCATACTTCTTTCTCTTGATGTGGAGAGCATTTTCCATCATGAGGCCTTTGGAGATGTCTTAGATCCTTGTATTGCTAAGAAGGTTTAAGTCTATCAATATTAGTCATCACACAACGAGGCTGTTACTGTGTACAGCATTCTCTTGGTTCTGCTCACTTCACTCAGCATCAGACCATACAAGTCTTTCCAGGTTTTTCTGAAGTCAGCCTGCTCATCATTTCTTAGAGTACGGTAGTATTCCATTACATTCATATACATTCCCAACCAATGGGCATCCCCTCAATTTCCAGTTCTTTGCCACCACAGAAAGGGCTGCTATCACTACTTTTGTCCATGTCATCCTGTCTTTCTCGGGAGGCATCAGCCAGAACAGTTCCCTGTGTGGTAGGGGTGGCCTCCTGAGGTTCTGTGCCAGGGTGGGGTCACCTTCTTTTTCTGCCCCCTGCCCATCCTGAGGAGCCTCAGTATTGGTGACAGCCACATAGCATCTCACGAGGGAGCTTGGCGGGGGGGTCCCTGGGGGTGCCCAGGCTTCCTCTGCATTCACCGTGAATCCTAAATGAAGACAAACATTCATACACGTCCCTGGGTGCATTTCTGTCTGTTCACAGAGAGCAACAGGCAGAAGATTGCAGTGCAGATCTCCAAGTCAGAGCCCCGCTCAGAGAACCAGAGACAAGCCTCCAAGAAGGTCAGGGAGATCACAGAGACAAGGATATTGGAGAGGTCAGCTCAGAACGAGGTGAGCAGACGGACCGGGGGAGGCCTCTGGCTGCCGCTCAGTGGCCCCAGTGACTGGTTCTGTGGGGTCTTGTTATGTGAAGAATCCATTAGGCTCTCAATGAATTGTTATTTGGCCAGGTGGCTAGAACACAGACCTTGGAGTCAAGAGGCACTGTGTTCGAATCCTGCCTCAGACACTTACCGGCTGTGTGACCCTGGGCAAGTCACTTGGCCTCCCTTTGCCTGTTTCCTCATCTGTAAAGTAGGGATTAATAATAGCACCTCTTCCCTAAGAACTGCATGTAAATCCTGTTGCCAAAGCTTAAAGTGCTCTACAAAGGCTAGCTGTTACTGTAGGTGATATCCTTGATTTTCCCCTTTGCATCCCAGTGCTGAGGGAGATGCTAGGCACACGTCCTTCCAGACAAGCCAGGGGAGAGGCTCTATCCCTGTCTCAGTCTATCCCTAGAAGAAGATCCAGGGGATCTCTGGAGGAGAAGTGCCCTGCCAGGCCAGCTAGGCCAGCTTGGAACTGGGCAGGGCTCGGTCCTCTCACTGGCTGGGGTTGGAGGCCCTCCAGGGAGGAGGAGCCCCTGTATCCTGGGCAGCCCACAGTCCTCTGGGGCAGCTCTTGGGGTTAAGAACTGCTTGTTGATTTTGGGCCAAGCTTTGCCCAGCAGTCAAGCAGCCTACTGCTGCCCCCTCCTGGCACAGTTTGGGGGGCTTAGATGGAAGAGAGTGAGGAGGTGGCAGGTTTGGGGCTCTGCAAAGCCCCACATTTGTGCCCCTGGCCATGAGGTTTCTTCAGCTGGGCCATTGGAGGCTGGCAGGGGTCAGGCCTTGGGGAGTGCGTGTCATGGTGAGGTGTCTGCCCCAACACCTCCTCAGCTCTTGGCATGGGTAGAGTTGTGAGCGAGGCACATTGGGCCAGAGCTGTGAGGGTCAGGGGACCAGGGGCGAGCCACTGTGCTGCCCGAGCTTCAGTTTGCTCACTCAGGGAGATTGAGGGGATTGGACCAGTAGAGCTTTGAGCCACCAAAGACTGCCCCACACGGTGCCCTGGCATTGGAGACCTGGGCTCCAGCCCTAGCTCTGCTGTCTACTCACTCCATGACCCTGGTGAAGGGTCTGGGGTGCCCAGGGGAGAACAGGGGCTGTCGCCAGGGCCTCAGTTACCAATGCCCACAGGCATTTCTGGGCTGTGGCAAAGCTTGGCTGCCCCAGTGTTCATGGCCCTGTGGGCAAGGTGGAGCTGGCTAAGGTGTGACTGGTCCCTGCTCCTCTTGGCCTGGCACACCCTCAGGATTCCATTACTGGAGCAGGGGTTAAGAGGGTCCACCTTCCGGCCTCCAGCCCTGTTCCCGAGGCCCTTGCAGGCATCTGGTAGTTCTGGCTTCTCAGTAGAAGACAACCGGCGTGGTGGTGGTGGCGGTGCTCTGTGGCCCCTCCCTGGCCCTCACTGGCTGCAATCACAGTGTCCCCTTTTCCTCCCCTCAGTCTCACCCGGCCTGCAAGGGACCCGAGTTTTCAAGAAACCTGTTCAGCATCACTGGCAACAGCCCGCTGATCGTTCACTACCTTGAGCAGCATGATGCTTATCGACAGGCTGGCCAGGACATCCTGATGGTCCGGCATGACGTGAGCAAGACCATGCCATATCCTTAGCACTCGTTAAGATACCTGTGCCTGCCGGGGACACTGAGCCTTCTGAAAGCGAGATCTGGGTAGGGAGAGCCTAGCAGCTATGTAGAGGTGGGGAGGATTCGCACCCTCAGTTTGGAGCTGCCATTGTGGACAATCCAAAGCATTTGTTGAGCACCTGCTATGTGTAGCACCCTGGGCTAGGCGCCAGAGGCAGGGAACGGGACCCAGAGTTTACCTAAGACGGCCCCCTGCCCTCGCTCTGAAGGAGCGGCCTCCCCGTCCACCAGGACCGGATGAGGAGCTGGCATTGGAAAGAGTGTTGGCAATGAAACCACAGCTCCGTTGTCTGGCACCTTGGAATCTCAGGGACACTTTCCTTCCAAGTAGTCCGTGACTCAGTGGGCCCAAACAAGATCACATTGATGAAGCTCTTGGTGCAGTGCCTGGCACGTCGTAGGCCTCATAGAAATGTTTATTAGCTGTTGTTATCTCTCAAAAAGAGAGGGAATTAGCTCAGGAGTAAAGAAGAGGGAAATGGACCTAGGTCAATGACAGGATGGATTCCTGGGCCTCTTGCCTGGCCGGCAGGCTCCTCTCCCCTTGGCACTCCCCTTCACATCCATTCTAGGCCTCCATCCTCTCATGGCAAAGTGTCAGAGCAGCTCAGGCAGTTCTGTGTTTTCCTTTACGATCAAAACCACTGAGGGCACAGCAGCCTATCGAGATGTGATCCGGCAGGTCAGGGCTAACATGAAGAAACTGAGCAGGGACACCGAGTACCTACATAAGGTGCACTGGAAGGAGTGGAAGATATTTGACCAGAGCCAGAAGGATCTGCAGGCCGATTTTGTCAGGTAGAGAGGGCTGGGTCCGAGGTGGTCAGACCAGATCTCCGACGTCTCTTTAGGCTCTGGGATCCCGTGACTGCTGATCCTTTAGCTTGATTGAAGAGGCACCAAGGGCTCACCTTTAGGCAGCGGTCTCCCTGGAGCTGCTGGAGGACTTAAGGTTCTCACCATTAGAATCCCTTCACTGGGTCAGGACAGCACATTGTATGTGTGTCATTTATTCAAGAGACACATCTTCAGGGCCTTTTGGGTGTGGGCCACTGGGCTAGGTGCAACATCTGGTGTAGTGACCTAAGCCATGGCACTTGTATTCATGGAACAGACGGTCTGGTGGGAGTACGAGAGTGTGCAGGGGGGCTGGGGGAGGCGACCATCAGCCCCAGGATCAGAACCACAGGACTCTTGACCCAAAGCTGGGAGGGCTGTAGAACGCCCAACCTCCTTCTCAGGTGCAGTGACATGAGCAGAGATGCCCACCTGGCTGTCTGAAGGCTGGGTTAGTGGGAGGAGGGTAGGCAGGAAGCCCTGCAGGAAGCCGGGTGGCTGGGCAGAGGAACGTGGAGGTGGAATGGACGGGGGCAGCTGGTTCTTGGTTGGCTGGGGGATAGCAGGTGAGTGGCCATGCCTCCAAGGGGAGAAAGCCTGAGCAGGTTTGGGGAAGAAGAAAGATGAACTTGCTTTTGGACTGGAGGTCGATTCAGTGCCTGTTTAGTAAGTAGAGGGCATTGCTTTTGGCCCTGAGAGCATGGCAATGCCTGACTTGGAGGTGCCTCATTGTAGGGGGGTGGCGGGGATGAGGCTGGAGCCAGCACATCTTCATCTCGTAGAGGAGGAGAGTGCAATGGGAATTTGATCTGGTGCAGTGAAGTCCAGCCAGTGTGTGATGAGTGAGGCCTGCCCTGTGCTCAGCATCATACCTCAGGTCCATGTGCTGGGCCCTTGCCAAGATGGCCCTTTACTCGATTGGTGACTGGCAAATTAAGATAAATTTCTCCCTCATCCTATAAATAGGTCATACAGTTTTGATTTTTTTTTTGTCATCACACCAGGAAAGTGAGAGAAGTCAACACCAGTGCATTAGAAAAGAAGAAGATGAATCAGCATGTCATCCCCCCTCCAGTTTCCCAGGAAGAACTTTATGATCAATTTGGAAAAGTCGTCGAAATGGAAAAAGTGCATTACAAGGCTGCACACATAACCCCCCAGCTGAAAATGAGAAGTTAGGCCTGAGACTGTGAGTTAAGAGTCACTAACCCTTCGTGGTTCCTTCGGCCGAGCACATTAAAGTTGGGCCCCATCCAGGGCCATGGAGGCTGAGTGCTGGGGGTGGAGGCTTTGGGAACGTGGGAGGAATCCCACATCTTCAGCTCGAGGGTGTTCTGAGCTCAGGCCCAACACTGAAGTGTTTATTTTAAAACTCAGTAGATTCAAAAGAGAACTTGTTTTCCTTCTCAAGCCCATGCTTTCCTTCCCAGACCTCCCAATTTCTGTTGAGAGACGCACCATACTCTTGGTCACCCTGGGTTGTCCCAGTCTTTCCTCTCACCTTCACATCCAGCCACATCCTGTGGATTTCACCTCTGAGTTACCTTGGACACCCACCCCCTTGTTCAGCTTTGTCACCTCTGTCCTGGCCTGTTGTAATGACCTTCATTCTCTCTCCTCTCCAGCTTAGCCTTTTAAAACATCGATGGGTTTTCTTCTGATACCATGTTTTGATGGCTAGATCCCATTCAGCAGACAAGGAAAGTTGCTACAGAGCACGTTCCCGGAAAGCCAGTGGGCCACTCGGGACTGCCTCGATAGTCCATGGGATGCTCTGGTTTTATAATTCAACAGAAAGGAAAGGTGTGTGTGTGTCGCCTGTCACTTGAACTTTTACCTGTCAGTGCTGACTCTATTTGCCTTATTGTAGTCATTGTGTATGGTGGTTTTCTTAGCTTTCTCCACCAGGCCTTCCTTCCTTCACCTTGAGCTGTCTGTCCCCTGTGCCTCTGACTTCTTCCTTTTTGTCATTCTTGAAGGTATAGCGATTCACGACATTCCACAGAGCATACTTTGTTCCATCATCCCTCAATTGTGGGGCATGTGTTTTCTTCTCACAAATAATGCTGCTATGAACATTTATTTGCAAAGGCGTCGTTTCCTTTTTTTTTATCCTTTTTTTAAAAGTTACTTTATTTTGATTTATCAACAATCACTTCCGTAAGCTTTTGAGTTTTAATTTTTTCTCCCCCTCCCTCCCCACCTCTCTCCCCAAGATTGTGTGCAATCTGATATAGGCTATACATATACATTCCTATTAAACATTTTCACATTAGTGATGTTGTAAGAAAGAATTAGAACCAATAGGAGGAACCGCCAGAAAGAGGAAACAAAACAAAACAGCAAGAGATCACATAGGATGCTTCGATCTGCATTCAAACTCCATACTTCTTTCTCTTGATGTGGAGAGCATTTTCCATCATGAGGCCTTTGGAGAGGTCTTAGATCCTTGCATTGCTGAGAAGGGCTAAGTCTATCAATGTTAGTCATTGCACAGCAATGGCAGTTGCTGTGTACAACGTTCTCCTAGTTCTGCTCACTTCACTCAGCATCAGTCCATATAATTCTTTCCAGGTTTTTCTGAAGTCCACCTGCTCATAATTTTTAAAAATTAATTTATTTTTATTTATCAACAATTACTTCCATAAGCTTTTGGGTTTTAAATTTTTCTCCCCCTCCCTCCCCACCTCCCTCCCCAAGACAGGGCACACAATCTGATATAGGCTATACGTACACATTCCTATAAACATATTTTCCCATTAGTGATGTTGTAAGTAAGAATTAGAAACAATAAGAGGAACCACCAGAAAGAAGAAACAAAACACAACAGAAGAAAAAAAGTAGCAAATAATATGCTTCAATCTGCATTCAAACTCCATAGTTCCTTCTCTGGATGTGGATAGCATTTTCTATCATGAGGCCTTTGGAGATGTCTTAGATCCTTGCATTGCTGAGAAGGGTTAAGTCTATCAATATTAGTACCTAACTGATTATGTTATTCCCTTCTTCAGCCAAATCTGATAAGAGTAAGGTTCAAACAATGCTCATCTCCCTCCTTTCTTTCCCTCTGCTGGAATAGGTTTTGGGTGCCTTTTCCTATAATGTAATTTACCCTTGTCTGCCTCCTCCTTTCCTTTTCTCTCATTTTCTTAGTTAGATCAGATTAATCCATTTACTTGGATACATTTAACACACTTGATTAGATTTTTTTTTTATCATTACATCAAAGTCAACTTATACTCACTCCCTTTATGTATACTCCTTTAACATGTAATAACAATACAGTTCTCAAGGGTTATAAGGGTCATCTTCCCTTGTAAGGTGTAAACAGTTTCCTCTTATTAATAACATGTTTCTTTCTGTCCCATTTATTTTTTTATGTCTTTCTTGAGTCTTGTATTTGAAGATCAAATTTTCTGTTGAGCTCTGGTCTTTTTATCAGGAAGGTTTGGAAGTCCCCTGTTTCGTTTTATATCTTTCTCCTACCCTGAAAGATCCTGCTTGTTTTCACTGGGTAGTTGATCCTTGGTTGTAATCCAAGCTCCTTTGCCTTACGGAATATCATATTCCATGCCCTATGGTCTTTTAATGTAGAAGCTGCAAGGTCCTGTGTAATCCTGACTGTGTTTCCATCATATTCAAATTGTTTATTTCTGGCTGCTTGCAGCATTTTCTCTTTGACCTGGTAATTTTGGAATTTGGCTACTATATCCCTTGGCGTTTTCAATTTGGGATCTCTTTCAGGAGGTGATTGGTGGATTCTTTCTATGGCTATTTTACCCTCTGGTTCTAGAACCTCAGGGCAGTTTTACTTTGTGATTTCCTGAAAGATACTGTCCAGGCTCTTTTTTTCATCGTGATTTTCAGGTAGACCAATAATTTTTAAATTGTCTCTCCTGGATCGATTTTCCTGGTCAGTTGTTTTACCAATGAGGTATTTTACATTTTCATCTATTTTTTCATTCTTTTGTTTTTGTTTGACTGATTCTTGCTTTCTTGTAGAGTCATTGGCTTCCATTTGTCCAATTCTAATTTTGAACAAATTGTTTTCTTCTGTTAGATTTTGTACCTCCTTCCCCATTTGGCCAACTGTATATTTTTTAAGGACTTGTTTTCTACAGTTAATTTTTGTCCTTCCTTTTCCAAGCTCTTGAGTCTCTCTTGCATACCTCTCATTTCTTTTCCCATTTTTTCTTCCACCTCTCTCATTTGACTTTTAAAATCCTTCTTGAGCTCTTCTAAGAAGCTTTTTGGGCTTCAGACCAGTTCATATTCCCTTTTGAGGATCCAGATGTGGGTTTGTTCATAATGTTGTCCTCTTCAGAACTTCTGCCTTGATCTTCACTCTTCCTATAATAAGAATCTATCTTAGGTTTCTTTTTGCTCACGGTGTTTGCTTATTTCCTGGCCTTTAAAGAGATTGAGCTCTCCTGCTGGGGAGCAGAGGGCATTGACCCAAGCTTCTTGTTTGGGGAGCCTAGGCCCTGGTCACTGGGTTTGTCTGCTGGGGTCTCTAATGCTGGCAGTTCAGGCTGTAGGGTTCTGGCAGCTTACCTGGTGTTGGGCTGGAATCAACAACACTGGAACTGCAGGGGTAGGATTGGGTAGTGTGGCCCCTGGAGATTTCCTGCTCCCTGGGGCCTTTCCTTCCTTTTGCTTTCTTCAGCTTCTTTCAGGTGGATGTTTCAGGGTGTTTATCCACCTGAGGCCCCTTGGAGTGCTGCTTCCCTTAGTTTTGCTGAGGCACTGGGAGAGCCGGTGGCTGTAGAATGCTGAGGCACCTGGTGGTTTTCCGAGCTGGTTTCCACCGGTTCCCTGCCCTCACTGAGGCACTCAGAAGTCCAGGTGTTGGTGTTTGCCTGTTCTACCACCTGGGTTTCAGGATCTCCTCCTGGTATGCTGAGGTGAGGCTTTCTGCTAGTTTGCTGGGACACCTCCCATTCTGTACTGCTTCCTTTCCAGTTAATCCCTCAAACTACCTGGGCTACTGGACTGCTGCACCCCATCTTTCTTCTGGTTCAGCTGTTCCAGGGTTTTTCCTGGGGTCAAAGGGGTTTTTTCTTGTTCTGGTTCATTTCTTGGGCTATCCCCTTATAGTGGCATCTCTGCATTAAATGGTCTGAACACTGCTATTGCGTCCCCTCGGCCTAAGCTTTCCTCACCTACAGCGTCGCTCTCCCTCAGCCATCCTGGGGACCAGCATCATCCTCCAGAACTGTGATGTCTGCATAATTCTCGTCTCTGAAATTCTCTCTCTCCTTCCCTCTTCCCCTTCTGCCTCACTCGCTCTAAACCTGTTCTGTGTCCTCATTGCAGCCTCATGTTTCTTGTTCTCCAAGTCCACCAGCCCTGCTCAAAACTCCTCTTCCTGTCTTCCCTCTTGACCCTCTAGCTGACCAACAGTAGATGCTCTTCTCTGCCTCCGTTTCCCTTGCCCATCTTTCCTGCTGTTATTAGGGGTGTGCTGGGTCTCAGCCCTGAGACACCCCAGCATCCACCATCCTGACCTGCTGAATGTCACAGGAGGGAGACACACCAGCGTGTTGCCTGGATGCAGCACAAAGCTGTGCCCTCCCGTCTCAGCTGGGTCCTCAGTGCTGCACAGCAGACCGTGTAGCCTTCCTTAGTTGACTCTCTCCCAACCTCCCCTCAGCAGTCCTCGAGCCCCCAGGCTGCCTCTGGCTCTTGTCTCTGCAGATGTTCTCATCTCCTGCTGGGTGGAAGCGATAGAAGCCAGCTGCTGTGACCTCCCTCTTTCCTGCTCTGTACCTCAGACCCATCCTCTCTGCTCATCCTCACGCCTCTGAGGACGTGGTGGTCCTTCATGCCACATGTGCCTGCGGTACCATCCCCTCCCGTCTCCTCCAGGCAGGAGCTCATCCCACAGATTGCGCGTCGCTATTCCCTCTTTACTCCTCAAGTCAGCGTCCTGCACATTACCTCCCTTGCACTGCCAGACTTCCAAGATGCACTGCCCAGCCTCATTGCCTCCTCTTCCTTCCCGCTGGGACTCCAGCCCTTCACATCTCACTTGGATTATTGTGGTGTCCTTTCTGGCAGGCTGTCTCCCCTCTCCAGTTCTTCCTTCATCTAGCCGTCAAGATGATCTTCCTAAGGCACAGGTGTGCCTTGGTCACTCCCCTCCCCCATGACCAAAGCCAGATCACAGGTAGGGCATCACAGCCTTCTGCCCCTTTCCAGCCTTGTTTCATAGAACTCCTTTTCACAAACTCTTATGTCTTTACTAAATTGGATTGTTCGCCATTCTCTAAATTTAATATTCCACATCACGCTTCTGGACATTCCCCCAGACTGTCCCCAGTCCCTGGAATTCCATCCCTCCTCCTGCCTCCCAGAACACTTCTCTTCCCTCAAGGCTTAAGGCCTATGTCACCTAGCAGGAGACTCCCTCCCTCCTCAGTTTCTCTTGTACCGCATTTACTTGTGTGTATCGTATTTCTCTAGTAGAATATGAGCTCCCCGAGGACAAGGGCTGCCTTGTTTTTGTCTTTGAGCCCCTAGTCTTGTAAAATGTCTTGTATATAGAGTAGATTTTTAATAAACGCTTACTGAGTCAAATTTTCATGAGTGCTTCTCAAGTATTTTCCAGAAGGTTGGATCAATTCATGACTCTGACAGCAGTGACGGAATATGGCTATCTTCCCCACAGCCCCTCTAAGATGGAATTTCCCCATTTTTCACCCTCCATGTCATTTTGATGGGCATGGGGTAATCTCTTGTTTTAATTTGCATTATCATCATTATTATTATTATTTGTAAGTTTGAACATTTATTCAAATGTTTAATTTAATTTTATACACTTTTTCTTTTGAAAACTGTTCATATTCCCTTTTTTTTTCTTTTTGTTTTGGTGAGGCAGTTGGGGTTAAGTGACTTGTGTAGGGTCACACAGCTAGTGTCAAGTGTCTGGTCTGAGACTGGATTTGAACTCAGGGCCTCCTGTCTCCAGGGCCGGAGCTGTATCCACTGCACCACCTAGCTGCCCCAACTGTTCATATTCTTTAACCACTTGTCTTTCAGGGAACACCTTTTAATCATGTAAATTGTGTTAATTAATTCCCTATAAGTTTTGATTGTTAGACTTTTATCAAAGATGGTTGCCCCCCCATCCACATCTTTTC